TGACGACACATGGAAACAGCATTATGAAGTGAGGAAGCAATATTCAAATGGGATGCGACAGCAGGAAACATAGAGGACATCGCCATGTATTAACGGTTCATCACATGTGGCAAACACGACCCAATCCCAAAAGATGGATTCCTTTTCCACAGTCATTACTGATAATGTACAGAGCGGGAGCCAGTGTCCTCCCTCGCAAAGTAGATCTCTTCGTGTCCAGAACAAAAAACAAAACAACTTTTCAGGGGGTTGCTGACGTCCATAGAACTAAAGGAACAATTAGGAGGTGTTTTTAGTTGGAATAAAACATACAAGTTGAAAATTTATTAATTTATAAACAAATTGAACTTGTTGAATAGCATGGGGAATGCACTTTACAGAACAATGTATGTAAACCCACCATTGGGGCCTATCGGTTATGAAAATATACCGGTTATATGTACATGTATGTTCATATTTTAAATAGGGCCTTTGAAATAGGTGAAACCCCCCCCCCCCACCCCCTCTCCCTCACCCTTCTGGATGTACACCACTGCATCATGCATGGATACCTGTAAATACCTACAAAGTAAAATGTTTATGTACTCTTCTTCCATAAAGCCAACTTTAGGACTGCCTCTAACTTTATTTAGCAAGTAACTTTTTCTGTTCAATGTGATATCTGCAAAACAAAAAACCATTTCACTGGGCGCTCAGCAAATGTCATAAGGTGGAAGAACACCTGTTCATGATTCAGGTGCTGCATCCCCATCCTATGACCAGGGTTAACATGGCTTCACACTCGACTATTCAATGTCAAATGTTATCAACAAACTTCTGGAATGTCTGAACTGCCTGGCAAGTCTTCAATGTTGTGTAATGGCAACTTTGTGCAACCACTGCACAAAGTCTGAGAACATCAAAATGCATCCATAATTGAATGGGAGTGTAGTGTAGTTCTAATGATTCAACCAATGTTCTGTATTTAGACCAATCTTTAACCCTAACTCCCTAGGGGGTGTGCAAAATCGTATTGAATGTGGAGGATTCAGGACTGTTAGAGCTATTGTTCTTCATTTATAAGTCACTTTTCTATACTTATATAACATGTACTGCAAGTTTGAATGACCTTAAAAGACAGATTCACTTCACTATACATCAGCCCCACCCTGTGACAGGTGGTCAGTCTTGGGTCATCAAACTTTTCTTGAATTACGGCACATTGTATGTAAACAAGCTTCCAGACACCCACTCCCTGGCACACAGTGACAGATATCCCCTCCTGGAACCCCTTTCAAATAATACAAAGGGCAAGAGGGAAAGCTCACAGTGTCATGAATAATACATTATGCCATCCATTACTAAATGTAGTTGTGTACAACTGCCAGTCTTTTGTCCACAAATAAAGCAAGGCGCCAGGAACATGTACATGATGTACAGTGTAAATGGTTGCATTTTTGCACACATAATGACTGACTACATAATGAGGTGTGTAATGAGGAAATAACATAAGATTTACACAAAATGAAAAATGAGAAGAAAACAAAAGCTGGTATGTAAAGGCATGGAGCTAGGAACATGGTAAAGGGCATCCATGGGTAAAGGGCACCCATGCCTAAAGCACAATTGTAAAAACACCTCCACTGTACATTCACATTGTACTATCATCAAATTATTATTATTTTTCAAAATTAGAAATAATTTCTGTTGTGAAACAAATATAATGGGCCCTCCTCCTTATCATTACCCGTACCTACGTGAATGTGAAGCATTTTTGTACTGTGTCCAGACACAAAGGGCTAAATAAATACCTACACTGTACACCTTTTTTCCATTAGACCAGTTCAGACAGTCTATACATGTTATGGTTTATGCATCCCAATGCCTTGCCCTTGGATCAAGTGTCTCCCACTGCTACACCTAGCACGCAGTGAATTTATCTGAATTATATTACATTGTAAAACCTTTCAAATGCCTATTATTAAGGGAAAATACAACATTTGCAAACATCAAAAAACGAAACGATCAAATTATCAAGAAATACCTTACTGAATTGTTAGGGACTGACAGTCTAAAGCATCCTTTAAAATCGTGGCTCCTGGTGGGCTGACATTTTCAAGAAAAACTGTATTTTCAAGAAAAACGCTGGTCGGCCGACCAGCGTTGGAGAAAACTGGCTTTTTTTCAAAAACTGTTATTACTTTTTCATATTTAGTTATTCTGACTTTTCTTTGCAATTGATCACACACCTGTGAAGGGGTACAAGCCTGCTAGACTGATTCTCTGACCTTACAATTCCCCAAAGTGTATTAATTGCTACATGTACGTTTCATCCTAAGTGGGGTCAGGGAGCCAGACTACAAGAACATGATAGGTTTTCTTGGTTTTTCCAGCATCTACAAGCCCAAAACATGACACAGGTCAGTTTAACAATATTTTATATAACATAGGCCTACTAATCCTCCAATCCATTTATTTCTGAAAATGGCAGCAAAAGCAAATGTTGTACATTCCCTTTAAGGCTACAGTTCCTTTCCACAATTCACAAATGATGCAGCTACAGTGGGCCTTCTACTGTCACAATTGTGCTCGTAAGATCCAAACGGCTGGTTCAGTATACTTTGTATAGATCTATTCTTGGTGTATTACCTTCAAGCTTACATCATGGCCGGCTACATACATTTTGTCTATTGTGTTTTCAATGAAAGCCCGAGCCCAAGCTGATCTATGACAATCGATGTGCTTATCTACAACTTCTTGTAGCCCTAGATACTTTGTGTTTGTATGTCTTGTGGACGCCCCCTTTTTCTGAATCATGACTGTTGATACATAATGTATCCTATCTAAGTAACAAATTTACATAAATTTTTTTAACAAAACTGCACAGTTGTTGGTCTTTTTAACAAACGGTAAACAATGGTACATGTACATGGTAGATCAAGAACCAATTTTCTGGGGGGGGGGCATGTGGGGTAATGTGAATATTATTTTTACATTTTTACAAAAGGGGTAATTTTGGTCACCTATTTTGATGGCACATATAAAGGGAAAGGAGAATGAATAGACATGAGCATCAATTTAAAAAAGGAGTTCTTAGGCCAAAAAAAAAAAGTCTCCGGTTTCTGGTATGCGCGCGCGTCGCCGTAGCCATGCGCGTCGGCAAAATGAAAAAGTTTTTTTTTCAATGAAAGATGATGTCTCAAAACCGCCAAACTCACTGGTTTGACTGGAATCCTGCTGCTGCATAATTTTAACGTGTTTTTAGATTGGGTAATGGTCAAGAATAAGCTTTATGTGGCCTCTCTGGACTCCCATATATTTGCACTAAGTCTAGTCGGGCACCATTTGCAGTCATCAGCCGACATTTGAAGCAAAAAGGTCAGGTAAAAAAAAAAAAAGCCGCGTCGCCGCACCACTTTTTGGGCAAGCTCCATACCAGAAACCGGAGACTTTTTTTTGGTGGCCTTATCCTTCTTTTGTGTAAAAGCTCCCCTTTTGAGGGAAGTGGAGGGGCACGCCATGGCCCCTCCATGGAACCAAGGGAAGACTGCTGAATATCATTGAAAATGCCCACAACCAACACCTGGATCTGCAGCCACTGACACCCCAGCCACTATTTAAACAAACTTGATGACTCAATGTTGTTTGAGCAATGTGCAGTGTTGGAAGCTTCCAGGAAAACAAATGCCATTAGACTAGAGACAGGTCTCATACAATGGAATGAGCTGATGTTCTGCTGTAGTAGCCATGCCCTTCCTCATGCATTTAAATGGGCCTTTCTGTGTATAGCCAAAATCAACATGAGATAAAAGCTTCAGTTTTAAATTAGCTTTCTTTGAAATCAGTCAGAATGCAGTGAAGGCAGACGGTTTACTTTGGGAAAGAATGTAGTATCCAGACACATACCCGTGCATATTCTATGGAGAATCAAGTGCATTTTCAAAACATTTTCCATTTTTCCAACTAAATTGGAAATGTTTCTCAGTTGGAAATTTGTGTCTTTTCAACATTTCTCCAACAATCGACCATCAATGAGATAATTATATAACGGAGAAAGTGGCATTTGGATGCAATATGCTTTCCACAAATGTATTCATGAATACAACTTGCAAGGCAACCAAGCAACTAAAGTGCATTATACATGCATGACATTAACATATGGGGCACTTTCCAAATTTATGCACATGGTTCTTGCATTGCAACAGGATCCAACTATGTACCCGATGGAGCCTGCTACATTGAGCAGTAAACCCCTCGAGTACATTCCTGATGCAAAATGTTGGATTGGGCCATCAACTGAACCACATTATAACCACAAGTTGGACTCCGTTGGATTTAGCAGACAACTGAAAATAAGGCACAGTGGATCAAGCAGGAAACTCTGGTTGGACTCTGTTGGATTTAGCAGGGTAGTCCTGAGGAAGGGGGTTAGGGTCAAGTGGTGATAGTGCATACTAAAAGAATTGTCGAATATGACAAGTGCGAAACAGAAATCATTAAATAATTGAACTAATAATATAATTTACAAAGTAATTAATTTGAAGTTTATATAAATTTGACAAAACAGAAATCATTAAAATTTTTAAATAATGGAACTAGTAATATAATACAACGTAATTAATTTGAAGTTTATATGAATTTGACAAATAAATTTAACTCTAAGTATGATCTATGGATTTGGAACTTTGAGAAATTTTATCCATTAAAAATCAGAAATGTTCTTTCAATGACAATAATGGATTAATCTCGGCCTATCTTAGTAAATGCAGATCCTATTTGCTTTTCAAATCTTAATCATAATCCTTTCTACAAATATCTCAAATGTCCACTTTGTATGTATACACAGTAATGTCGAACATTTTTACAAAAATAAATATGGGCGAAATGGTTCTAAAATTGTAATCAAGCATCCTCCAAATCATCATACCCCCCAAAAAACGATCATTTCTGATTTAAAAAAAAATGATTTCACAAGGTTTATAAAAACTCAAATAAAATTCAAATTATTACAACAAGCTTACCTGTGTTGTAGCTGTAGCGTCGGGTTTCTTAGCTTCCGTCTGGATCTTCAGATGCCCATTCATATCGCCATTGCATACAGTCGTCGATCCGTTCCTTAGTCCGTTGATTTGATGTACCGTGTCGCCATTGGCCATTATACCGTTCACCGCTCCATTCTGCACCGCTGATCTCTCGATGCCGTTCGCCATCTTCGTCTTCAAACCGGCCACGACTCCGTTCTTCTCCAATTCGCACTCCGGCTTCTGCATCGCCGTTGCCGATCCACGGAGAAGCACCATGTTTGCTTTGCAATTAGGAAAACTAGACGTGTATCCTTCCTTCTGTTTACCTAACAACATTAACACAGGGCAAAAATACACTGTGGTTTAAATTACTCAAAAGCAAATCCGATGAATAATTTGTTTGCTTTGATGCTGCATGAGCAGTTGTCAGTTGTGCATTTTCTGCAGACGGCCGACCCGTGCCGCGGTGAACGTCCTACAACTTTCGACTTTTTCGTCTAGAAATTTCGTCAGTTGGTACTTACCAATAACTTCATCCGCTTCTTCAGCCTTTCTTATCCTTTTGGTGCACTGTGTGTATGAAATAGGAAGCAGCTTTAGTGATTTAAAAATCCAGTAGAAAGGAGTTCTTCTTTTTGACGCCGAGCGTCCACTCCCATCAAAAAAGCAGCACGTCGTTTTTCAGGAAAACAGAAGAGGGCGTAGTGCAGTTTTGTGTAATATTGTTCTGACCCCGCCCACCCACCGTTGGGTTCAGCCATTTTTGAGATGTGCGGCTTTAGTTAAAAAGGGATAGGACAGATTCCCATATCTGGCCATCAGCCATCAGAAAGTGATATGTCCTAAAAAAGTCAAAATTAGCACGGACAAATGTTCAATTTTTACTAAGAAATCATTTAGAAATGTTCAGACCAGTCCCATGGGGTTTGTGCACAGGTTGACAAGTGATGGCCAGATATGGGAATCTTTCCAAGGGATACACAATGAGTAGACCAATTGTGCCTTCATTGTTGATGGATTACCAAAGATGTTGGTTGCTGAATGCTGTCGATCTATCAACTTAAATACCTCAATTTTCTGCTTAAAGGGAATATACATCATTTGCTTTTGCTGTAATTTTCAGAAATGGATGGAATTGGGGGGTTGGAAATATAAAGCAAATATAGTTACACTGACTTTTTGGAGGTTTTGGGTTCGAAAATGCTATAAAAACCAAGAAAAACGATCATTTTCCTGTAGTCTGGTTCCCTGACTCCATATAAGAAGAAACAGAGCAGTTTACATACATTGGGGAATAGTAAGGTCAGGGAACCAGTCTAGCTGGCTCGTACCCGTTTATAGGTTTGTAATTGATTGCAAACAAGTGCAATGGTCAATTGGGGCCACTATTTGAAAAAAAGCCAGTTGTTTCCAACGCTGATCGGCCGATCAGCGTTGGAAATTGATACAAAAATACCACTTTTCTTGAAAATGACAGTATACCAGGTGCCATAATTTTACAGGATGCTTCAGACTGTCATTTACCAACATCCTATTAAGGTATTTCGCAAAAACTTGGTAGTTTTATTTTTCGATGTTTGCAAATGTTGTATATTCCCTTTAAGAAAAAATGTCTGAAATTCACTAAAAAGTTGGTTGCATTTTTGACCCATATTCGGCATGTGATTGGACATTCACTGACAGGGATTCAAATTGTACTGTAAAACCATTGTGTGAAGTTTGGACAACATTCATTCCAATACAGTTTCCTAAAAGACATATAGCAGTTAATTTTGAACACAAGAACCCCAGGCCTCCCCCTACCAAGACACTGTTAAGTTTCACATGGCTTTTTGGTCATTTTTGTTACCAATTGATGACATTGGTGGAGAAAAGGCGATCATAACAGATTACCACAAACAGTTGTTGTTTTAGAAGAACAACAGAGGCAAGGAATTTTGAGTACAGTAACAACTACTCTATTAAAAGAACAAAATTGGCATATCAACAATCAAGCGTTCACAAAGGAGTGACAACATTTTTGTTTCTTTAATCTTTATTGTGTCACATGTAAAGTATTTACACGTACAGAAATGGTCAGTGTATTCTGCTAGTGTGCCAAAAGTACACATGAATGAACCAAATTTAAAAAATAATTAATTATTGGCTCAATTATAAGCACCTGCTAGAGATGATGAGCCATGTCACAGTGTCATATGAAAATCTGACTCCTATGAAAATCGGACTCCTTTTCCCTATAATTGGTTAATCCCTCGCACGTGACGGGTCACTCTCCCATATATGATCCTAAAAAAAACCCATATTATCATACTTACGCATGTGCAATACTACCAATGAGTCCATATTTCATGGAGTAGGATATTCACGCTACACCGGCATTTTATTTAAATCAATCTAATTACAGTAATTAATTCCATACTTAATGAATGGATCGTTAGGTTGGGATAGTGATACTATATTCATGCCATCTGTCTAATTTTTTGGCTTTTTGTTAACAGTGAGTCGAGTTCTAACATATCAAACTTAGTAATTCTTTCGCGGAAGATTTCAAACATGAAGCACTTCAGACTGCCCAAAATTCTGTCAAACTGAAGATAATTTGGTAGATTAAACAGATACTTAAGGGAACAAAAAACTATAAAACTCAATAATTTGTTATAAGACTGTTTTAAGGGTAGTTGGAATAATAAAACAAAAAGGTGTTATGTTATGTAAATGTCATGTTTATGTACATGCCTGATATTATTTACATTAAAAATTAGATGCACAAGTGTTTCAAATAAACACTTTGCCTTGTTTATAATGTGCCAAGTTCATGACACTGCTTATTAAGCAGTGCAGAAAGAAATAGCAGAAAATGGTGCTAACCTGAAGCACTATGTCATGGCGTGGATGTGCAAATGGTTGCACGCGCATGGAGATTTTTTTTTTTATACATCACTAATTCAAAAAACCTTTTCCTCTGAGGTAAGCATGCCTTTTGTGTGCTTACTGCTTATGGTCTCCATTGAATTGACCCATCGTGGTAGAATCCCGTTAGAATCGCATCAATGCAGCTTGTGAAACTGGCGCGGTTCTAGAACCAATATTTTGGGGGAGCTAGCACGGTGGATCCAGAATTTTCTCAGGGAGGCGTGCTGAAATGTAGACCGGTTATTTTTTCCAGACACTTAGGTCTCCGAAAATCAACACAAAAAGACTGGATTTAATAGAATAATGCGTTTCCTAGGTTTTTCACAAAAACTTGTGACTTTAAGACTGACTCGCTGCAGATTACTTGAAAAGAACATCATTATTTTCGTGCTCGCTCATCTTGTAGGCAACTTGGGCATTCACATCACATAACAGATCTCAGCGCAGACATAAATTGGACATCTAGTCATCTTCAGAAGATTCAATTCCCAGGCGCGGTTCTAGAACCAATATTTGTGGGGGGGGGGGGGCTAGCAGGGTGGATCCAGAATTTTTTCAGGGAGGCGTGCTGAAATGTAGACCGGTTATTTTCCTTCGAAAATCAATAGGTGGAGATCGCCAATTAAATCATAAAATCATTCACACTATATTAACTAATGCACCCTTGTCACGGCTATTTTTTTTTAAGCGGAGACCGTTCGCATGTACATAACAATCCTTCTTTTTCCTAATGCATTTTTTTTTTACTTTTACGGAATTTATTTTGGGGGGGCTAGACAAAATTTTTGGGGGGCTACAGCCCCCCCGTAGAACCGCGCCTGTTGTGAAATATTGTCCAATTACATGATATACACATGGATGCGGAACCCGCAAAATCTGAGACAAACAAAACTTAGCGTACACAAATTCCAACAATACAACATGTTCTGTTATAATATGAAGTCATTATTTTTTTATAATAAGAGGGTAAAATAAACCTATTAATCCTTTTCTAAAAGCAAACTATTGAATTTATCCTCATTAAAAATGCCTAAGCGCCAAATTACAACATGCTTACTAGGACATATTTTAAAAACAGAAGATGCTTTTTAGTTCAAAAGTCCAGAAGCAGAGGTAGTTTTATGAGGATCCACAAGTAGGTGACAATTTGTTGCTGTGGCATTGCTATTTGAAGTCAGAAGTAGTGATGGATGTACATGTACATGTACTAATTTTGAAACTTTTTAGGTACACTCGACTCAAAAATATGCTTCGTTTACGCATGCCAGTCAATTTTTGTCAAAGGCTGCAACTACGTTCAGGAGAATTTTTGAAAAGCAAACTTTTCATCATATTTATGTTAACAAAGAATTTCAAGTCCCACAGTATTTGTATAGATGTTCTCAAAATGAAAACCACTTTCAAGATCTCTTTAATGGAGCAACAAATGATTCCCAAACAAATTTTGCAAAATCTGACTCCATTTTACACATTCGATCACTAAATCTTCACTACTTAATTATAAACACATAGACCAAAAATACATTTGTTGACAAAGGAAGAAATTTATATGTATACACTTAAGTATACAAGTAGTTTGAGAAAACTAAAACACTGCTTGTCAATCCTGTATTTGAAACAATCATCGAAAAGTCAACTCAGAAATCTTTTCTTCTCTTGCCGCTCCTGTCGTGGTCGTCATGATCACGTGACTTGCCGCCCTCGGCCGGTCGTTTCCCGGCTTTCTTAGCATCCTTCAAGAACTTATCCAGACCGAAGGGATCTTCTTCTTCCTCGCGTTCAAACTGGACGGGGCCGTCGCGACGCCGGCTGCGATCTGTACCGCTGAAGTCCTTGTCTGGGACAAATCTGGATTGCAGGAAAACAACAAGACAAACTCAAATCACCACTCAACACTTTTGATACCAAATTCCTTTGTATTAATGGTATTTTTTTTGTAGAAAAATACTGCTTTAGTTTAAAGGGAATATACATCATTTGCTTTTGCTGTAATTTTCAGAAATGGATGGAATTGGGGGGTTGGAAATATATAGCAAATATCGTTACACTGACTTTTTTGAGGTTTTGGGTTTGAAAATGCTATAAAAACCAAGAAAAACGATCGTTTTCCTGTAGTCTGGTTCCCTGACTCCATATAAGAAGAAACAGAGCAGTTTACATACATTGGGAAATTGTAAGGTCAGGGAACCAGTCTAGCTGGCTCGTACCCGTTCATAGGTTTGTAATCGATTGCAAACAAGTGCGATGGTCGATTGGGGCCAGTATTTGAAAAAAAGCCAGTTGTTTCCAACGCTGATCGGCCGATCAGCGTTGGAAATTGATACAAAAATACCACTTTTCTTGAAAATGACAGTATACCAGGTGCCATGATTTTACAGGATACTTTACACTGTCATTCACTAACAGTCCAGCAAGGTATTTCAAAATGATTTGGTAGTTTTATTTTGTGATGTTTGCAAATGTTGTATTTTCCCTTTAACCCCCCAAACCTGGGTTTCGTTCTACTGTGGCATCTCAAAACTTCTTTAAAAAAAAGGCTTTTATTTGGGGTAGTTTTTGCACAAAGCGGGCGGGAACCAGTTTCTAGGCAAGAACTGAATTATTGTCAGGCTGCAAATAATGAACCGATCCAGTAAGCACCGCCCCATGGTATTCTGACCAATCACAGCCGTGATTTATGTCCGACATGCGTGCACAAAAGTCCGACATGCGTGCACGCGCGTATGATGCGCGCGGCAGGAAAATGCAGTGTGGCATTGGAGAGGAGCACGTGTTAATTTGCCCACGTGCGCAGTGGGAGGGGCTAACTGGATCGGTCCATTGACCTATCGCCATTTGCGAGTTAGCCACGCCCCTTAGATGGAATTCTGTACGTTAAGTTTCGTTTGTCTCAGATTCTGCGCCTTCCGCGTCCATTTGTATATCATGTAATTGGATTATATTCCACAAGCTGCGTTGACGTGATTCTGTACAGTTACTCTTCCATAAACTTAACATGGCCTGATTTTTTTTGGGTCGATATTTGAATTTAACAGTTAACCCCCCCCCCCCCCCCCCCAAATAGAAAATCTGTATTCTTTTTTTTTTAGGACGAAACTTAAAACCCAATAAAACTAACTCCCACCTCTTCTGTTTGATGAGCGTATCCAAGTCATCACCATAGACATCTTTGTCAGCATTCTTGCTGGGTCTGTATAAGCTACTGGAAACGTTCTGATCCTTGCGCCATGGCTCACTGTACACGTTGTAGGATTCGTCCTCACCCCCTGCAAAACCACTGCTGATACCCTGTGATACAGATGGAAAGACACGTAGTGAGACAAGACCGTGGGGAACCACATGCATTGGAATCAGTGTTCGGATGGGCTGTGAGTATGATCTCCAGCATGGCTGCATAACCATCACCAAGAGTCAACTAGAAAATTTCAGCTAGATTGTATCTAAGTGAAAAACCCAATATTGAATTTACATCACCCAGTTGAAAAATTCCATCTTAGGCCAAAAAAAAAAAAGTCTCCGGTTTCTGGTATGGAGCTTGCCCCAAAAGTGGTGCAGCGACGCGGCTTTTTTTTTTTTTTGGCTTCAAATGTCGGCTGATGACTGCAAATGGTGCCCGACTAAACTTAGTGCAAATATATGGGAGTCCAGAGAGGCCACATAAAGCTTATTCTCGATCATAACCCCATCTAAAAACACGTTAAAATTGTGCAGCAGCAGGATTCCAGTCAAACCAGTGAGTTTGGCGGTTTTGAGACATCATCTTGTATTGAAAAAAAAACCTTTTTCATTTTGCCGACGCGCATGGCTACGGCGACGCGCGCGCATACCAGAAACCGGAGACTTTTTTTTTTGGCCTTATGAATAGTTTGGTTGCGATACCCGCTGCTACATCAGACTCAAACCAGCCAGCCGACCTCAGCAAGTCCGGTGGTCGAGTGGTAAGACGTCTACACTAGGTAGCGGGAGGTCGTGGGTACAGAGCCCACTCGAGTACGCTTGTGAATTTTTCTAAAATCATCCTGGGACAACACTGAGTATACAGAGTTTATAAAATACCTCAGTAAACGGCAAAACTCAATATTGAAGTTATTCAACCTGATGCAAACAAATTATGAATAGATTGCTTCAAGTCCATCATAAGTCAGATCACAAGTCCATCACAGGTGTATCACAAGCCAATCACAAGTCAAATCATGAGTAAGACCCAAGTTACAGGGGATGAACAATAACAATGAAATGTCTGTATCACAATTCAAGTGCATAGCTTGTCATTCGAGTCGAGACTGGATGACCTGTGTTGGACTTGTGACGACTGGACAACAACTCTACTACATAAAAAAAGGTGTTTCTTTTCCAACTTCGTTTTTGAAGGATTGTCAAATTTCTCTGATTTAAACTTATGGAATATCCGATTAACATTTTGGACGAGCTAACTGTGAAAGTTCCTATTTCATGGAGCCACTAAGCAGAAACATAATTGCTTAGCACATTTATGTTTGAGGCATAATTCAACAGAGAAACATTGACAAGAAATAAACGTATGATTCAGGGTTTGACTTTAGCGGTAGCCCGCTAGCCAAATGCTAGTCAAAACAGCGGCGGGCTAGTCAACTTATTCCTTAAGAAGCCCGGCTGGCGAGTAAAACATTATTGGGCTACAGCAAAGATGAAAGGACAGGAAGAAATAAATCATACATTCAGAAAGAACCTGTATTAATTTGTGTCTAATTTTATTAACTGTTTTGTGTTAAATTATTAGATCTGCTTATTAAACACACTGACAAGATTGCCTCAGGATACACGTTTTACATGTATGCACATTGGTGTTTATGAGACACTCTATAAAAGAAAAACGTGGGCTAGTGAAAATGCCAGGTCGAACCCTGATAATTTTATTTTGGATGGTAACCTCTTCTTGCTCAGCACGAAGTTTTCTGAAGTTGAACAAAGAAATTGAATGAAATGGGGTTTGAACCTGTGACCTCCAGGATAGCCGTTCGGGATTCCTGTTCCTTTCAAACATTTTTTTGCTTATCAAAGACTGCCCTTAGCAGCCGCATTTAACTGACCCCTGATCTGAAGGCATACTTTGAGCAATTACCTTGGATGTGTTGTAGAGTCTATGATCATGCTGCATGTCATCAGCTCGACCTCCAGCATTAGGCAGGCCCAGGGCAATCTTCTCACTGATGTCTCTCTCCTTCTGCTTGTCAAACTTGGCTCTGAAATAAACAAAATGTTCCTTGCTTGGTAAGAACCAGGGTTGGCTGGTTTAAATCACTCATTTAAACACCGATGTAAATCAAACAATTTTTTTTAATAAAAATCACTCATTTAAATCACTTTTTTGTAAAATCTGCATTCGGGCAAAATAAAAATGATGTGATTTTTTTATCACCGATTCCATACATTTTTCCAAAAAACATTGATCAATTTATGGAGTTTGTGGGTGATGGGTATTATAGGAACCTGCAAACTCCTTAGTGACGGGTGTAAGGGTGCATTGGGAGATTTAGACACATTTTTAGACATATCAATATTTTGAAAGTTAAAAAAATCAAATAAATCTGATTTAAATTTTAAAAAATCTGATTTAAATGAAATAAATCCAATTTTTTTTTTTTAATTTAAAAATCAAAAAAATTACCAACCTTGGTAAGAACTTACCATCAGCACTGCCTGACTGAACAACAGTTGTGCTAATATAACAACATTCCATGGCCTCAATGCTAAATTAAATTTCAATCTTGCCCCTGTTGTTACAACCAGTTCATACTGGGAATGATTTCAAATTTGAACATGAATTTGTGAAATAACAGCAAGTGATTTTTGATGCGAAATCACAAAAAATGTACGCAAATCTGGCAAATTTCAACATAAATATTTTGTAGTGCTGTACATTAGGCTGTAGGATTTGTAGATTATTGGAACATGGATTTGATCGAATATTCAAATATTCGACCACTGACATCCAGGTAACAACTTTTCATGAATGTAATCGTGTTTGTATCAATTTTTTCGCGATAGTTGACTTACTAATATTTGTATTTGACAGATTTTGAATATGCATATATTCCTCACGGCTAATATTCCTCACAAAAGTTCTCAAATTATCCACTTGAAGTGGTTGTCCACAAAAATGTGGCATTTTGATAAATAATGAAACCTGTCAACTATACAAATAAAATCACATCATGCTCACATTTTTTGAATGTTTGGTAAAATGTTTTTCTGATATTGGGTGGATGATCAAATATTTGGTATATTCGACACGGCCCTGATGTTTGGCAACAACAAATTTGCATTTATGCAAGTATGAACCAAACAATCACTAACAATTGTTTGCCATCTAACTAGATTAGATACAATACGGGACAATTCTTGAGACAAGTTTCTCTTACCTTCTGTCTGGTGCTGCTCGGCTGATGTTGCGATCCCTCTGTCTCTCACGGTGACGCTCATCGCGTATCTTGTCTCTCTCCCTGGCTTCATCATCAGCTTCTGAGAGGGTTTGGTGAAAACAAAAGGTCGGTGATAAAACAAATGTCGAAAGTGATGTCACAGAACTCAACTTCATAATCTGATGATTTGTACTGATCTAGAAGTATCAACAATAAACGAGTGTGAAAAACAGACAGTTGTTTCAATGCTTCTCATGTTAGAAGTAATACAGGTCAAACCAATGAACATAAAAGGAACTAACAACAAAATTGCACATCATTTAATATCATGCATGATGTATCCTAAGTTTTCACAAGAAATACTCAATATCCATGTTTTAATTACATTATAAAAGGTGGAAGTGTGGTCTAGTGGTTAGGATTCGTGACTCATGATCAGAGGGTCAGGGGTTCGAATCCACCCGCTTGCCATATGCTGTGTCCTTGGGCAAGCCACTTATAAATGGGTACCAGCATTAGCTGGGGAGTAACCTGACATGGACTAGCATCCCATCCAGGGGAAATAGAAATATTCTCAGTTGTGTCATGCTACTTAAACCGGAGATAAACGCTGGCCTAATGGGCCACATTGGCTCGTGACAGACTTTACTTTTACTTATAAAAGGTGGAATGAAACAACACAAAACTGAGTTTCATTATGAATTCGAACATGGTTTCTAATTTCTTTTAACCTAGAAGAAATTTTGAACATTAACATTCAGCACATCTGCAAATGCAATGATCATGTTGTTATATGTGAATCAGCTGATCTTTGCTTAGCACATACAATTTCTAAGCAATAGTTCTGATTTGCAAAATCCACCTTTTTCTAAATTACAGCATGGTATCTGTTTCAGCCCAACAATTTCTTCTACGTGTATATGGGGTTTTTGAAGCCTCAACTTCATCACTGGCTTTATCTTTAATAGATTTTCAGCCCCTGATTGGTGATACTCTGTTTCAATTTGGGTCAAATCTGCTTCAGAAACTTCACTTCTATATCATAAGGCAAACATCGTCAGTTTTTCCATTGGGTGTGGGCTAAAAGACTTTCAAAAAGGACTCTGAAACAGAGAAGCAGCCTTAGCTGGAGCTGATGCCAGGATTACCCCCACCCCTCCCACCTCCCCAGGACCACACCCACCTGCTTGTGTTCTGATACCCGCCCGGTCCTCTCTCGCCTTCTGAGCAAGGTTACGTAGATTCTCCTCATGTTTCTCTTTCTCTTTGGTAGCCAGCTTCCGTTCCATGGTGGCACGCATCTCTACTGCCTCACGAGCCTGTCAGTCAAACCAGTCTCATTTTCATTCTCAAGTTGGTCAACTTTTGTTTAGGTATTTATGTAAGAATCAAATGGTGTAATCGATTTAACCGTGTCAATCGTTTTTTTTTTCCACAAGTATTAAACATGTATTCTATATTAACCGCAACAATCCACTATCATTCAAAATCCACCTGTTTTTCAATAATTTTACAGAATTTACAAAGATAGAGCTTGGTTACTATTACTTCTAGGGGATTGGATGTCCCTTGGAAAAATCTAAAAAGAATATGCTCCCCCCCCACCCCCGCGTGGTGGTGGATTATAAAAAGGTTCCTTGCAAAAATCTACAAAGAAGAGGTTCACATGAACACATTTAAAACAACAGGCAAACTCAGGTGACTGCATAAGCAATGGCATACAAAGTTATGGTCCAAGGGATTATTCTACTCTGTAAAATGTCAGTGGTCTTTCTATGTCCATTTTGAGCCAATGTGAAAATTTTATTTTAGCTTTGGCAACATTCCACGTTAGAAATTCTGTCCTATAGGGCTAAAAATTAATAGCTGATCTTCATCACGATGTGAACAAAAGTTCAGAAAGTCCTCCGTCGGTAACCTTTATGTGCAATGACCCAGTTTATCTTTCGATTTTCACAACAATCAATTCTCACCTTTCTATCAGCAATGTACAGGGCTTCAGCCAACTTGGCAAAATTCTCGTTAATCTGAGGATTCTGTAGACCGCGGCCGTCTGCCGCCAACCGCTTGTCTAATGGGATAGTGTAACCCTGTATAAACCAATGACAAATAACTGGAAATATCAAGAACTATATCTATCATGCCAAGATCATAAAATCAGGACAAAGAGTGGTCAGTCTAGTTCACAATTTTATAAAAGGCTTTCCTGAATAAAAACAAAACAAAACACAGAGACAAACAAACACACTCACAGTCGTGAATTTCTATACGCCCGAGGACAATGCTTTGTGTTTCCCTTTGTCCCTGTAATATAACACTCTCCCATAGACTAAGCACATAACCGTCCCATCAAGGACCGTTTTCTACAAAAGACCCAACGCTCGAGGACTGAAAGGATCATTTGTTCTCCCTTTGTGTGTCTGTCATCTATCATAAAGCCATACATGTACACCCATTCTATAGTTGTGGGGACCAGTTACCTAATTAGTGATAAGGACCACAGATGGGGGGGGGGAGGGTCAGAAGCTCATACAACTCAGTCCTAAATATCCTAACAATTACAAACTTTCCAACGTGGTCGCCATCAACGCACACATGCATTTGTAACACCTTCAATCATGGACCTCCTATTGTCCTCATATTGCTTACACTCAAACTGTTGGAGAACAACCTCCATTGGTTTTGTACACAATTTTCCAACTGTGAACCTTCACCCAACCGTGGACCCTACTGTCCTCTATTTCTACTGTCCTCTATTTCTACTGTCCTCTATTGCGTGGACCCTACTGTCCTCTATTGCTACTGTCCTCTATTGCTACTGTCCTCTATTGCGTGGACCCTACTGTCCTCTATTGCTACTGTCCTCTATTGCTACTGTCCTCTATTGCGTGGACCCTACTGTCCTCTATTGCTACTGTCCTCTATTGCTACTGTCCTCTATTGCGTGGACCCTACTGTCCTCTATTGCTACTGTCCTCTATTGCTACTGTCCTCTATTGCGTGGACCCTACTGTCCTCTATTGCTACTGTCCTCTATTGCTACTGTCCTCTATTGCATGGACCCTACTGTCCTCTATTGCTACTGTCCTCTATTGCTACTGTCCTCTATTGCGTGGACCCTACTGTCCTCTATTGCTACTGTCCTCTATTGCTACTGTCCTCTATTGCTACTGTCCTCTATTGCGTGGACCCTACTGTCCTCTATTGATTGCATACCATACCCATTCTTACATATGGGTGATTACAGGTTACCACTTATGTGGACTAGTTTCCCGACCATTGTTTTCCTTTGTTTCTATTGAATTCTAGAAGTCCACAACACTTACCTTAGCGTTCTTCCAGTTTGATATGCATGGTGGGATTTTCCATTCTTGTTGTTCCTTCACCGTGACCTAAGTGCAAAAAAAAAAAGGAATACAAATAAATGAGAGAAATCAAAAGTCTTAAGTCTAGTTCATGCACGGATCCTCTACACAACGATAAATGACTTCCAAGATTTCTGGTTAGTGGCGTGATAACTGCCTGTGCGCGTATAGAACATACAATACGCGTGCGCGAGACTAGAGTCGGCACGCGACTAGCAGTTGAATTTCTGTCAAGTCTCCTGTGATTGGGTTTCATGTGCGGCGCGCGTGCCAAGTCTCGTGCAAGCGCGCGCATAGTATGTTCTATACGCGCACAGGCCATTATCATGCCTCTACACAAACTGTTCCGTACACTTTGTACACAAGCTCAGATGAGTCGTTTATCCTTGTGTAGAGGATACGTGGTTCATGACAAGCTGAATGTGAATGCAAATTGATGATGTCTTGGCAAATACTTGTGCAGTGAATTTCTAATGGTTGAAGACACTTCAACTCCAAGGAATGCCCCAAAGAAAGTCTTGTGAAGTCAAACTTCCATCATGTTTTCACACAAGTAGCATACAAACTTAAGTTAAGTGAAACTCAAAAACCCGACCTATTATTCTCTAGTGCAGCTATTTTTAACAACTTGATCAACTTGGGTACCATGCTCAATGACTGGTCTCACATGTACATTCAATTGAAATCCTGACTGAATTGTCAGTTGTGTTTTTTTTTTCAATGAACTTTGGCTACAGTCATTAACTCACCTTTCTTGTAGGGGAATGCATAACAGGCGCTGGGGGAGATGGCGGGCCACGCGGAATCTTCTTGTTTGTCCTGAAATTACAAACCAAAAAGATCTACAACAGCCAAGAATGATCTGGTAGATTCCCACTTCAAAAACGAGTGTTGGTGAAAAGTTTCAGAATCCGATTGTATTTTAAATGGATTGAGAATCTGATTTTGTTTTATCTTTGCGCGAACGCAAGGTATACAAACAGCAATGGAGTTCAAGACTCTCTTTACCACTATCTTTTTGTTGTTGTCAAGAGGGTAGTTACACAAGGAGTCAACTGAGTACTGTATTAGGTATCATGTGGAACTGTAGTTATTGTGATGTCAGCATTACAGGGCCCAATTTCATGGCGCTGCTAAGTACATGATTTTCTGCTAACAGAGCCGTTGTCTGGTTGCTCCTGTCAGGGTGTTTGAGCATGCAACCAGGCTCTCTGCTTCCTCTCACCAATACACTCTAGCTGTGCCGAGATGTAGAACAAAGGGCTACTCTAGTAGCTTTTTCCCATGTTCTGCATCTCTTTGGAACTCCTTGCCTAGTGGCTGTTTCCCTCCATTCTATGATCTAGCCTCTTTTAAGAAGAATATCAATTCCTACGTCCAGCTTTCCTGATTATTACTTTTCTTTTCATCATTTTTCTTCTTTCTAGCCCTTTGCCAAGAGTGCCTTTTATAGCCTTGCTTGGGGCGATTTTCCATAATTTTTTTTTTTTAAATTTTAATGGAGACTCTAAGCAGCAAGCACGGCAAAAGGCATGTTTACCTCGGAGGAGAAAGTTTCTTAAATCAGTGACGTAACAATAGTAATCTCCATAAGCGTGCAACTGTTTGAACTGTTACAGACAGTCAAACTTTCCTCCCACTTCCCCTGCCATACCTTTCACACAGGCTAGCCACCAACAGTCAGATCATATGTCAACAAACACTCTGACTAGTCAAATCCAGTCAACAGACAAAAGCAGGTAACTGGTAGGCACAGCTGTGTTATCAATTACCTACAGTCAAAACATAACTGTATCAAGTTACATAACCAGTCACAGCCAGTCAATCCTGCTGTATGTAGACTGGGAGCTCCTAGCTGTTGAAAACAGTCACTTGATTGATATTGACTGCAAGAACAACTTGACACAGAATGAATGTTTGCATAGGAGGGTTAATAATAAAAAATACAAGTCAGTAAAAAGGGAACAAAACGTTGAGAGCAACTCACCTGAATTTGGGCGGTTCGATGGGATCTTTCTGCACCTCCACCATACGAATCACTCGCTGCTTGGCACCAGAGTTGAAAGCCACACCCTGCTGGGATGGAGTGTATCTGGATACAAAAACAAAAATTATAGAAAATGTGGATTGCTGATAGACAAGGAAAGAAACTGCTGGACAAGTGATGAACAAATCTTCACTAAAATATAAATAGTTCTGAAAATAATATTTAATTCATTTTGGGGACTTTATGGGCATTTGTTACACACAGTAAAATCAGAGCTAAGAGGAAGTCGTTATGAAGAGTTCTCTACAAATTTGTATTGTGTTTTCCTTAAGAATGTCACCAAATTATACTAAATTGGTCTACAGACTTTAACTGCCTAATTATAGAGAGACACAAATACATAATTGTTGAAGTGCAAGTCACAGGCATGCAACTGGGAATTTAGAAAAAAAACCAAGGAAATTCGAAACCACACAAGACTTTGTACAGTGTTTTTCAATTTGTAATGGCATTCATGAGAAGTAAAAAAAACCCAAGGAAATCAGCGGATCAGAGAAAAAAGTTGCATGCCTTAAGTCAGCTTATGAAATAAAAGAGTTAGGTTTGAAATCTATTATTTTCCCTCTCCCCTCCCAATAAGCTCATAAACAGTTTACAAGTGTTATTGTCGTACCCCATCTGAGTTTTTGATGCTGTAGACTTTACCTTTAAAGAAAATCATGACCTCTCCGTGTGTCTGGACTTGAGTTGTGGGCAACGGAACTTAAAAAAAAAAAAAGGCCTGTGAGGGTAACCCATGGGCCCCTGTACCGTCCCAAACCGCCCTGCCTGCTACTCTCTATACTGCCCAAAATCACCACGGAATGGTTTTATGAATTCACCAGGGAATATAAACAATCCAACAGAGTCCAACCGGAGTTCCCTGCTCAATCCACTGTGCCTTATTTTCAGTAGTCTGCTGAATCCAACGGAGTCCAACTTGTCGTTATAATGCGGTTCAGTTGCCTGCTGAATCCAATATTTTGCATCAGGAATGTTCACAAGGGGTTTACTGCTCAATCCAACAGGCTCCATCAGGTATATGATAAAGTTGGATCCTGTTGGATTCAGCAGGGTTATGTTTAATTAAAGGGATAAAAATAGTAAAGGTATCAGGTTGATTTACCTAATATACTGAGCTGGTGCTTTTTCCTCTGCACATCTGACAGGCATGGCTGCAGAAATCTTGGACTGTACAAGTTTCTCCAAGGCCTGACGTGTCTTCTCTGTAGTCTGTTAAGAAAAAGACTTGTCATGTTAGGCGGAGGTTTTAGGTATGGCTTCGTGCACAAGTACCCACTTTAACATGTTTAACAAACCCTGAATCAAATATATCATGGACGCACACTGTATGCTACATTTTGGGGAATACAGCATTGGGTATGTTAATACGATGCATACTTGGACTGGCGCCCTCACTTGGCCCTTGTCGGTGAGTCACACAACGCCCTCTACAGTTCAGAAAAAGGATATTTTCTGCAAATTTTTTTTTTTTTTTTTTCAATAATAAATAAGAGCCTCTTTCTCCTTTTTAAAGGGAAGATACAACATTTGCAAACACCAAAAAAACCAAATGATCAAATTATCACGAAATATCTTACTGGATTGTTAGGGAATGACATTCTAAAGCACCCTGTAAAAAGGTTTTTCAAGTGAAAATGGTAGGTAGGCCGACCAGCGTTGGAGAAAACTGGCTTTTTTCAAAAATTGCCCTTAATTTTTCATAATTAGTTTTTCCGCATTTTCTTTGCAATTGATTACACACATGTGAAGGTGTACAAGCCTGCCAGACTGATTCTCTGACCTTAAAATTCCCCAAAGTCGACAAACTGCTCCGTTTCATCTTAAGTGGAGTCAGGGAACCAGACTACAAGGACATGACGTTTTTCTTGCAAATCATTACATGCTGGACTTATGGTTTTCCCAGCATCTTCAAGCCCAAAACGTGAAACAAGTCAGTTTAACAATATTTGCAATAACATTCCAACCCCCAAATTCATTTACTACTGAAAATTGCAGCAAGAGCAAATGTTGTACATTCCCTTTCATACATGTAAACGTTTGGAGATGGGCCCACTCTTTGACAATGGTCCATATTGTGTTTGCCAGCCATGGTGTAGAACATGTGACATTTCTTTACAAAATTCGATGTTGTGATCACGTGATGCTAACTTTCAGCAAAGGGTTCTCTTTTGCGCTGCATGTATATCTCTTGAAATGTGAATGGTTATAAAATTGCTGACATTATACTGTCTAATGTGGGCCAAATAACATGAAAAGGGTGCTTGCATGATTGGGCTGCCCAGCGGTTGCCCATCTGGCAAGACGTCACTGGGCACATGGTCTATAAGACGTGGAACTTTTTCCCCTTCTTTTGTGTAAAGATCTTAAAAGCTCTTTTTGAAAATACCATAAACAAAACTTTCTCCTACTTACATCTTCAATTTCTTCTTCGTCTGGTTTCTGTACGTCCGGGTCGTTTTCATTGGTGATCTGTGTCGGCACAAGGTCCTGAGGCTTGGAATGGACAACCTGATGAAAGAAGTGCAAGCAATTCATGTCTTTACTGAAGTCTTGATAAAAAAAAAAATCGCGAAAAAAAAAGTAATAATAAATTAATAAGTTAAAGAAACAAAAACAAAGACAAAGAAACTTGACATAAAAACTCAAAGCTTTAAAAATTAAGTTTGACTATGGTAGACCAAGTTGCTCTTTGCATATTTGGTTCCGCACGACTCTAAAATGCAAATCTGGAAGGGATGTTAACCATGACAACATTAAGAGTAAGTAAGAAAACTGGCATTGTCTGATGTGCTGGAACGAATAAGCCTCTGTACTAATGACATCACACTTGGTTTACATGTGCCATTTCCTATGGTGCTCAGTGGACCGTGGGCCCCCACTGGCTCCATAGGAAAGTGCACATGTAAACAAAGTGTGACGTCATCAGTACAGAGGCTTATTTTAGAAAACAAATTCGAAACTATTTCAACTGACCTTATCCTTTCCATGTCCGAGCCTTGCTAGAGCATCATACTTGACCCTACCCTCTGCATCCACTGACTTGGCGATGGCGTTACCCTTGCCTGGTTTACGTCCCATATCCATCGGGAACTGGGCCACGGGGATCTCGGGATACGCACCGCCATCCCCAAAATCCTTCAAGAAAGAATAATAATCAAAATAGGATTTCTAGCAGTATTGTGAATACTCCATGAGTGGAACTTATAGGACTTATGCAACAAATTTTATTGTGCAGCTACGCAATGAAGCTACGATTGATTTTACGAAACTTGGCGTAGCTGCGCAACATTTTAAGTAATTTAAATATCTTGGACAAGGATAAAATTTTTGATGTCTGTTTGTGTATGATTTCATTCGTCACAAAACAGTCGCTGAATCACCTCCGCCTGCCATTTTAAAAATAATTTTGTCCCACTTTCTTCAAAATTGCACGGCAACTCTAAAATTCTGTCACAAGTAAAATAGCAATTCATGTACCTTAAATACAAAATTACGATAAGCTAGTTAAATAGTTCATTTTCAGTCGCTGAATTACATGTACGCATTTGGGGTTCAAGGATTAGGATGTGCTGGGGTGGAATGGAGAAATGAGCAGCTCTATTCCCACTGAAATATCCCATCTGATAGCACGGCGTCTCAACATTAGCCTCTCCTAACCAAATCCTACTGTCTGGCTTCTCGTGCCAACCCCGTTTTGACTAAATGACAGAGGGTGAAAGCGTGCTCCTGGCGCTATAACCAGGTGCTCCGGGTAGATGGCGCTCGTTAGCCCTAGTTGGTAGTCCGTCTAGGAGAAGGAAAACTCTGATTTTAAACCCGGGTAGATAGAACTCGTAAGCCTTGGTCGGCAGTCTACCTAGGAGAAGGACCACTCTGATTCCAAACCCGGGTAGGTAGAGCTCGTTAGTCTTGGTCGGCAGTCTACCCCAACGTACAGCCTAGTGCGGTCAAGGGCGAATGAGGGGCTATGCCTCCAACGGCCAGGGTAGTCCTGAGAGGAGTGGCGCCCCCAGGTCTTAATAGCCTTGAAAGGAAACCTATGGCGAATACAAATCTTACAAATCCTATACTTCCAGTCCCGGGAGTGGACAGGAGCGATGCTGCGGACAGAGGCGCTGGACAGGTCTTGGCCTGGCAGAATGACGGTGGCCCCCCAAACCCCCCGGGGAGGAGGTCGTCTGACAACAGCACAAAGTCCAACGCGATTCTGCGATGCAGGAGGCCGTTCATTATGGCAACCTTCAACGCAAACACAGTGAGGGAGGATGCGAGGGCCAGGGAGATGGCCCATTGTGCAGTGAAGTGTGGTGTGGAGATTTTGGGTGTGCAGGAACACAGGAGAGTTCACTCGGACCAGCTTGTGTTTGAGAGAGTGGAGGGCAGCTACCTCGTCATGTCGTCGGCATGGAGGAATGCGGCACAGGCAGCTATTGGAGGGGTGGGACTGATGCTTAGTCCTCGAGCTAGAAGGGCTCTTCGGGAAGTTCACAATCATTCTGAGAGGATCCTGATTGCCGAGTTCGACAGCAATCCAGTCACAACCGTCCTCGTTGTTTATTCCCCAACCAATGTGTCACAAGTAGAGGACGTGGAGTTGTTCTACGAGCAGCTCACAGCAGCTGTCAGGGGTGTGCCAGCTCATAACTTCCTGGCCATCTTGGGTGATTTCAATGCTAGACTTGGGCCTGAAGATGCATTGTACACGTATCATGACAGCACCAATAGAAACGGCATGCATATGTCCGAGTTTATGAGTGAGCACCAGCTCTTTGCTGCCAACACCCAATTCCGGAAAAAGCGCGGGAAGAGGTGGACATTCAGAGACCGTGGCACCGGGATTACGAGGCAACTCGACTACATGCTGGTGCGGAGGAAGTGAAGGAATAGCATCTTGAACGCTGAGCCCTTCAGCACGTTCGCTTCTGTGGGCTCTGACCACAGAGTTGTCTCCATGAAGGTGAGACTGAGTCTGAGAGTACCGAAACCAAAGCACAGACTCAGATACGACTGGAGGTTGTTCGCGGCAAGACCAGACCTACAAGAGAAGTACACCGTAGAGGTCCATAACCGCTTTCAGATTCTGGAGGAAACAGAGAACCCAAGTGTTCGGTACGAACGTTTTGTAAGAGCAAATACTGAGGCAATGACGGAGTGTGTTCCAGAGATAGAGCGAGTCAAGATCAGTGCTCGATCGAAGCAACCTGAAGTAATGATAGCAAGAGGGAAAGTGGAATCGGCCCACCAGGAGTTTAGTCAAAACCAGACTTTGGAGAACCGTGACCTGGTGAAAAAGGCAAAGGAGCTGCTGTTCAGCACATATGACAGGCTCAGGAGCGAGGAGTTGACAAAGAAAGTCAGGCGCATTGAGACAGCTCATGGTGAGCGCAGGTACAATGAATCCTGGAAGGTTATCAATGAGATGACAGGGCGCAAGAAGGCGAAGGAGGGTCAGGTGGCGGGTGCCAGTGCAGAGGAGAGAGTTGATACGTGGCTCACCCACTTCAGCAGCCTGCTAGGTAGGGCACCAGATATTGAAGATGCTGATGAGGACATCCCAGACATCCTCACTGACCTAGACATCAACGATGGTCCATTCACTGCCGCTGAACTGGCCAAGGCCAAGTCGACACTGCAACAAGGGAAGAGTGCAGGTCCAGATGGCATACCTCCAGAAGTCTTCAAGTATTGTGAGATTGACATCATCATTCTGGAAATCTGCAACCTTGCCCTGATTAACAACGAAGTCCCCAGTCAATGGTCGCTGTCGAACATCATACCCGTGCCAAAATCTGGTGATCTTAGTAAAACCGACAACTACCGTGGCATTAGCCTCACATGTATCATTGCAAAGATGTTCAACCGAATGATACTAAATCGGCTACGCAGTGCGATCGACCCTCACCTGAGAGACAACCAGAACGGGTTCAGAGAGTGGAGATCAACAACAGCGCAGATCCTGGCTCTGAGGCGAATAATCGAGGAGGTGAAGATCAATAACCTGACAGCAATCCTGACATTCATTGACTTCACAAAAGCGTTTGATTCCATCCACAGAGGGAAGATGGTGAAAATTCTTAAGGCATACGGAGTTCCAACGAATCTGCTTCGAGCCATCCAGTCAATGTACTCAGGAACCCGAGCCAAAGTGGTCACTCCCGATGGAAACACAGACGAGTTCAACATCTTGGCAGGAGTCATGCAGGGCGATACCCTCGCCCCATTCATATTCATCGTTATTCTTGACTTTGCCCTCAGACGAGCTATAAGCGGACACGAGGTAGATCTTGGATTCACACTGATACCAAGGAGATCGAGCCGCTATCCCGCAGTCGCCCTGACTGACCTCGACTTTGCGGATGACATCAGCCTCCTCTCTAACTCCACTTCCCAGGCACAGGAGCTTCTGACACGTGTGGAGATGGAATGTAGCCGGGTGGGTCTCTCACTCAATGCCAGAAAGACAAAGGTGGTCACTTACAACGTCCCAGACCATGCATCCCTTACTACCCTAGAGGGCCGCCCTCTCAAGGAAGTCAGCGACTTCAAGTATCTAGGATCATGGGTCGACTCCTCTGAGCACGACATCCGCATTAGGAAAGCCCTTGCCTGGAAGGCTCTACATGGGATGAAAACCATATGGAGCTCTAACATGTCAAGGGATGTCAAGATCAGTTTCTTCCAGGCCACGGTGGAGTCCATCATGCTATATGGATGTGAGTGCTGGACCTTAACAACGACCCTTCAGAAGTCCCTCGACGGTTGTTACACCAGAATGTTGGGGAGGGTGCTCAACATCGACTGGAGAAACCACGTGTCTAATAACACCCTTTACGGCATGCTACCTAGGATCTCACAGAAGATCGCATACAGGCGGATGGGCATGGCAGGGCACTGCTGCAGACACCCTGAGCTACCAGCAAGCCGTCTGGTGCTGTGGGAACCGACTCATGGGGTGAAGCGGAGGGGAAGACAGAGGACGAACTATGTCGGGGTTCTGAGGAGAGATGCCGGGACTGAGACCACAACAGAGTTGGCTGCTTGTATAAAGGATAGAGAGGATTGGAAACGCCGCAGGGGATCCCGCCTGCGGGCGACATGATATTATGAAACTTTTTGTCAAATGTGTCATAACTGAAATATTGCACAGCGGGAAATTGTAACAACAAATTGTAGCGCGAGTGGAGTTACGCCATTGCGCGCAGTTTCGTGAAATAAGCTGCAGGCGTAAGGCAGCTATGCATTCGATACTTCCACCTGACTTTTTCTTTGTAACCGTTGAAAGGGGTACTTGCAGACTTTATCCATAACAACTTCTTCAGAAATTCATGTTGGTTCGTGTGGAATGACCAATTTTTTCTTTCAGATTCATAAAGAACAATAACTTACCATTGGTGTTCTGGGGACCCATCCTTTTCTCCGCCCATACGGTGGGGCTGTGCTTCTTGCTAAGGATACAACACTCAGCTACAAATATACAGAATACAAGACAATTTCTGTTAAATTATTTATTAACCCTCCTGCTATTCAAACAGTCACAGAGGGTCAAAATTTCCATTCACTTCCCCGTCTATACTTTTAACACTGGCCAGTTACCAGCAGTAAGATCATATGTCAAGCAAGCACTGTGACTAGTCAAACCATGGAGCTAGGAACACAACAGACCATGAACAGACAAAGCAGGCACAGCTGGCTTTCACCCACAGCCAAAGCAAAGCTGTAGCATAAACAGTAATGGCCAGGCAGTCTTGCTTTATGTAGGCTGGGAATTCTTGACCATTGGAAACAGTCACTTGATTGATTTGGACTGAAAGGACGAAATGGCATAGAATATACGTTTGCATAGGACTTTTTTTTACTCACCCTATACATACATTTGTAACTCTGCTAAAACCACAGAGCTATATTACATTACTAGAGCTTTAACTCTTCATTCTTGCGCGCGCGGAGACGCTTTGAAGCCGTCTTGGGCGCAGGCATTTTGAATTCATGTGCGTGTTTGTAGAACATAATGAAATTAGATGGATTGAATTATGAAAGTGTACTCTAAATGCAACGCGCAAGCAGAACGTACGCAAACAACTTAAGCGCATCATGACGGTTTTAAAAAAAAGTCCCGCTTAATCAAGGCTGCAGCGGATACGCACACGCGTTGCGCTGTTTGCATAGAGCAAAATGAAGCGCTCATTTGCTGATCGTGCACTTCAGTTTTGGGCGTATCGGCTTCGCTAACGCATCGGTACGGAATACAAACGCAGATATGCAAATAGACGTACAAAATAGGTACAACATTTCTAGTTCTCCATAGGTTTGTGTAGAATCATGGATGCGCCCAGCAGGCATCACTTTGTACACGAGTTAGCGCTCTAGTAATCTAATATAGCTCTATGGCTAAAACACATTGGCGAATTGTTGAACCTGGGGGAAATGACTGGGTGTACATTCTTGAATTTGATTGGGGTAAAAAATGGTACAACTTTGCAAAAATGAGGGTTTCAGTCCTTTCCTATGACGTTGGGCTGTACACCAACCACGGGTCTCTATTGCTGAATTTGATCTCATGTTCGTTAATTTTTTAGTAAACAGTACTAAAAAAAGAAGAAGAAGATTTCCAAACACGTACCTGGCGAGGTCTGTCAGACTCAAACTCCTCCTGACCCCACTGCTTTGGAGCTGGTAAAATACTGTACCATGAAACAAAAAACAAAGTGTTACAAATTGTGAAATTAGTGACGTAGCAATTTAGGAAAGGGAGCAAGTCCAGCATGAATTGATTTGCAATGGAATTTGTGTATTTTTTTTCATGTTTGGAAGGCTCTCCTACTACAATTTCTTACTATAACTTCTTAATATTGACAGCCGTTTCATGACACAGTAAGATACAACGTCAGTTTGTGTTGCTTTTACCAATCCTATACATATATTATTTCTCTGACATGATCAAGTCTGTGGACTGTGTATGCAGAATGTACATGTACTACTAACCCAACGGCTGTTGGATGTCTTCACTCAGCATAATTAATCAAGGGGCTAAGTGATTGGCTCTTCTCATAAGTGCATCATAAAAAAGCCATTGTCGTATTGCTCGTAAAAATTTATTGGTATTTTAAAAAAAAATTATCATCGAAACTTTTGAACTTGTACATCGTTGCATTAATGGAATTGAAATTCTTGGAAATACATTAGGCTGAATAAAAAAAACACATGTTTCTCCGGGCTTTTGAAAAAAAAGGAGGAAGCGGGGCTTTTTATTTTTAACGTTTTTCAAGATGGTCCCCATTTTAAAATTTCCTGCAACCTTTGGTGTTTTCTTTGTTCAAAAACACTTTTAAAATGAAAGACAAGTTGGACAAGAAAACTGATCATATTTACAGTGCCATTTACAGTTGTATTGGTCACTTATTTCGCAGGTATTTATTTTCCGATGGATTTGTGGACTTTTCCGGTGTTTTTTTACTGCATTTTTCAAAAATAAGAAATAATAAAAAAATCCAGGCGGCCTCCAAAAAGGAAGCGGGCGGGGACGAGAAACATGTTTTGTTTTTTACTTAGCCTTATGGCTGCAATCATGGTACAGTCATACAATCATACAGTATCAAATCATGTAGAAATAAATTTTGGGCGTATTTTGGGGTAAACTTTTGGCGATCGGCAACAGTAGTGTAGAAAAAAACTTGCCTTGTGGCAATGCCTACTGATTGGTTTTGTCCTTAGAACAAACAGATCCTTTTTACTGCCAAACTTATCAAATTGTTATTATCAGCAATGACTAGTAACGTCAATAATAACATTTTCCAATCGCAACATTCTTCGGAAAAAAAATCAGCATGTGGGACCATTTTTATGGACAGATCCACTGATATCATAGGGGGTGTTTAATCTTTCTTTGCAGTTTTACATCGTTTCTCAAAGTAAATCCTTTACGAAAATTATGTTTTGACGTTGAAGAACTTATTTCCGAACAAGGTTCTCTCCCAGTTCCTTAGCGGCAGCAGTTGAAAGTTGTGTTACGGCTGCCGTAATGATAGCCACTAAGACGTAAAAAAATGGCGATCGTGAAGTGTAGGGCCCGGTTCCTATATAAGTAAGGGAACAAAATCCACTTTAAAATTATTGGACCTAGGTCTACCAAACTAGTTGGCGACATTCTCAATAAACAGGTAGGCCTATGTCACTGTCGAGCGCAATTTGAGTCCCCCACGTAAATTTAAACTTGCGCGCGCAAGTTTAAACTTGCGTGAGGGACTCCTGAAGCACGCAAATTGCACCGCGCCATTTTAATTTGCGTGCGCAAGTTTAAACTTGCGCAAAGGCGATCGCAACCTTCTTTTGCGGGCGGGATTTTTATTGATGAGGATTTTTTTTTTCAAAGCACGAGTACATGGAGAAATAATGGAATAAATGAATGAATAAAGAAATGAATAAAAAGGGGAATTCAATTAGCGTCAATGAAAAGAAACATTGAGATTTAGCAGTGCTTATCAGAGAAGTTGTTTAAGGGTACGTGGGGGCGGGGCCGGGGAGGGGACCGGGCAAGCAATCAACTTAAGCACACTAGCGGCGATTGCTTGGAAAGTGTACTGAAGTTGTTCAATAATGGAGACCAGCTTCAAGTTTTTTGCTTTGTAAACCTAATTTGCATTGTATTTATATTCTTGAATGTAAATAAATCATAATTTCCTAGGTGTAACCCGCTGTTAACGTAAAAAGAATGATTATGATCCCTTCAATTGTTCAAGTTTTGACATTATAGTAATCATTTACATTATTTTTAAAATGCTTATGTATTCTACAATTAAAAAAGCACTTATTCTTAAAAAAAATAATAATTAATTTAACAATTAATAAATTGGACGGTACAATAATTCATATTGTTTTTAGAAATACTTGCATAACATTTCGAGCGCTGTGTACACTTCGAAAATGCATAATTAAAAAAAAAATTGAATGCATTACTAATTTAATTAATTAATTAAATTTATTACTTTAACAAATATTTTTTATTGCAGGCTGAATAATTCATATTAAAAAATGTTTACAACTTAAAAACGCTTTGCATATAAAATGGTAATTATTTTAAAAAGTAAATAAATTTGCAAATGATTTAATTAATGAATTTAATAAAATGTTTCAAAAAAAGGCATTAAGGCATTGTCTCCCGAAGCTCAGTGATGCTATTAAATCGGAGAAAAAAAATCTGCTTTAAAAATAATGTTACATATCTGCATGAGTATACCCGGGGGAAAAAATAGTTTAGCGGCTCTGTATGCATGGCCGGGAAAATCTATGCAGTGCGCAAGTTTAACTTGCATGCGCAATTTGTAGCAAGGAAATGAATGCACGCGCAGGGTTAAACTTGCGCGCGCAAGTTTAAACTTGCGCGGGCCGGGGGACTCACTTTGCGCTCGACATCACTCATAGATAAATTAAAGGGCAGGGTTTTGATTTTTTGAGGGAAATTTGGGGGGAAAATGACGATGACAGCACGGCGACAACACGCGACCCGAAAATAAAGATGGCGATCATCGTGAGCATGAACGGCGAGCTGTGAAATCGCAAGGCACAAACCGCGCAGGAAAATCGTGATTTCTATCCCAAGAATCTGTTCAAAATTGCAAAACGGGTGTAATTAGAATTGAGAAAAGTCTGCTTTTGATTGTAAAGGTGATTTCTGAGCAATAAAAAGTATTTTTGACTCTAATTTGATCAAAACAAAACAGGGGCCCTACACTTCACGATCGCCAAAAAAATGGCGGCTAATGCTTAGCCCCACTAGTGTGGCCGTCGGTATGCTGCGCTGAACCTTTGGCCACACACCGTGGTACCGCGCGCTACTGAGGACGAAGTTTTTCATAAAATTCAGGGCAGTTTCTTACATTTTCAGTTTCTTACTTTCTTATGGTTGTATTCTATGATGTCTCCTATCACTTCTGGGATGCTTAGCATGTGCTTAGGTCTAATGATGTTCCATTTTCCGAGATATTCTTCAATCTTTCTGGAGTCCATATGCACTCGTGAAACGTCTGGTGATGGCAGCCATTTTGAATGGGACAAGAGATGACCTCAAGCTGTGACGTCGCGTGTATGCAAATTGCTTGTCGAGCGCGCGAGGGCGCGAGTTGCAAATGCGACGGCTGTTTCCTGTACCATGCATTTATTGTCAGGGGGCCACGTGCACCGATCTCTATTCAGGATCTACGGCACAGGAAACAGCCGTCGCATTTGCAACTCGCGCCCTCGCGCGCTCGACAAGCAATTTGCATAAACGCGACGTCACAGCTTGAGGTCATCTCTTGTCACATTCAAAATGGCTGCCACCACCAGACGTTTCACGAGTGCATTATGGGCTCCAGAAAGATTGAAGAATATCTCGGAAAATGGAACATCATTAGATCTAAGCACATGCTGAGCATCCCAGAAGTGATAGGAGACATCATAGAATACAACCATAAGAAAGTAAGAAACTGAAAATGTAAGAAACTGCCCTGAATTTTATGAAAAACTTCGTCCTCAGTAGCGCGCGGTACCACGGTGTGTGGCCAAAGGTTCAGCGCAGCATACCGACGGCCACACTAGTGGGGCTAGCTATAGCCCCACTAGTGTGGCCGTCTAGTGAGGACGAAGTTTTTCATAAAATTCAGGGCAGTTTCTTACATTTTCAGTTTCTTACTTTCTTATGGTTGTATTCTATGATGTCTCCTATCACTTCTGGGATGCTTAGCATGTGCTTAGATCTAATGATGTTCCATTTTCCGAGATATTCTTCAATCTTTCTGGAGCCCATATGCACTCGTGAAACGTCTGGTGGTGGCAGCCATTTTGAATGTGACAAGAGATGACCTCAAGCTGTGACGTCGCGTTTATGCAAATTGCTTGTCGAGCGCGCGAGGGCGCGAGTTGCAAATGCGACGGCTGTTTCCTGTGCCGTAGATCCTGAATAGAGATCGGTGCACGTGGCCCCCTGACGATAAATGCATGGTACAGGAAACAGCCGTCGCATTTGCAACTCGCGCCCTCGCGCACTCGACAAGCAATTTGCATACACGCAACGTCACAGCTTGAGGTCATCTCTTGTCCCATTCAAAATGGCTGCCATCACCAGACGTTTCACGAGTGCATAAAGACTCCAGAAAGATTGAAGAATATCTCGGAAAATGGAACATCATTAGACCTAAGCACATGCTAAACATCCCAGAAGTGATAGGAGACATCATAGAATACAACCATAAGAAAGTAAGAAACTGAAAATGTAAGAAACTGCCCTGAATTTTATGAAAAACTTCGTCCTCAGTGGCGCGCGGTACCACGGTGTGTGGCCAAAGGTTCAGCGCAGCATACCGACGGCCACACTAGTGGGGCTAGGCTAGCTAATGCTATGCGACACGCCGACAGCCTCAGGCCAATGTCCGTAAACTGGGCAACATTGTTTGGTTCAACTAAGTGATAATTATACAGATTGCTAGCATTACATCGTTCCTCATTCGATCAAACAACTATAAATTTTGAAAGCAAAGATTAAATCGACTTACTCTGCGAGGGAAACCATTTTTTTTGCTGCGATTTGTGTGCAGACTGGAGTTCGGAACTTCTCAGTCGTGTGATGCAACAGATCGATTATCCATCATAATTTAATGAATCGAGTACGAGTATTCGGAGTCGAATACAATATCCATCAGCTACGGTAGCCGAGAAAAGCCAAGACTTCTTAATAACATTTTTCTCAATATCTCCAGAATTTGTCCTATTTGTCTTTTGAAAAGTCCCTGAAATCGTCTTAGGGAATAAATTTGTGCTAGGCTGGGTTTAAACACTTTGTTTAAGTCTGGATGCACCAGTTTCCTAATATATTCAAATTCATGCATGCATATGCATAAATGGGAAGTGAGGCAAAAAGTGAAACCGGCTCAATGAAAATGTACAGGTGGCCAAAAAGTCACATATAATAAAAATTTTCTCAATATCTCCAGGATTTGTCCCACTTATCTTTTGAAAAGTCCCTGAAATCGAATCATAGGTAATCACCAAATAGCGCCTACGGCGCTATCTTTGGTATTAAACTTTCTGGTCAAAGAGGGGTGTTTTTTTTGGGGGGGGGGGAGAGTAAGAAGTAAAAACTTAAAAAAAAAATATAAAAAAATAATAACTGTGTAGGATTTCAGGAACTTTTCCGAAAGAGAAATGGGGCAAATCGCGCAGAAATGGAAAGAAAAAGACAAAACGTGTTGGTCCCTGTACAATTTCAATTGGCTAATTTCGCTGTTTGCCTCACAGCCCATTTGGGCGCATGCGTGCATGAATTTGAATTTATTAGGAAGCTGGTCTATACCGTTAAAGGCGAGGGTATTTAGCATCCAGACTGTTGATTTTTACCTTAGCCTTTAGTCAAGTCCCACGCGCCTATACCCAGACCATCCGGATGCGTAATGTACCCCGGATGCTGGCACGTAAAAAGACTAGCATGAGCGGCGAAGCCGCGTGGTTTCGCCGCTCGTACTAGTCTTTTTCGTGTCAGCATCCGGGGTGCGTCACGTGTCCGGGTAAGCGCGTGGGACTTGACTAAAGGCTATTTTTTACCCATGCTTTAATTCACTTAGCCTTGGTCAATGCTCTCGTCGTTATTCGTCCCGTACGCGGTCAATCGTCGGCATATATCCTCACGCGCTATGCACATGCATGTAAAAATACAGCGCGAACAGCGACCTCACACGGCCACTATTTTTATATGCAAATCAGTTGGGGACGATCTCGAGCCTTGGTTCAATCGTCCATGTGAGGTTTTGGGGGTGGTGCTCATTATGTTAATAGCCTTAGCTGACCTTAAATGTTGTTTTCTTATTGGTCGATCGTTCGTTTTCTTATTGGTCGATCGTTGCATGGAAACTTGCATAGTGAAACGTGGCACCGTACATAATCCATACACGTACACGTACGTACGTTGTGTGTCTCTGCACACGGCACCAATGCACAAAAACTGTGGTTCCTGTCACGTCCGCAAAAGGCGAATAGCTGCAATTAATTTGATGACGTCCGGATTTAACCAAGGTGTGATTGGACACTCCACATATTAGCCCCGCCTACAGGTCGTGCGCTAGAAATCCAGCGCAAAATAAAGAAAAACATAAGCTTTTGCCGACGATTGAACCAAGGCTCTCGATCGTCCCCAACTGATTTGCATAAAAAAATAGTGGCCGCATGAGGTCGCTGTTCGCGCTGTATTTTTACATGCATGTGCATAGCGCGTGAGGATATATGCCGATGATTGACCGCGTACGGGACGAATAACGACGAGAGCATTGACCAAGGCTATATAATTCACTGCGTGTTATTTCGTGCCATTAGGGCAACCGCTAGTTGAACCGAGGCTACTACAATTATTTCAACTGTTCTAATATGCACGTCTACCGTACATCGTCAGAGTCAAGAATATCCCCATTTAGGGTGGTTCCTCCCCGCATATGAGCTGTCGATTTTGCCCATGCTTCACTGCATGTATGGGTTAGTTTACGCCATTAGGAGTTGAACCGAGGTTATCACAACCATTTTCAACTGTTTTAACATGCACGTCTACCGTACACAATCAGAGTCAAGAATATCCCCATTAGGGTGGTTCCTCCTCACATATGCACTGCCGATTTTGCCCATGCTTCACTGCGTATATGGGGTTATTTTGCGGCATTAGGGCTACCGCTAGTTGAACCGAGGTTATTACAGTCATTTTAACTGTTTAAACATGCACGTCTACCGTACATCGTCCGAGTCAAGAATATCTCCTTCAGGGCGGTTTCTAAACGCATATGAGATGTGCGTGTATGGGCCGCCGCTAGTTGAATCGAGGTTATCACAATAATTTCAACTGTTTAAACATGCACTTCTCCCGTACATCGTCAAGTCTCAACAGTATACCCATTAAGGCGGTTTCTCTACTGCGGGAAGAGCCTTTTTATTTTGTGTGTGGCACACAATTTTGTTTATTCACCGCGCATTCTCCACGAGCGGTTACGGTGACAAATATCCCCATTTATGCGGTTACACTCACTCTTTTGTGCACTAGCTTTTCAAATGCTTAACCGCAGGACTTTGGTCGTTTTGTGGTCTAAAGGAAACGCCGATTGAACCGAGGATATGGTAGGTATTGTGGGCAGGCTCTTTTCACGCGATTCGAGGGGTGGAAAGGATCGCTCAAAAGGGGACTTTTTGACTCCGATAATGTGCGGTGTAGGTTTTTCCGATGCTCAACTTATGTGTGTATTGCTGGTTGTCATATCAACACACTTCTACCGTCTACCGTCAGGGTACATATTTCGGCGGTTCCTCCCTCGTATGAGCTGTCGATTTCACCCATGCTTCACTGCGTGTATGTGTTATTTTGTGGCATTAGGGCGACCGCTAGTTGTAAATGAGGTTATTACAATCATTTCAACTGTTAATGCAATTCTACCGTACATCGTCAGAGTAAAAAATATATCCATTAAGGCGGACTGTCTCCCTACTAGTCACCGTGCGAGTGGGTCATTCTGTGGTTAAAAGGAACGTTGACTGCTTGAAAAAAACAAACAAGCAAATTTATTTGTTACTGGACAATATCATTCCTTAAAATTTCGGAAAAGAAAATTACAGATTTGAAAAAGTATTATCAAATAAACCCAATTGACATATTCCTACTTATATATATTTTTTAACAATGGTTATTATAGTGTGACAATCAAAGTAAACATGCTTTGAGCCCAATTGCCATAACTGGCATACTATGCTATTAACGGTATTTCCCGTTTATTAGTATACAAATAACGAATGTTTGTGAGTGCGATGGTAAGAATAATTTCATGAGGTGACAGATTGAATGTTCTATTCCACGAGGCGAAGCCGAGTGGAATAGAACATTCAATCTGTCACCGAATGAAATTATTCTTTCCATCGTACGAACGTAAAACATTCGTTATTTGTTTTATACAACACCTGAATAAATTCTCGTCATTTGATTGGTAAATTATAAACTACAATTTATTTTGATTTTAAAGATGTTGAACTACCCCTTCACGAAAATGTTTGAACCCAACGCTGTAGCGCCGGCTCTTTGGAACAATACACGCTACGCTGAACGCACACACCAGCATGCATTTTGCACGCAAATACCGCGTCATGGAACAAGCGCAAAGTGAAACGGTATAACGCATGGGTATAACGCATGGTTGCACCGTGCATTATACCGAATAATAATATGTCACGTGATCTACAATTCACCAATCAGATGACGGGGATTTATTCAGGTGTTGTATAATAGCACATAAACAGTATATTGTTCGACACTGTAATGCAAATACACCTATGTAATTTAATCATGGTACCAAAATGTCACTATCTCCAGTCGCTAGGTGGTACATGAATATCAATGATTTATCAGTAACAATTATTGTATAGTCAAAGAAAGTGAATATTTCGAAGTCTCTGCAAGGACAAAGAATGCCATTCTCATCTGAACATAGAAATACCTTGGGGTAAACTGTGCGCATACGACTGAATACAAACCCAGGTTGATACTCACCATTAATTCCTCAGGTAAAAATTAAACCAAATCGCACCGGTCTATCGTAGTTGTTTTTTGTGTGTGAAATACCTTTGTGACGATACCAAAATATAAGCCAAGAACTTAACTTTTGTTTAAATAGCTTTTAAGAAAGACTGATTTTGAATAAGAACAGCGTAAAAGTCCACACGTGAAAATTCTTAACACTCTAAACGTTATAGGCCCTTTATCTACGAGCACTTTGAAGCAATCTATTATCGAAATAACATATTTGCCTCATTGGCAAATTCTAATCTTTTTTAGTCCCATCTGGATTCAAAGTTGGTGCTTTGTTAAATTCGCCGTTACATACAAGGTATTCAAAGAGCGCGGTTGGTAGCCACTGAACAGATCGGACCATTGTATTAGCCAGCATGCCACACCGGTAGTTGGTACTCGGTACCCGCTCCAACAAACCTCGAGTCACGGCGCTGCAGACTGGGGTTAGATCCGTCGGAAGGGTAGGTCCTGTGTCCATGTTATCCAGGAATCTGTGGAAGTACTCCGGTGTGTAGTACTTCTTGAGCTCTGGGGTGAGTTGTTCGTAACACTTTTGTTGGAAGGATGAATTGGTGGATAGGAGGCCTGTCGAGACAGATACATGCAGAGATCAAATGATCAGTACATTTTAAACAGTTTGTACATCGTGTGAGAAACTCCAACCTCTACCCCGGCTTTGGTTTGAATTCCAACCGGTATACCATGCAGATTAGGTCTTCTCGTTTCCAACTTGATGGTGTGGGATTCCCTCAAAAATCAGCCTAAGTTTCTCAACATTTATCCTTCCACAATTATGACTGTGGTATGATTAGCGCCAGTGGCGCACCCGGGGCGGGGACTTTTTTTGTAATTTTTTTTTAGTCCCACGATTTGACCTTGGTGATGTGACCTATTTTCGAGTAGCATAATAGTGGTGTAAGTGGCGCCACCAACGTCAAAATAGTCCCCCAAAAAACAAACAAACATTTTTTTCTGCTGCCAAAAATTTTGGGCAAATTTGTTTCAAAAAATTTAATTTCTAAAAAATTTGTAACAAACATTTTGACCCCCCCCCCCAAGCCAAATCCTGGGTGCGCCACTGATTAGCGCCACTTGGCGGCAGTACATAGTGAAAAATGCAACCATCGGGTCTTTAACTCATTGCCATAGTCACAATACGTCAGCAATTGGGCGGTGGATATACTCTTGCTTTGAAATCAACAAAGTATAAATCGCGTTCTTGAACTAGGTATACTTCCAGAGCTCTCTCCACTCTGAGGCAAGGGTACTAGGTTTGGGGAACATGATGTTGAACAAGAACACCTTTTCGATTTCCCAGGACCTCTCCGTAAGGGGAGTTAAGACTTAAAGGGAAAATACAACATTTGCAAACATCAAAAAATAAAACTACCAAATCATTTTGAAATACCTTGCTGGACTGTTAGTGAATGACAGTGTAAAGCATCCTGTAAAATCATGGCACCTGGTATACTGTCATTTTCAAGAAAAGTGGTATTTTTGTATCAATTTCCAACGCTGATCGGCCGATCAGCGTTGGAAAAAACTGGCTTTTTTCAAATACTGGCCCCAATTGACCATCGCACTTGTTTGCAATCGATTACACACCTATGAACGGGTACAGGCCAGCTAGACTGGTTCCCTGACCTTACAATTCCCCAATGTATGTAAACTGCTCTGTTTCTTCTTAAATGGAGTCAGGGAACCAGACTACAGGAAAATGATTGTTTTTCTTGGTTTTTATAGCATTTTCGAACCCAAAACCTCAAAAAGTCAGTGTAACTATATTTGCTATATATTTCCAACCCCCCAATTCCATCCATTTCTGAAAATTACAGCAAAAGCAAATGATGTATATTCCCTTTAAGGCGTTCGGACAGGTGGCTGTAAGTAATAATCGTACTGAGGTTTGATTCTTAGTTCAACACTGGGTTTTGCTTTTCACCGACGTATATACAAAGTATTTATGCGCCTACCCCCCCCCCCCCCCCGCGATGCCCCAGGTCCGATGTCGGGGTTTGGTCACGTTTTTCATACCCCAGGGTGGGGATTTTGGTCACTCAAAACAGTGTTACCATTGGCGTTCTACATGGAAAGGAAATCACTGGTGCGCCCCACGATATGATCATAATTATGAATGAGATTGTCACTTAAAGTTTACCCGAGGGGTGGGGCAGCACGGGGAGAGGGGTGGGGGGAAATTGATAGGCGCATTATATAAACACTTTATATACATAAACACTGTATGCTCAGTGTTGCCCTGAGTGATTGTAAGACAAAATTCATAAACTACAAAGGCGAGTGGGACTCGAACCCACGACCTCCTGCTGAGTGCAGACGTCTTACCACTCGACCACCGAGCCTGTGATGTCGGGGGCTGGCTGGAATCGTATAGCAGCCGGCACCACAACCAAATTATTCACAAGATGGAACTTGCGGTGAGGTTGAAGGGCAAAACCGGATGCTGAATTGGCATTGCCACTGCCACGGTGCAAGTTTTATCTTGTGAATAGAGTCTTTTTTTGTTCGAATAATCCTAACTGCGGCCGCAGTTGAGCAGTGAACCGCATGCGGTTTCACTAAACTGCCATTTGCCTAGCAAACATGTTATTGTATGGCTTTGGTTAGCTCAATTGGTAGAGTAGGCCTACGTTTTCCAGAGGTCATAATCAAAGCCTGCTTTGAATTGTCTTTCTTTCATTCTAGCGTAAAATTGTTTTGAAAGCAGTGACAATTTTTTTTATGTCGTCTGCCTAAATTGATTGGTTGCTGATTCTCACCAGTTTTGAAGCCTCCTGGGTGAATGGTTATCACCTTAATTCCCCATTTCTTCATTTCCAATCTCAGGACATTACTGAACATCTCAGCAGCTGCTTTAGAGATGCCGTATGCTCCGAAAACCGGCATGTAGAAATAACCTGTTGATCAAAGTGGTCACTGTTATGGTATCTGCTTCGAAAATCCAAAATGCATTTGCGATTTCAGTTTTCCGATTACATAGCCACCATCAACTCTAACTTTACGCAACACGGAAAGCATTTTTTTGGGGGAAAGGGATATATTTATGGACACTCACCAAGAAATACTTTTGTTGGAGACCATTGTACCATTGTCTTCATCTAGTTTGTTCCTGGCCAGAGTCTGATTCTATGGAGGAGCGGCCAAGAGTCGCGGGGTTACGTTCTTCCACCCGCCCCCCCCCCCCCCCTTGAAAAGTTAACTAGCCAATGAAATCACGTACTCTGTACACGTGATTTTAAGGTTGCGCAATTCTTCTAAAGCCTGCTGGCGTTATCCCCATTTTGAAATCACGCGACCGACAAACAAGAAAAATGTGCTGTCATTGGCTATAGTTATTATTTTTTGGCTCAGCACGTAGCTCCCCTTGCCCGCACATGGCGAGTTTTTCGCCTCGCGAGGCGAACAACATGAAACGGGGGGGGGGAGATATTTGCCTCACGGCCTCGCGAGGCAGAAAACTCAGCAAAAAATTGATCGCACCGCTGGGTAATATTTTGTGAGCTACGTGTTGAGCAAACGGCCTCGAATGAGGTTTTGCTCAGCACGTAGCTCTCGCGTGCGGCGGGCTATAGGCCCAACAGTTTGACACAGGATTATCTTGTAACGCCAATGAATGGGCTAAACACGGCCCATAGACCATTATCATGTTGCGGCCATCTTGTTTTTTTCTCTCATTCAAATCAACCACGGATCCTAGACACCAGGATAAACGACTGTTCTGAGCTCTAGTACAAAATGCACTCAGTGGACTTGCCTTAATAAGCCATTTGCGAGTTAAATTTGAATAAAATCTGGAACGCTGACTTAATCCAATGCTTTGCACATTTTAACTTTGCATTCTCCCGACCAAAGAGACTGTTACTACATTACGTGATTCGGGGCAAGCCTTATGCTAGCAACACCCAGCTCTGGCATGGTCTGGTGTCTTTGTGCCATTCTCACCCATTGTGAGCGATGTATTGATGCTGAGCGTCTCTTACGTAACTATGCAAGAGCTTGCCCCGAATCATGTGATTAGCAACAGTGTCTTTGGTGTGGAGAATTCAAAGTTAAAATGTGCCAAGCATTCTGAGCAAGTCAGTGTACCAGATGTTATTGAAATGTAAATCCCAAAGGGTATAGGTTACTCGCAAATGGCTTATTGGTTAGGCGCGTGATAACGGGCATTAATACCCGTTGGCGCGTAATCGCGAATTTTCCAGATGTGCCATTGTGTTGGGTTTTTGCACGACATCTAAAACGGAAATATTCATAAAACTGTAAGTAAAACTACTTCTTATTTTAGGTATAATTGTTCCAAATTATTTAAAAAACAAATATTTCAGGATATAACAGATGGTATTGTGCAGTTTTTGTCGTCATAGATGAAGTATTTACCCAGGAAATAAACGACAAATTTCGAGGAGAACACCGTTTACCCAAATTTCGTTTTTAATTACGGGCTTTTATTAAAAAGTTTTAGAGAGATAGGATGCCGAACCGATGAAAGAAAAGCGACATTTCATTGTTCATCTTAAAGCTAAAGATATTGTGCTTGGCATTACCATGGTAATGTAGTTATCACTTATCAGAATTCAATAATAAAGACCAAAAACGTAGACTCAAAAATAGGCCAGATCGGGCGGAGAGCCTTGCAAATCTGAAAGCCACCGCGCGCAGTGGTCTTTGTTGAAAAGTATTCATGGTATTTGCCACCAGTACAGGCCGTTATCGCGCGTCTAACCAGGAGTTGGGCAGAGTCGTTAATCCTTGTGTGTAGGATCCGTGAATCAACGTAACAAAAGGGAGGCTGGAAGGAAAACAGTCTGGTTCCTTTTTGCACAAAAAACATTACCATTCAGTACTGTTATTGGATACAGGGAATATGAGTGAAATTGTGGCAGCATGACTTAAGGTCTATTGCCACGGCCACATCATGAAAAGCCTTCCATGAAACAGCCATTCTTTATAATCGATTGAACAGAATTCTGCTCGCCCTGATGGAACATCTTTAAATGGGCTTGTTTACCAAAGCATCTGCAATTTAAAGCAATATGGGCTTGTATCAGATATAGGCTTGTACATAGACGTACTGTTTGTACTGTTGATGCTGACAATTCGGCCTTCAGACTTGCGCAGTAGAGGCAACGTTGCCTGGACGACACGGATCTGACCGAGTAGGTTCACATCTAGATGTTGTTGGAAAGTCTCCATGGGTGTAATCTCGAGCTCAGAGGCACGCAGGATGCCTGCGTTATTGACCACACCCCATAGACCTATAAGGGGCGCAAAATGTATGCTTTAATGGCACAATTAGCCCTAAACACATTCATGTTATGCCAAAATGATGTGTGACATTTTGGGTAAATGACTGTGTTAAAGTGACATGGTCTTCGAAATATTCTTACTATAATGTCTGGCACATGTTTGTCTGAATTAATAAATATAAATACAAGTATATAATAATATTGTTTTCACAATGCTTGTCTTTAATAAAATCCACTGCATCTAACTCACGTTTTTGTTCTCAAAGACATAAGACAGGGTTTGTAAAAACATAAGAGCAGACGTACGTTTCCTAGCCATGTAAATAATGAGCTGGGAGATATTTTGCCGCTTAACTTGTTGTTTTCGTTGCTTTATTTGCAATTTAGTTACGCGTCTCTTTTTGATGTTTTTCTTTGTGCTTGGCTGCCTGTCTGGCTTTCTAACTTTTGTAATCGTTTGTGCCTACCCTCATCACCAGTTGATTGCATAATGGTTGCCATGGCAGCATCAACAGTCTCCTGCTTGGTTACGTCCAATGGGATGACACGTAACTTATCCGAGCAGTCAGCTGATAGCAGAGAGGCGCCCTCACCATCTGGAAACAGACAGCCTGCAAAGACTTGGATGCCAAGAGCGTCCAGATACTTGGCAGTCGCATGGCCGAAACCGCTGTCGCAACCTTTGAATAAAAAAAGACCGGTAAAAAATGCGAATTCGAAAAATGGAATGCTCTAAAACCGAAGGGTGTCCCGAAAAAGATAACAAATGAACAAAGGGTCACTTAGAGCAAACTATGAACTGAATGGCCATTTACAAGGTTTTATTATAAAGACAGTATACTTTTCATTGATATCTTGATTGCATTCCTCAGATAATGCATCACTAAGCTTCATCGTCTTAAAAATAATTATATCCTCTTGGGACAGTTTGGGGGTAAAAACCGAGAACATTCAGACGTAACATAGGTAGGTGCAAGGGGCACTGAACCGTGAAAACAGGAATAAAATAGGATTTCTGTCAAATGATGATCTTTTTTATTCAGAATTCAACACCTTAAGCCCGGTTCATGATACTCTGCGCGAAAGTGAACGCGAATTTGTGACATCATGGCAAGTCATTCGCGCTGCGAATTCTTAAAGGTGAACATATTGCAACTCGGGAGAATTTCGCAGCGAATGTTTCATGACGTCGAATTCGCTTCGCATTCGCATGAAGTATGAACCTGGCTTAATTAGCCAGGTTTGTGACGTTCTACACGTGCATGTCCACGGGGGGGGGGGGCAAAGCAAATTTTCCCCCAAAATTCCTTAACTTTTTCATTATATTCTCAATTTATCATTTTTCCGAGCGTGAGCAGGGGAGCATTTGCCCTCGCTTCCCCCCCCCCCCCCCCGTTTGTGTTTGTGGACTGGGAAATTAGCTTGTGCCTGCCAAAGATTCCGTAAGGTACTATTTCTCTGAGCTGCAGCACAAGATCATAAATCCTGCAGGCTTGTTCATGTTTTCATAATTTATCGGTGTTTTGAACTTAGTTGTCTTATGTCTGGATATGCTCATGCTTTACTCCCCCAAAGGGGTTTTGCATACCATTTTCAAGACAATTGAGGTCACAGATGCATAACCAGAGGAATGCAACTTTATTAGAAATGGTACTGCCCCTAAAGTTCATGATAAAACCATAATAAAATTCAAGTTCACAGCTTATTCAGAATCCCCTCGTTATATGGTTACCTTTTTTGGGACACCAAAATAAATTTGAAACAAAATAGCGATATATAGCGCGACTATTGAAGTCATATCATAGACTATGGTCCAATCAGTGAGTCAGTGGCTCAATCAGTCGGTCAGTCAGTCAGTCGAATACAAAGAGGATATAGGCTGGCCGTTCTGGAAACCAGCAAAACCAAACTATATGAGTAGTTGTTCTGTTTGTACCTGTGATGAAGACAAACTTCCCTTGAGCCGGTAGAAGTGCTGCTCCCGCACGCCTACGAAGATACGCCAGGAAAGCAACCGCCAAAACTAACCCGATGAACACGTCTCTGACCGACAGCTCCCATGTAAACCAAGCAGTGGCTAGAAGAAGAGCAAGACATGTTGGGAGTAAAAGTAACTTGGACATCATGATCGCCAGAAAGTCGGGTTTGCAATGACGAAATGGATGCGTGCTTAGGCCTACAGCCCTGGTGCTTAGTTAGTGTGTGAACGGCAAATATAGCTACTTCGAGTCGAGGGAACCGTACCGCCACATGCACAGCGTGGTTAATGGGTGCTTCCTTCACGGTGTGTGAAAAGCAATCACAAGGTCATCAACCCACTGCACTCACAGAGCATATTGAAAAAGCATTACCGTCGCCTTTTCATCAAAGTCTAATAACGGTCCTGCCTGTAGGGGATCCCGTACGTGGAAACAGCTAGCTGTGGCACCCTTTTCTCACTCGTGTTTAGGATGCCTGTGCAAAAAGGTCGACATGAAAATTCAGTGAAATCAGAAACACGTTGGCTGAGGCACGAAGTTTATTGTAAATGCGGCTGTTGACATGGGTTTTTTATTGAAGCATGAAAGTGTACCAGGAAATCCAGGTAATAAAACACAACTTATCACCTTATAAAATGCAGGTAGATTTTCAAAATTGTCCGGGCATGCCCCGCCGGGCAGGACGTGTCTTCGGCACGCTTTCCCTGTATCACCATCCCATTTCCTGAAAGCTGGCCCTGCAGAAAGATCAAACTCTTCGAACTGCCTGAAAACAATATGGTTATGGTTACGGTTATGGTTTATTTTTTCATATCATAGCACAGACAACATAATAAACAGGAAACTATATAAAGAATGACAAACAATGATACGAGGGCTCCAGGTAAAAAGCATAGGCTTGTACAAGACCTGAAACCCGTAATTACAAATTAAGCTAATAAATTAATATGTTCATACAAAAGGCTGAATTCTATCAGGTAAATACACTTATACTAATAAAATTGAAAAGAAATAAAATTAATAGCAAAAATATTCACATTCGTATGAATATACATAGGCCTACACAGTACTTTCTTACGTCCATACATTACAAGAAATAAATCAATTAATTAATTACAAAACAGGTAACGGGGAGGAGGGGGCAAAGAAGCAAAAAGTGGCCAAGGAATTATAAAACAATACTTATTTTTCGACAATCTGTGAGATGACATGAATATACAATTTATTGGGATACTTAATTATCATTATAATTTGTCAGTAGCAACGTTTTCATGTAGTTTTTAAGGTTCTTCATTGGTCTTAAGATAGGCATTGGTTTGAGGTGGTTCCACAATAGAGGTCCTTGGTTTCTGACAGTCGATAAGTAAAGAGATGTTCTAGCTTTATGGAGATGAAAGTTTGAGGCTGACCTTGTATTATGAGAATGGATATCCGAGTTTTTGTTAAATAGCGAATGTATAGTTTTGGGTAATTTGTTTGTTTCGAATTTACACATTAATACTCCAAGATGGTATTTATACAAGTCAAAAGCAGATAAGGTTTTGTATTTACTAAACAGTGGTGCTGAATGTTCTGTATATCTGGAGTTATTAATTATCCTAAGTGTTTTCTTTTGCATAATATACAATTTATTGATAAAGGTTGGGTAGGTGTTACCCCATGCTAAAATACCATATTGAAGGTGAGGCAGGGACAACGTATTATAAATTGAAAATAAGATATCTGAAGGTAATTGGTGTTTTAATTTTCTTAAGATACCCTGGTTCCGAGAAAGTGAAATTAGTACTTTTTGGCAATGTTGCTTCCAAGAAAGTTTACTATCAATAATTACACCTAGAAATGTACATGTTTCAACTTGTTCTATTTGTGTGTCATTTAAGTAAACACTGATATTCCTGTCGACTTTACCATTGGAGAACAACATACATTGTTTTGTTTTTTAAATTAACGGATAGTTTATTACATTTAAACCAATCGGAGATTTTGCATACGTTGTCGATTAACAGTGTCAACTGCCTTAAGTAAGTTATTACTGCTATACAAAACATTAGTGTCGTCTGCAAATAAAATGAAGGAGAGTATTTTGGAAGAGTTACAAATGTCATTTATTTAAATCAGAAAAAGTATAGGGCCAAGTTTTGAACCTTGAGGAACTCCACAACTGATTGGTGCAAAAGTAGATTTGGTATTCTGCCATACCACATACTGTTTCCTGTCACTTAGATAGTTTTTGAACCAATCCAAAGCAATTCCTCTAATTCCATATTTATTTAGTTTACTAATCAAAATATTATGGTCTATAGTGTCAAAAGCTTTTGAGAGGGCCAAAAATAAACCGACTGTATGAAGAGAGTTGTCAAGTGAGAAACTTAGTTTTATCAATGAGGTCAATCAGTGCCAGATGAGTTGAATAGTTGGCCCTAAAACCATACTGAGTCGCTGACAAAATATTATATTTATCCATAAAGTTATACATTCGATTTGCTACAAGTCTTTCTAATATTTTTGAAAAGTAGGGTAAAATAGGACGGTAGTTACTACTAAGGGATGGATAACTTTAGCTATTTTGAAATCAGTAGGTACTTTTCCTGATTCGAAGGAACGGTTAAAAATTGTTGTCAAAGGAGTTAGTATGTACGGTGCTATATCTTTAATAATGTGATGATCGATCTCATCATGTCCTCTGCTTTTTTTGCTAGGAAGTTTATTTATACAATTACAAAGTTCTTTAGTTGTTATTGGGGTCAGAAACAAGGAATCAGGGGAACATCACTTATATAATCTAGTGGGTCTGAAAATTGATCGAGGGATTTTCTGAGCTAATTCAGGGCCTACATTTTATGAAGAAATTATTAAACTGATCAGCAATTGTTTCGGGGTCTACAATATCTGAGTTGTTTATCTTGAATGAAGCAGGAGGCCGGGTGTTTTTTTGTGTTTTTCTTGAGAATATTGTTAATAAGTTTGCAAGTATTAGTTAAGTCATTTTTTTCTTTGTTAAACATCAAGGTGTAGTATGTTTTCTTGGTTACTCTAAAGACGTTTGTTAGTTTATTCTTATTATCTTACATATTTACGCTTATTTGAATCCATGGGATTACTAAGATATTTTTTATATAATGTGCGTTTTCGTCTGATAGATTTTAGCAGCCCCGTTGTCATCTATGGGTTAACATTGATGTTTTTACGGGATCTAAATCTCTTATAAGGTATACATTTATCGTAAAGATAATTTAGTTTCTGTATAAAACTGGTGTCAGGCCAAAAAAAAAATATTCGGTCTCTGGTCAGACCAAAGTTCCGGAATTGATGCGGCGACGCGGGTTTTTTTTTTTGGGGGGGGGCCTTTTTTTTTTTAAGCTTGGATTGTACAGACAAGGTGGGTACTATTTTTGCTTTTGTTGTGTCCTCATATACATTGGGGACCTCCATAATTTGCCTTGGTGCCCTACATCATTTGCCTTGGTGCAATTTCCCCATTCCTTGGTACAAAAATTTGATAGAGGGCGCTGCTGTAGCTACCGCGGACAATTTGAAGGGAAAAAAAAGGTTGACGCGCATGATTAAAATCGACGCGCGCGCTGACCAGAGACCGACTTATTTTTTTTGGGGGGGGGGCCTAACACCCGTCAATATTATCGTCCAGCAGTACTGAGTTCCAATCAACATCGTTTAATTCATTCTTAAGACTAGCCATATTTGATACACAAGTGTTTCTTTTCCTGTAAAATACTTGTTTTTCTTTAGTCGTTGTCAGATTTGGTCCAAATATAAAAATAGGTATGACACAAGGATTTCCACAATTCATACACCACCAAAGCCTGCAGTTTGTCGTACGACCATTTGCGACATACGTCATGTACATCGATCAGTGCTGGGCTTCCACCCATGGTATGCAATGTTTCCTGTCCCTAGAGGGCCGAGGCGAAATCAGATATTAAAACATTTCACCCAGGCAAACAAATGCGCATTTGGGCGCTGGAATCAGATGCTCAAAGAAACTATGACACTGATATGGGTTTCCGGATCATTTTAAGGCTTATTATAATTCGCCTCGCCCGCTTCAGTCCATGGTTTAGCAGACCATCACCATTGCTACTCGGCGGCACCTCGTCTTATTAAGGAGTCGAGAAAATCGTTTGTCAAAAATTTAAAACTACAGTGTACTATACATGTATATCTTAAAATATAAAAGCGACGAGGATGAGATTCTACACGCGTGGAGAGCACCATAGATTAGCAGTCCATCACCTTAACCACTCGGCTTTAATTAATAATTACGGTTAAAGCCCCATTACAAAATTAAATTTAAACAACATCACCCGACAGGATTTTCTTCGCATTAAAAAATATCAAGATATCCTATGGCTTGAAAGAGGAGACTAGTTTTCTTCCCATGTCTTATAGAGGGTTGGGTTTCTTAGAGTACAAAACACCAAGCTGATCATTCCCGCTGTACTGGGAATTGGATTGACTGTCATCTTTCATTTCCAAATCCGATTCACAGTCAGTAAAGCAAAAACAAATTCCAAAAGAAAATAAAATGTGATATGATTAGTTCGATGATGTCAAAAACAATACTATTTAAAAAAAAATGTTATTGCTTGTTTTAGTTTAATGACAAACACTTTCGAAAGAAAAGTTACTTCGCGTACATAAAGCAGGAATTTATTCAGTTGGGCATTATGATATCTTCGGCCGTACAACTGTTTTATATTCCTTGTTTTAAATCAAGCCGACCATTTCGACACTCATGTCCCACAATCTGCGTGCTGCGTCATCATCCAGTGCATGCTGGGAAGGCTCCTTGGGGGCGCAGTCACTGGAAGGAGGAAAAAAGGAGTAATTTTTGTCATTATTTGAAAGGTTGCGTTTTGTGGTCAAAACTTCCTTTTGTTTCGTAGCCCTTCAAAATCTAGAAAATATATTCAAGAGTCAGAAAGTCTTTACAGATTAAAAAAAAATCAAGAGATATCAAATGAATCAATAGAAGACTCAAAAAATTGTTTCGGCCCAACTCCCCATGAGTAGTTATTATATTATTTTCTTGCTTGCAAAATGATTAAAAACATATGACACCCGAGGCCTATTCAGATGGCATAATCTGTGATACAACTTTTTTTCAATGGACAATTTTTGACATTACGGTACACACCTGAAGTAAAGACCAGAAGTATTCAATAGTTCTGGGGTGACTGCGCAGTGAATAGTAGTCTGTGCCCCTTGCACAGGATTCTTGAACACCCACACGAGCGGGGTATAGCGGATCAGGCTGATAAGACGGGATGCCAGACTACCAGGTTTCATCACGTGACGAGAAAGCTCCGTTGCTACGACACCCGGATGAACTGCATTGACTGTCACACCTGAGACTAACAAGTAACAAAGGGAGTCAGAAATTCAGTTCGGTAAACAGGTGATGCGGGGAGTAGTGAGGACTGCCGTCTCAAAAAAGACTTTTTATATTGAAAACACGAAGATGCTGGCAAACATCTCATATTCCTGCTCAATACTCCTGACGCAAACACAACTATGGAAAACACTGAGAGAGCGCAATTCCCCGTGATATTGTCAGGACATAAATGGTGAAGAATCCTTTAACAAAATTCTGGATCAAGACCCAGATCCGGATCACTTTCAAACTTATCTAATTGATTTCTACTTGCACCAAGGACCTCCCCTACAACATTTTTCATGCAAATCCGTACATATTTTTTTAACAACCAACCATCAAAGTAGCCAAATCCGATGAAAACATCAGAAGTATTAATGCAGGGCGTCACCGATAAGCTCAAATGATATGTCGTTTAAATTACTCATTATCCATAGCTGGTGAAGGATAGTATGGTGGCATTGGTTTCTTACCAAAGGGGAGAAACCTAATTTCTATATCCGAATAACAGAGAGAGGCTGAACTTTGTCTAAGCTGTTACACAACAACTTTGTTTTTGAATGGTAATCGCCCATCACAAGGCCAGAGGGCTACTCAAGGTGCAGGGTACGTACAGGAAAGTATAGAGATAAAAAGTTATAGAGAGAGAAGATATTTATCTATCCTGGAGAACAAGATTCAGGTAAGGAGTCCCGGTCAAAGTGCAGCAGCACGAGGAAAATACTAGAAGAATATCTGACAGTACTGGCCTTTTGAACAGATACAGTGAAGGGATGAGAGGAGATTGCACAACGTGTGCTGCGAGTGAAGGTGCGAACAGAAAAGACAACAAGTGAGAGACTTTCTGAGCACATACCATCATCTTTAAAAAATCAGAAAGTCTAAAAGAGGTTCTAGGGATGATGCCAGCGGCAAAATATTACATGGTCAGCCTCTATTTCAACTTTCAAAATAATTTTGCAACGGAATCCATACCGATCTTCCTCAGTCGTCTGCTCAGCTCTCGCGTAAATAGAACATTAGCCAGTTTGCTCTGTCCGTAGGCATCTCTCTTGTTATAGCCTTTCCTCATCTGGATGTCGTCCCAGTTCATCTTGGCGTAGGCGTGAGCCAGAGAGGAGACGTTGATAATGCGGGCTGGGGTGGAGGACTTGATGAGATCCAACAGGAGGTCAGTGAGAAGGAAGTGACCCAGATGATTGACACCAAACTGCATCTCAAACCCATCTTCTGTCTGCCACTCGGGACACATCATGATACCTGAAAAATCAAATCCATAATGACAACATGTCATATCACACGGTGTACCACATGCACTTAGTTTATCTCTCTGCTGGATGGGTCATGAAATCTACTTATTTTTTACCCGCGTTGCTTGAACTCTCGACATCTGCAGTTTCTGGTGCAGTAATTTTTCACTTGAGTCAATCAACCTCATCGGATAGGTATAGCTTAATGCAAAAGTCGGACTTTACATTTTGGTCTGTTGACTGACAATCACGTAGTAAACTATAAACAACAAACGAACAACCCAACACAACGACAGAATTAACAAACTTTTCTTTTACCAAAGGCTTGCATGCAGCAAAAGGAAACATGCAGTCCAAAATTTTCATAACGTATTTTATTTTATATATACATTCATTTATGTGTATTAAGTGTGAAATAAAAGCAGAACTGGTTCTGGTGTACGTTTAGTGTGGTAATTTGCCGTCCAAAATTGAACCCCCCCTTTTTGATTTTCGCGGCAACTCCAAATGAGGGCGCTGTTCATGACATAAACAAAGGCAGAGAAATCCAGGGCCCGTAAATGACGTCTGGGTACGAGACGGATTAGCGAAGCTACTGTGCTGTGTGTATGTGCAGCCGCCGCGTACCCGTACGTGGCATTATATGCACACGTACGGGTGTGTCTACATGGGATATGTACAGTACACGTGGACGTGCCACGGTGCCACCGTTGTCGAATGAACACGACGACCGTCATGACCGTAAAAGTTCCGAAGACCGTCCTCTTCTTTCCTTAGCGAATCCGATGAAAATGGTACAGATTCGTCCGATTCGAATCTGAGTTCTAATGATTCAGACACTGACTCGATGTTTTTTTAGGGGCATGCCCAAGTTGCTGTACAGACCAGCATCAAAGCACGACGGCTCAAAGTGCAGCGCAGAGGGCAGCGAACTCACTGGGCCCGGACCACTTTGCTCTGGTATTTACCTTCACTTTGGCTCTCCAAATGCTCCGATATTTCGGATTTACTGGAAAGTTTTGCTACACCCAGCAGCCACACACCTTGTCGGCATGGCCGAAAATCGGGTGTTATTTCTCCTCGATTCCGAACGAAACACCAGAAAAACTTTCAGTGCCGCAATGTATATGTACATGTATTATGATGCACGCCGCAATGCCGCGCCGGTGCCCCCGCAGCGCGGCAAGTCTCTGCCTCCGCTTGCGTCATACCCCTCGCGAAGTTTTATGTTAATGAAGCTTCCCTTTGTGGGGCGGAGTAGTTTGACCAAACATGTTCGCAAATTATTTTCCCCCATTTATCTTAGAAAATAAACACCGCCATACACAAAATATTGTTAAGAACATCATCCTTTATTGATTTAAGCAAAAAAAATGCAATCAAAATTTTATTTCATGTTCCCTTTAACACCTTAACAAAAGTAGTATAGAAGGATCGTTTCGCATCTCGTTGTGACTGTGAGGAGGTTTAGGTGGAGTGCAGCAGTAATGGTGGAGGGAGGAAGCAATGGTGGAGGGAGGAAGCAATGGTGGAGGGAGGGAGTAATAATGGAGGTAAGAAGAAGGGAGTAGAAGGTGGAAAGAATGGGCATGGGGTAGAGGAAGAGGGTTGCATTAGTTTGTACACGTCGAATCTCAAAATGAACATTAGTATTCAACTTTACTGTGTCACTTTTTGAGTTTGTGTCGTTCGCGTGGAATGTGACTCTTGTAACAACACTGAGGAGTAGACAAATTTGTTTGGTCCTTGGTACGGGGTCATAGTTTTACCAACTGCATTGAATGACCTATCGAATAAAGCTTACAAAATCCTCTTTACAGTGTCAAGTGACGTTACAGTTATTGATGTAAAGGGGCGTTGTGAAACCGGAAACTTTCAGCGCAGTACGCATAGTGCGTTAGCCCGCCGGTCACGCTATCAATTACGTGCAAATCTCTATAACTTATTTTGCTGTCAGTCAAAATGTACGTGTTTTCACAAGTAAGGAAATGTACCAGGTACGGATAAAGGGTTGTTCATTTTGTAAAAACGTGCCTGCAGATTTGTAAAATTTAAACGCCATTAGGCAGAATGCGTTGCTACTTCGAATCAGTTTCAATTTCAAGTCAACCCTGTTCAGCATGAGTTTTTCTTGGAAAAAATGTCGCTGTGTATCAGTCTGATCATGTCGGCCTCGCTGCTGCCATTCGTAAACTTGTGTCTCTTCTTTAGACCCTGGTTGACCGCATCGTCTGCCGCCTGTGGGTCAGCGATGTCCATTTTGCCGGCGGTGTCTTTGTAAAAAAAACAAGCTGCAGTGAGCTTGGACATTTTTGCCATCGCTGCCGTAGCTAAGCAGTATTTCGAGTATGGCGCGATATGGGTATGTATAGGGTGGAGGGGGAGATCAGGCGTTCGTTCAGAATCACATCAATCTGGCTGAATATATAGGGACTGTCGAAATAAATTGATGAAAGTGGTCGGCCTTTGTCAGGTTGGAGCCGTCCGCCTTGGTGATTTTGGCTTTGACGTACAACTGCGTTTGGTTGAGATCCATGTATTCCTCTCCGGATCCCGGCGAGAAAAACTCTACGGGTCCTCCATCACAAATGGTAGAAATGGGATGAACCTCTTCCCACTGACCGCGTTCTATACAAGTCTGAGTGAGAGGGACAGATTTCGTGCATCGCACGAGTTGTTGTGTAACAGCGTCATTATTGGATAGCGAATACATGTACACATGTAGTCTGATTGAAATCCATAATCGAAAATGTCTTGCGATCTTTTCACTCTCCAGCAGGATGAAGAAGTGGCACGTCTGCCATGCATGTGGGTAAGCAGTGACGTCTAAACTTTGATTTCACCTAGCTAGAGCAAAAGTTTTAACTGAAATTTCACAGAATGTGAAATTGTATCAAGTTCTAAACACCCCCGTTCATAAATTACGAGTATATCTACCCGTTACAAGGTTAGAAGAAAAATATTTCGGCGTGATTTTCCGATTATATTTCGAAGTGCACAGTGAACCTTTGAAAATGTCCACCAAAAATAAGAAATAAATTTCCTGGCAAACTTATAGCCAGACTAGCCAGATGGTCGTAAGCATCTTGATATTCCCCGTAGTACCATATTATATCACCAACAGCTGGTTCAATATGTGTATTTCCCTCTGAAAGTATAAATCTCTTTACCAACTGAGTTTTCCCCGAACCCGTTGACCCGGCTACTACTCCATTAAATGGATGTTTAAGTCGTGCGTCCATTTGGCCAAAAGAAATCGTTCTTGCATTGTGGTCGACTTAAAAAAAACTTGAAATATTCTCACACTCCCAAACTCCCACTCACCAGCCATGATCAACAAATTAACAACAAAGAAAAAACACAATTGAACATGTTCCTCGTTATCTGTCTTCTGCTGTATTTACATTTCTTTCTCAACAAATACATTAAATGCGGGAAAATATCAAACCTTGTTCAAAACACAAGTACATTTTTGTTGTAGGTCTATAATAGAAAATTCGATTCATGGTAAGATACTGTACGAAATACGGTGAAACACCCGAGTAGTCTATGGAGCACGGGCAATATGAATTAATCTAGCAATGTAGTTTGATTACTTTACGCATTGGAGAATTTGTTTTCATATATTTATACAGAATATTCAACAGTGATAAAAACAACCCTCTAGCAGAAAAACATAGTATACACAGGGAAAAAAATACCAAGCAACAAAATCAAATTGATCAAAGGAAACAAGTCGTTAATATTCACTTTGATTGAAGTATTAATATAAAGCAGTATACTATCAAACACACACACACAAATGAAAGCAAAGATAGTAACCATCTAGCACAAATCAATAATCAATTAATCCAACTGTACCCTTTGTTTGGTATTATAGCGCTTGTATTTTTTATTTATATTAAGCGTACACCACCAACTTTTTTTTTTACACAATCACTAACTTGGTGTGCGTCTTATGACATTTATAACCATACAAAGTTACATTATTATGAAAATTACAAATCCGGAAATGTGGTAGAAGACTGTTTTCACTAACCTCACGCTTTGGGTACAAAATAGTAAAAGTAAACATGTCTCAGTCCCTCATTCGGAAACCACGCTTTAGTCCCGAACCCGCCGTTTGTGTGCGTATGCATTGAGATACGTGCGTACTTTGTCTTTAATTTTTTTAGTCGTCTTTTTATTGAAGCCTTTGCAACTGGCTTTGTTGCCTTCCCAAAAATAAAAGTACGTTTTGCTGCAAAGAGCGACTATCCCTTCCCCCCTCCCACTCGACCTTAAACAACAGGGAGTACGTTTATCGTACGCTTTGTGTTTTGCCGTACCGTCCCGAGGAAACCAGTGCGACTTTTCCTTTTCAAAGTCTAATCGTTTGTGAGGTTTGATGACGGATTCCAGATTTTTACCTGATAGTGCAAGATATGCCGAATCGGTATCCATTTCGCACATTTCAAAGTCTTCGAAATGGACAAACGTAACTAAAAAATCGTAATAGAACTGAAGCACGCGCAATTTGACATACTGATATACGAAGAAGCCGATCTGAGTCGGCAAGTTGAGCCTTAGACCACAAAAAAAAGTCTCCGGTTTCTGGTAGGAGTTTTTGGTTTCCTCGAGGAGTTCTGAAGAGGATAACCACCAAGTATGGAGCTTGCCCAAAAAGTGGTGCGGCGACGCGGCTTTTTTTTTTTTTTTACCTGATTTTTTTTGCTTCAAATGTGTGCTGATGACTGCAAATGGTGCCCGACTAAACTTAGTGCAAATATATGGGAGTCCAGAGAGGCCACATAAAGCTTATTCTCGACCATAAGCCAATCTAAAAACACGTTAAAATTGTGCAGCAGCAGAATTCCAGTCAAACCAGTGAGTTTGGCGGTTTTGAGACATAACCTTTCATTGAAAAAAAAAACTTTTTCATTTTGCCGACGCGCATGGCTACGGCGACGCGCGCGCATACCAGAAACCGGAGACTTTTTTTTATGGCCTTATCGATTTCTTTGTCAATTCTACCTCGTACACCCCCTCCCCAATATCGTGCAGTGCCCTAAAATGTGGGTCGTTGATAAACCTAGGCGCGTTTGTTTCGTTGGCTATTTCGATGTTCATGTGACGCTCTTGGTTTGTGACCGTCTTTCCCGTAGGCCGTGTTTCCTAGCAGTTTCACCGTGTCCGCCAGAATCGTATTTGAGGGATCTGTATCGCCTGTTCGCCTTGCGTCGCTTACAGACTGTCCGAAACCGTCAAAACAATTGTATTTCCCATATTGAATTATTTCGTATTGTGTTCGACTATGAGTCCGTGAGACAAATACCACTGGAGCAGAGGTGTTGCTAGGAGAATTTTCGACACGAACATGCTACCTATCAAGCTTCTGACCAATGTCGTATTTACTAATGTCAACATTTTTGAAGATTGGGGTCATTTCAGAAAACATTTGTTGTAAATACTGTAGAACGCGGGTGTCGCATTCCACCAGGCTGAATTATCAACGATGTGGTGTAAAACTTCGCGCTGGGACATGGTTTGTCTTTTTGAATGGGGCAGTCTAATTGTGTCCAAAAACTCGCGCAATTAACTGTGGGTTGTGCAATTTTGAGTCTTCCCACTGATGACATTCCCAAATTTCCTCAAGGGGTTGTAGCCGAGGCTTGTGATGTATGCCGAAGTTCTCCTCGGTCTTTTTTTCGCAGAGCGGCACAGCTTTTCTTTAATCGTTGAAGTCTTTTTTATTCAGACGACATCGGTGCCCGTGCCAAAAACACCCGTGAAATTGAGAGACGGTGTTGGATGCGCTGCAGAAGCCATCTACGGGTACATGTAGTTGTTTCGAACCTACTCACTTTTCAACCCCATTGCATTTGTGAGTTACACTACATCCAGTGGTTTTTGCCTCCCAGTCCATCCACTCGCACGCCATAGCCCCGTATTTCTGACTCCTAACAGGTTTAAAATTATCATCCGCTTTGCGTCTTACAAAAAGGCCGATCAGGCATATCTTGCATGAGGGCCCACAGATATAGGGCATTGGCATCAAACCCCACTACCTTTTTACATAATTTATCTTCACCGCGGATGTATGTTTTGTTTTGTTCGTGATGTTTGCTAAACACGATGGACGGACCACCAACAATGTTGCTTTCTAATTTATAGTACAGATCTTTGTTTTGGTTGTCTATCAGGGAAAAACTAATACCTTCTGGTAGAGTTAAAGATAGGAACTGGAGGGAAAGACCTGGCACTGATATGGCACACTTAATCCCCCCTTCCCGATAAAAGATCGCCATGTTTTCAACCGCATCCAAAAAGGGGACCACGTCCAAGTTGTTATACCTCGTTAGGAAATCTTGCACTGTCTCCGTACCCTGTTCGTTCCAAACTTGTTGGCAGTGTTCGTACTGTTTCTTAGTTTATGCTTTCATTTTTGGGACGACTATAAAAAGCTTCGTGTGGGGAAAGTTCTTTTGATTTCAACTTCTCCAAATCATCGAACCACTCATAGGGAAAGTACCCCTGTTGCTGTTCAATATCATAAGCTTTCAAAAACTTGTCATAGCTATATCCCAGGGCCAGGTAATTTAAAATATCTAGAAATTTCATTTTTCTGCTCTTCAGTGCCATGTAAGTACTGGATCTTTTCACAGTGAATTGAAATGTATCCACCAACTGCATTTCTGAATACAAATATCTCTTCATAATATTCACATCATATTTACCGCTGTTAAAACCTAACACTGGAGGTTTCTTAATGAAGGCATCGAGTTTCTCCCCGGCAGCTTGGGCAGGATGTTTCCCTTTTCTTGCTTCCCCTCTTCCGTCAGCCTGATTAGACAGCTCTTCCAGTTTATCAAACAGATAATGATACCGCCTCATCAGAATCGTGTAAGCTGCATCAGAAATTACATGAATTTTTTTTTTTTTATCAATTTTCGCACTAAACTCATTGAATCCCCTTTTGATACAAGGCACGCCGGTTGCTGTTGTGAGACTCTGACTCGCCAATTCAACCAACTATCTGCTGTTGGGATTTCCATTTTAGTTCCCAGAATTCTTCTCCCCGGCGTTGCGTGGTAGTCTGAGTATCACCCGTTATCCGCGGAGCCAGTCTCCTGTCTAACGTCTGATATATCTAAGCATGCTTGACGTCATTTCATTCCGAAATCAGGACTAAGATTGTGATTGGTCAATTTCGATGCCGCGTTTTTGTAATTCAACTACAAAAGGCTACTCATCATGGGCGTGATGTTTACGCACGTGGGGAGCTCGAATTACGCGCGCATAAAAGGCGCCTGCTGAATACGCAGTCTAGTTGTATTATTAATCATCGAATCTGTTTACGTATAATATACCATGGTCGGCTTCGCAGGGGCCAGGTTCTATTACATAGACTACCCAAGCAATTTCGACAAGGTCACCGTGGCTTAGAGCGCGGTGAAGTTGCGAAATCACGAATTAAACACAGTTGGGATCACTGGCTCCGCTCCCACCAAAGCCCGTCTTTCCAGTGCTGCTGCTTTCGGTTCGGTGGTGTCACACCCTGACAGCGCATCTGTGGCCGGCCCACGGAACGACAACATCCCTCTGGCATCCCATCCGCTGCACGGCATGCCGCCCTTCCTAACCACATTGGCCAACCACGCTGCCTTTCGTTCCATCACAGTGCTACTGCTGAAGCACCACCGGTCACCGATCATCTCCATCAGGCTTTCATTTGTCACATGATCTTACCACTTGATGTTGATCAGGTGACGGCAGATGGTTCTTTATATCACATATCATTATTTATATCAGGTTTATCGTGATAGGTTCTGTGAAGCTAACGTTGTTGTCGCTGGCGAGGTAATATCTTTATTCACCAGTAATGGAATGCCTCAACACAAGCCCGAACGAGACGTTAATTTTGGCTCGCACGCGGAGTTGACGGAAAACACTGCGTAATACATGGTCTAGAATTTAAACCATGCACGCCCAGGCAGCCTAGATTCAACTAACCTAAAATTATACATATCCTGAACAAGTCTCTGGGTCAAGTGTGTTCTGATTGTTACAGTGCAACCGAGAAACATAGATTATTTTAACGCGTTCCGTGTGTTTATTGTGCCGTGCGAGTTGTATGTTTTTTATGAGATAACAAAGGTATACGGTTACACCCCGCATCGAATGGATCCGTCTTAAAGTTTTTAACCAATAACGTATTACTCAATTCCCGCGTAGACTTTCCGCAGCCACTTACAACCTAGGCGTAGTCGAGTCGCAAAAACCCCATCCCATCTTACGTAAGAACGTTTTGTACATAGGCCATGGTAATTGTTATAGAAAGCGCATCTTAATCGTTGAACAAAACCGCACCAATTAGTAGACAACAGATCGTATTGTATTGAACCAAACGCAGCGTTTAGGACTTTTTCCATGTTGTGAAGTGAGTGAATTTTGTTGAGAGAGAGAAGACATTTTAGATCTGATAGAGAGACGAGAGAGTGAAGGTGGGAGAGAGAGTGATCGTGTTTGCCAGACCGGTTTCAGCTTGCCCTGCACCTGAAATCTGATGACAGCAGATTTAGCTTTTGGATCCGTTTGATCCTGCGGGAACACGGAAAGTTCAGTTCCGATTCCCAGAATTTGGCAAATCCAGACCAAATTCTAGCGTCCCGGTCGTCTTGACATCACATAGCAACCGTTCACCTCCCCAGGTATTCGCCCAGCTAAATTACCGTAAGTGTTGATTTATGGAGTTTTGTATAAGTCTTTATTACTGGAGTGATCTTTAAGATTGATGGAGACTAAGTTGATTTTGAAATGAAGATTGGATTGATCTTTAGAAGTTATTATTTACCAGCATGATTTTGAAACGACCAAGAGAAGTCAAAGATCGTAGAAATGTAGAATTGTTTTATCATTAACAGCAAATCTTGAATTTGACGTTGAGAATTACTTTGAGCATGAGAATTTTGATTGAAGAGTTTGATAACAGACAAGTCAGCTATTATGATTGAGAATTTCGAAGTAAGGATTTTAGTAAACATAAGATACTTCTTGAGGATTTGGAAAGCAAACCAGATCATGTAGAAATGATAGGGGTGTTTAAATGTTTGTATTTTACGAGAAAACTCGAAAGGTTTTGGATCTTATATTTATTTTAGATGGCCTCTTTATTTGGTATTGATGAGTGATCCGTCGGCAGTAACACCGACTGGAGAGGAGTCTACCATTGACTAGCAACCTATAGACAAGGCGTTGAAGCATGGTACTGATGTAGCGTGTATGTAGACCAGTCCTGCAGCCTAGTGGGCAACTTGAGGCTTCAACATCGGTTTGGAGAGTGTCAAAAAATAAGCTTTATTGAATCTGTGAAGCATAAGAATTAAGTACAACTGGTGTAGTTTAAAAAACTTAACGTACCACAGAAAGCAAGTTCTTAATATAATTGAAATTAGTTTGTGAACGAATAAGAATACACCGGAGAGAAACCAAGCATTTAACCATTTGATAATTGTTGGAAATAATAATTTCGAGTTGAAGTGAATTGAAGTGAAGATAAGAGTTTTATCGACTTCAAGTTAAATTAGAGGAATTGAATTGTAAGATATTTGCTGTATATATGTAAAGAAGAAGTTGTGAAATTTTGGTTGTTGTTTTTTTTTAAATATAATTGAAGAAAGTTAGAAGTTGTTTTATTCCCGTCTTTTATTCTGTCTGTTGGTGTGTCCATAGGATCCGGGGTCGCCATTCCTCTCATATATTAAAGATATAATTTAGCCAAATTCTGGAGTGGTGACATATTTTGGGGGCTTGTCCGGGAAACTTGTAAATTAAAATCGTACTAGAAGGAACACCAACAGTTGATTGTATATAGATGTACTATGTTAATTATGGATGTATGATGAAAATAAGTGGTATCTTGTACGTTGTTCTATCCCTTGCGATACAGGCGGAGGTTGACTGTTGCTATCCCTACCCCCTTGCCCATTCGGCGACCTCTGGATTCAAGTTTCAGGTGCTGGGTAAGTTGAAATCGGTCAGTGTGCAAATGGATGTGGATCTAGAGCAATTGCGTAGTGTTTCTGAGGCATGTGGTTTAACTGGTCAAGAACTAGTACAATTTTGCCGCGAAGAGCGTAGAGAAAAGGAAGACACCGCTCGCGACATAAGGCACCATAGCCTAGAGATACGCAGGCAAGAACACGAAAACCTAGAGTTACAACTACAACTAGAAACGCTCAAACACGAACCAATTTCCACTCCGCAGACGCCAACTTCACCAAATGCCAATACTTCAGTACTAGGGACTTCGCGTAGTAAAGCTAAGACCCCTAGGTTACCCGTCTTCGACGAAACACGAGACGATTTAGACGCGTATATTCAACGTTTCGAGCGATACGCTACGACCCAAGAATGGGACGAAAAGGATTGGGCGATCAGCTTAAGTGCGCTACTCAAAGGAAAAGCATTAGATGTTTATTCTAGATTAGCCGTACACCAATCTAATGATTACAAGGCTCTGAAAGAGGCACTGCTCAAACGCTTCAATTTGACGGCTGTTGGGTTTAGACAGAAGTTTAGGGAAACCAAACCTGAAGCTGGAGAAACCGCTCCACAGTTTATGGCACGCTTAGACAATATATTTACGCGATGGGTAGATATGGATAAAGCAGACAAGACTTACGATGGAATCAAGGATCTCGTCTTGCGCGAACAATTCTTAAATCGTTGCACGGAGGAACTTAGATTATTTCTGAACGAGAGAAAACCGCGTAATGTACAAGAAATGTCTCGCTTAGCTGAGCAGTACACGGATGCTCATGGTTCGTTCGGAGCACGCGAAAACATTCGTAGAAGTACTCCGAGTAATTTCACACGAACATCAGATACGACTCCGCACGCGCAGTCTAGACCATCGCAATCTAGGCCCCAATACGCGTACAAACCAAATTCAGATAGTAGTCAACGCGAGATCAGAACGTGTTACTTATGCCACAAGAAAGGACATATCGCTAGAAATTGTAACAGTAGACCGAAAGACTTCACCAAAGTAGCAAATATCATTGCATCAGCACTAACGAGCGCTCTTGGTCCTGACCTTACAACGCAACCGCAGTCATCCGGTACAATAGAAGGTCAAGTTAATGATAGCCAAGAATTGGAACCGTCTGAAACAATCGCTTGTATTTTAGCCCCTAAGCCACTAAGAACATGTTGTGTTCAAGGTGGAAGTCTGCATTTGACATGTGGTCACGAATTACCGCTCATGAGTGCAGCTTGCCGCGACAAAAATCCCACTTGCATGCCTGTGACAGAATGCGTCGTAAACGGCAGAAACGTTTCCGTCCTACGTGACACCGGATGTAGTACCGTAGTGATTCGTCAAGATTTGGTTTCACCTAATCAAATGACCGGGAAAGATCGAACGTGTGTACTCGTAGATGGCACGATCCGTAAAGCACCGATTGCGATAGTTGAACTCGACACTCCGTATTTTATAGGATCATGTGAAGCACTGTGTATGCCTAACCCAGTGTATGACATAATCATCGGCAATATTTCGAATGCGCGAGATCCGCAGGAACCAGATCCTAATTGGTCCAAACCTCATTCGCCGTGCGAAAGTAACACAGAACTGGCAATCGCAGTCGAAACGCGTTCACAGAAGATCAAGGCAGCAGAACCGATGAAAAAGCTGAAAGTCGCTGAACAGCTCCCTGAAATAGATCATAAACAGATGAAAATTGCACAACAGAACGATTCGTCGCTGAACCGTATCCGAGAACTCGCGGAAAGTAAAGATGAAAAACGAACTAGAAATGGCTCCAGAACAACATTCATGTGGTTAGATGGGTTACTGCATCGCGAGTATCAATCACCAAGTCATAAGTGTGGTCAAGCACTTAACCAATTAATAGTCCCTACAGAATACCGAAATCACGTCATGAAAGTTGCACATGAAAGTATCCTGGGTGGACACCAAGGCGCAAAGAAAACCGCTGACAGAGTTCTTAGTAATTTCTTTTGGCCAGGCGTTCAAGCTGATGTGACTCGATACTGCAGATCGTGCGATATCTGCCAACGAACCGTACAAAAGGGTAGAGTTGTCAAAGTCCCCTTGGGAAAGATGCCGATAATCGACACTCCATTTCACCGCGTTGCAATAGACATTGTTGGTCCCATTCACCCAGTATCAGATCGAGGAAATCGATACATACTTACCTTAGTCGATTACGCTACTCGTTATCCGGAGGCGATTCCGCTACGGAACATAGAAACAGTGACAGTAGCAGAAGCAATGGTTGACGTTTTCACGCGAGTCGGACTCCCAAATGAAATTCTGACTGACCAAGGTAGTCAATTTACCTCAGAGTTAATGCGCGAGATAAGCCGCTTACTTTCAGTTCGCCAACTGACCACGACTCCGTACCACCCGTCATGTAACGGCCTCGTGGAACGTTTCAACGGTGTAATGAAACAAATGCTAAAACGCTTATGCGCAGAGAAACCCCGCGATTGGGATAGGTATTTAGCACCCCTACTCTTCGCATATCGTGACACCCCACATGAGACAACTGGCTTCTCACCGTTTGAGTTATTGTACGGACGCACCGTTAGAGGTCCTATGTCGATATTGAAAGAATTATGGACAGGCAATAGTGTCGAGAACGAAGAAACCAGAACAACCTATCAATACGTCGTCGATTTACGTGAACGTTTAGACGAAACGTGTAAAATCGCACAAGAAGCAATACGCAAATCCTCAGAAAAGAGCAAACGCTACTATGACCGAAAAGCAAGACCGCGAAACTTCAACCGAGATGATCTAGTTTTGCTTTTACTTCCCACTGATCGTAACAAATTGCTGCTACAGTGGAAAGGACCGTTTCGAGTAATAGAGAAAATAGGCACAGTAGATTATCGCATCGACCTCGCTGGAAAACCCAAAGTATTTCACGCAAATCTACTTAAGAAGTACATCTCACGCGCCGAAGTAAATTCCGCTATCACGACCTACAACTCATCGGACAATATGTTTGAACAAGTATGCGTCTCAGTCATAGAATGTGAACAAGATTGCTTTGAGAACGAATCGTTAGATGATGCTAGAATCGATAACGAAGACACACTTGAACTACCGCCAATGCAAGCGAAGGAAAGTATTGATGATGTAGAAATTAATGAAGAATTGTCGCCAGAACAAATCACTGAAACAAAACGTGTGCTTAACAATTTTCGTGAAGTTCTAACTGATCTCCCGGGTAAAACTAACCTCGGCTACCACGACATCAAAGTTGAATCCAACGATCCTATCCGCAGCAAACCATACCCTCTTCCTCACGCGTTAGTCGATACTGTCAACAACGAAGTCGAAAACATGCTTCGAATGGGAATCATCGAATTATCCGACTCACCCTATGCATCACCGATTGTTCTCGTAAAGAAACCAGATGGTACGAACAGATTTTGTATTGATTTTCGGAAACTGAACAAAGTTACCGTCTTTGACGCTGAACCCATTCCGAATCAAGAACAAATTTTCACTAAGTTGTCAAAGTGCCACTACTTCACCAAAATTGACCTAACGAAAGGCTATTGGCAAGTTCCGCTAAAACCTGAAGTTAAACCCAAAACTGCCTTCATCGCTCCCAATGGCTTGTATCAATTTATCGTAATGCCGTTCGGGCTCATCAACGCGCCAGCTACTTTTAGTCGTATAATGCGTGCCTTACTGAAGGACATGAACAATGTTAGTAACTACATCGATGACATATTACTTCACACTCAGTCTTGGGAAGTTCACGTGCAAGCACTCAATGAACTACTGAGTAGACTTCGAAAATCCGGCTTGACTGCTCGACCCAGCAAATGTTCAGTAGGCATGAGTACTATCGCATATCTAGGGCATAATGTCGGCCGCAGCAAACTAACACCGCAACAAAATACGGTCGAAAAGGTTCAAAATGCTGTACCTCCAGTTACAAAGAAACAACTTCGGTCATTCCTAGGATTATCCGGGTACTACCGCAGATTCATACCCAACTATGCGGCTATAGCAGCTCCACTTACCGATAAGACTAAAGCGAAAGAGCCTAACAAAATAACATGGGGTGAAAGTCAGCAATTAGCCTTCAACAAACTGAAGCAATGCCTGTCTAATGCACCGATTCTCACATTACCAGATTTCGAGAAACAGTTCATATTACGAACCGACGCTTCAGATCTCGGTATCGGCGCAATCCTACTTCAAGAACAAGATGGCGTTCCGTTCCCTGTTGCATTCGCGAGTAGAAAGTTACTTAGCCGTGAACGTGCGTACTCTTCGATAGAGAAAGAGTGTTTAGCTCTCATATGGGGAGTTCAGAAGTACCAGAGTTACTTGTACGGTAATCACTTTGTGGTAGAAACAGACCACCAACCCCTAGCATACATTCAGAAAGCCAAAGTCGCTAATTCCCGCATAATGCGTTGGGCGCTGGCTTTGCAGCCATATCGCATGACGATAGTAGCGATCAAGGGCACCGACAATGTAGGAGCCGACTTCCTTAGTCGCAATGTATAGATATTCCGCACTGCAACTCCTTGAGAAAATGTAAGACATTTTCTTACAAAACCGGGGGTGAATTGTTACAGTGCAACCGAGAAACATAGATTATTTTAACGCGTTCCGTGTGTTTATTGTGCCGTGCGAGTTGTATGTTTTTTATGAGATAACAAAGGTATACGGTTACACCCCGCATCGAATGGATCCGTCTTAAAGTTTTTAACCAATAACGTATTACTCAATTCCCGCGTAGACTTTCCGCAGCCACTTACAACCTAGGCGTAGTCGAGTCGCAAAAACCCCATCCCATCTTACGTAAGAACGTTTTGTACATAGGCCATGGTAATTGTTATAGAAAGCGCATCTTAATCGTTGAACAAAACCGCACCAATTAGTAGACAACAGATCGTATTGTATTGAACCAAACGCAGCGTTTAGGACTTTTTCCATGTTGTGAAGTGAGTGAATTTTGTTGAGAGAGAGAAGACATTTTAGATCTGATAGAGAGACGAGAGAGTGAAGGTGGGAGAGAGAGTGATCGTGTTTGCCAGACCGGTTTCAGCTTGCCCTGCACCTGAAATCTGATGACAGCAGATTTAGCTTTTGGATCCGTTTGATCCTGCGGGAACACGGAAAGTTCAGTTCCGATTCCCAGAATTTGGCAAATCCAGACCAAATTCTAGCGTCCCGGTCGTCTTGACATCACATAGCAACCGTTCACCTCCCCAGGTATTCGCCCAGCTAAATTACCGTAAGTGTTGATTTATGGAGTTTTGTATAAGTCTTTATTACTGGAGTGATCTTTAAGATTGATGGAGACTAAGTTGATTTTGAAATGAAGATTGGATTGATCTTTAGAAGTTATTATTTACCAGCATGATTTTGAAACGACCAAGAGAAGTCAAAGATCGTAGAAATGTAGAATTGTTTTATCATTAACAGCAAATCTTGAATTTGACGTTGAGAATTACTTTGAGCATGAGAATTTTGATTGAAGAGTTTGATAACAGACAAGTCAGCTATTATGATTGAGAATTTCGAAGTAAGGATTTTAGTAAACATAAGATACTTCTTGAGGATTTGGAAAGCAAACCAGATCATGTAGAAATGATAGGGGTGTTTAAATGTTTGTATTTTACGAGAAAACTCGAAAGGTTTTGGATCTTATATTTATTTTAGATGGCCTCTTTATTTGGTATTGATGAGTGATCCGTCGGCAGTAACACCGACTGGAGAGGAGTCTACCATTGACTAGCAACCTATAGACAAGGCGTTGAAGCATGGTACTGATGTAGCGTGTATGTAGACCAGTCCTGCAGCCTAGTGGGCAACTTGAGGCTTCAACATCGGTTTGGAGAGTGTCAAAAAATAAGCTTTATTGAATCTGTGAAGCATAAGAATTAAGTACAACTGGTGTAGTTTAAAAAACTTAACGTACCACAGAAAGCAAGTTCTTAATATAATTGAAATTAGTTTGTGAACGAATAAGAATACACCGGAGAGAAACCAAGCATTTAACCATTTGATAATTGTTGGAAATAATAATTTCGAGTTGAAGTGAATTGAAGTGAAGATAAGAGTTTTATCGACTTCAAGTTAAATTAGAGGAATTGAATTGTAAGATATTTGCTGTATATATGTAAAGAAGAAGTTGTGAAATTTTGGTTGTTGTTTTTTTTTAAATATAATTGAAGAAAGTTAGAAGTTGTTTTATTCCCGTCTTTTATTCTGTCTGTTGGTGTGTCCATAGGATCCGGGGTCGCCATTCCTCTCATATATTAAAGATATAATTTAGCCAAATTCTGGAGTGGTGACACTGATTGAACCCCAATTTACCATGAGAGTATCCAGTAGTTCGCGGTCTTCTTCCTCTTCCTCCTCTTATCTTCGCCGTCACATTTTCTACTGCGATTTCTTCCTCGTGATTATCCTGAAGAAAACTGCCGTCACCCTTTGCGTCACCAATCAGTGCGAGAGAATATTGTCAAGTTCAAACTTGTCCGAAGCTGTCCTTTTGTTCTCGTCAGACTTGTCCGACCCTGTCCGTGACGTCACATTGATGACGTCACTTATTATTTCCATCGGCAAGTTGAAACATGTTGAACATTCTCTCACCCTCCTCTTCCCCGTCATCAACCCCTTTCCTCCACCCATGCCCATTTCTTCCACCCTCCAATCCCTCCCTCCACAGGGACCACCATTACTCCCTCTGAAAACAACCACCATTGCTTCCTCCCTCCACCAAAACCTCCCCACAACGGGGTGCGAAACGAGCCTCCAATATACTACTAACAAATAAGCAAATATCACCGCTCGTGTGAAATGGTAAAATCATGTTGATGCAGAGGATACTCCGGTGTTGGTTAAATATTTTATAATCACTTATTCATTTAAACAAACTTTCACCTGCATTATTGATGAGAATATCCAGCCTGGATTCCTCTCTGTTGATCTTCTCTGCACATTCTCTAACCGAGGCCAGGGAAGCCAAGTCTAGTTTGACTACCGCCAAGTTGCTGTTACCAGTGTCTTCACGGATGTCTGCAACAGCTGCCTCTGCCTTGGCTAGATCGCGACAGGCTAGAATCACACGAGCACCTTGTAAAGTCAAGAAATGACAGACTCCAGATGAGGTCTCAGACGGAGTAATGATGATTTGATTCCGTTTTGTACTTATAATCATGTCATGCATTACTGGATCTATTTATGTTTGAGATGTCATGCTATCTTAGTATTACAGTCGGGCAGATAGGGGAAATATTTGGGGGAATTGTGCCTTTGATGATACAAGCATCTGTACAAACATCTGTATCACAACAGCGCCTCTTAGTGTAATGTGGTGTCCCCCCCCCCCCCCCCGCTTTTTGATTTCCACGGCAGGACAATTTTGTGATTTCAGTCATTCCCCATTCCTTCCACTAGCCGGCACTGATTTCATTTATAAGCAGCAATCGGCAAATTTGTGAGATTATCATTGATTGTGGACATCCTATTTTTATAGCTCCATGTTGTGAACAATGCCAGTGCACGGTAGCTTTAGAAACAGCTTTAATGCTCAGTGACAATTCGACAATAATGTAATCGACGAATTTCCATTGAGCATACGGGTTGGGTCTATATAGTCACGGCTGGGGCGAAGTGGAGATGGGGCGAAGTGGGGATGGGGCGAAGTGGGAATGGGGCGAAGTGGGAATGGGGCGAAGTATGGATGGGGCGATGTGGGAATGGGGCGAAGTGGGGATGGGGCGAAGTGGTTAGGGGCGAAGTGACATGGGGCGACGTGGAAATGGGGCGAAGTGTCCGACATTCAGTGCTCGGGCCGGGTTGAAGCGCGGCCTTTTCTTGTGTATTTTTGAGGCAAGAAGAAACTTGGACATGTAGCCTATAGCCTATACCTCTCCTAGCGAGATCTCTTGCCGTCTCCTTGCCTATGCCGGTGTTTCCTCCCGTGATGAGGACCGTCTTACCGTCCAGACGAGCCTTGCTATAACAACATCCTCCTGCCAGGTACCGCCTCAGAAGCCATAACAGTGTAGCAGCCACTGATGAATAAACCGAGATAAGGATCAGATTCCTAAGTGAGTGCCCCAAGTGCTAGCAAATTGAAACTACATGTAATGAGGACAGTCATGGTTTTACATGGAATGCGCCCAATCGAGCTACAAAACACGTTTTAAACGAAATGATATTAATTTAAAAAGCGTTCAAAAAGTAGGATATAAACGTTGGCAAAATAACACGCAAAGGATGCTTCAATGTTGGGTTGCCTGTCGGTTGCGCGTTGGTATGACCATGACGTCAAATGGAGCATGGTTTCAAGCATAGAGCAAGCTCGGACAGGCTGACCTGGAGGCATTGACGGTAACTTGATCCCCGGTTCTCAAAAGTTATTTACCGCACTATCAAAGAAGATTGTCATAAAGAAGACCAACCGCACTGTTCCTGGATTTACAGGACTCAAGTCCCCAAACCATGGTTCAATTTGCTCAACCTTGCAACCCATTGTTACAATGTTACGCAACAACTTCCACATAGGCTGCCTAATCCTAGATTCTTGTTCACAAAGAACACACGTAACGACTAGGCGGCAGGCCTACTTTTACATGTAGTGCAGCTGGAGTTATAGTTATGGCAGTACTGTTGTGAAACGTTTGTCAAACAATGCGGCTCCACAATGACATATCAAGCTTAATTCGTTTCAAAAAGATGTGCGGGAAAAAAAAATTGCAGTGACGTAGCCTATAATGTAGAGGCACAAGCGCAAAGTATTGAAAAGTGCATCTAATTTTTAATGTCAATGCTTTCAGGATTTTCAAAAAGCTACATCTGAGTTTAACTTTCGGGATTTTTTATGTGGCATCAGGCCGGACAGACTGTGGGTTTTCTGAAGCGCGCCTCCAAATACTTTCTATGCTATACATAATGGAGATAATTATGAGTGGGCCTATACGAAAGATGTGAACATTTTCTGGAGTGCTTATAAAATATGACAGAACCATATGATGGTACCATATTTCAATATTTCAAATTCGACGATTATTAATACTAGATTACAGAATGGTGTACCGTTTTTGAACAGGCGGATATTATACCAGTATAATTTCTTTTTTGGGTGTCACAGCAGGGGGGGGGGGTCGCACTATTTTTTAGGAATTTGTATGCCAATTTTTTGGGGGGGACAGAGCTGGGGGGGGGGGGTTGACACCAAAACCCTCCCCCTGGATCCGCGCCTGTAGAATAAAAGAATTCTGAAACGCCACCCTAATTGCATGTAAAGCCGACAAAACAACCGCCTTACGAGCTTTTGATGTGTTACTTCTAAAGATCTAACTCGCAAGATGCCTTCTGCTTCGTACACCCTCTATAGAAAGAAGGTACTAAACACGCAGGACGTACGGTAGCACGGTGCCGCATTTTGGACTGGTAACGTTCCAAACAGATCCGATGATCGAGATACTACTTCATATGCCAATCACACGAGCAACCGCAGTATTAACGATTAAATGTCGCCCTGAAACATACTAAACAAAAATCAGACTCTTTTACATAAGGTTAAGGTAGCTTATAGCTACACTCTTGACTTACCAAGAACTACCGATACAGCAAACGGACTGATACCAATACCAAGCATGATGGTATCAACTGCAACAGTTGATGAGGTACAACACGGAGCGGCGGTAAACACTTTTATGGGATGATGATACATGTGTACTGTTGATCCTGGGCATGACTTACAAACGTGAGATGGTTTAAGGATTAGTGCTGGTACAATGCGCTTTAGAAGTGGTTACGTCATACACTGGGATGTGGCGATCAATACATTGTCCAAAGATACGTAAGCGTAAACGTATTGACGACTACAGTCAGCTACGGAGCATTATTATTTTCTTCACAGACCGTATGTCTGTGAAATTTCAATTAGAACTTTTTTTCTAAATCGCCCGTGCAATTCGTAAGGTAAAATGGCGGACGAGGCACCACTCCTTATGGGTGCACCGCAGTATAAACATTCTCAGACACCAGTGATCATAATCCCCGTAGGCCTACTTCAAAAATTCTCTTAAAAATATCCAAATAGGACGGTGTTCACTGGCTGCAGAAAAAATATATATGATGATCAACGTAGGCCTACATGTCATCTTTCATTTTGTTTTCAATTTTTTGTGAGTTGACCATCGACCAATTCTCATCCAAAAAAGACTACCCCTTTTTAACGAATTATGATGTTTCCCAAATCGGAAAAATAGCCAGTTAGTGAAAAAGGATTTCTCCACATAGCGCCACTTTCGGACCCAACTGGCAATTGCATAAAAAAAACCTGCTCAGAATTGGAAGCACCAATACCGATTAAATTGAAACGAAAATGTCCTGGGGATCATAATCTTAATATCCAGCGAAAAAAAGTTTGCCGCCTTGCTCCTGAGTGTCCAATTTGTGTTTGTTTTCTAGAATTCTAGTGGAACCACTGAGTTTGCAGGGCCTAGGGCCGGGTGGGGGCCAACCACGAGCGAAGTGGAAGGACAGTCGCATGAGGGCGCTATAATCTTAGAAATTTTCCTCTTGCTCGCAGCCATTTTTAATATTAATAATAGATCCAATTCCAATTAAACGCTGGTGAACTTTTCGTCGCCACCAAGTAAGTTCTGGGAATGATTGAATTGTTTCCGTTTGTTATTTTTTTAAGGCATGTGTGACGAATAATGTGAAATATATGGATTATGAGAATCATACCTCAATGTTTGTGGGTACTCTGTTCGTTTCACTTTCAGAGAAAGCGAACGAGAACCGCATAGCTTAGGGGCTAATTTGTTTGTCCTGGTTGCCCAGTTTCCGGACACTAAACAGTTTTAATTTTCGAAGTGGCTATCGTTACGGCAGCCGTTGTTTAGCGCCCTCTACGATACTTTTTTGATACGCATGCTGGTATGTAATAATTTGTTTCCCCTCATTTTAGCAAGCAGCTAGCAGTGCGACAGCTCAGTCGATAGAGGGTAGGATTTTGCACCGCGAGGTTGCGGGTTCGCATCTCAGTTTTGCACTCGAATTTTTCTCCTTTTCTAACCTGAGGCTGTGGAGGATTTTTTTAAAAAGGGAAATAAAGTCCGAACTTCATAACGTTCAAATTCACTTTTTTCCTTCTAATTTTATATTTTCTTCTCATGTTTTTATAAAAGTTGCAGTCTACCGTAACGATAGAAAATGGGAAATGCGTTACGGCTGCTGTAACAATAGCCACTGCATTCAATTTTCTCTTGAATCCTTGATCGTTTGTAATCACACATTTTTAATATACGCTAACGACTGAACGTGATGTATATATGCACACATGGAAAGACACACAGGCGTGGCAAGAGGTCCGTATCTAGCCACTACACAGTCAGACAGTCAAACAACCAACAAATTTAACTTGTTTAACCTCAATTAGCATGACTAGTAATTAGTAGTATTGTCAGGCCTCAAGGGCAGGCTTATGACAGTGTATGACTATGTTTTAATGTCATTGGCCATTGGGATTGTACACATGACAAATATGAAATAAATAATAAGCTTGGGCTTGGCGGAAATGAAATCATCTGAGAACGGCTTTAGCATGTTTACATAGCTTGGGCCAAAAGCAATAAATAAGACTGCTCCCAATTACATGCCTTTCAAACATAAGGTAGGTAGGTCAGAATTTTTTTGGGGGAGGGCATTTTTGTGTGTGTGCTGATTGAATGGGGTAAATATGCGAATTTCAGACTGAACTATTCCCATTTCTGCTACGAATGCAAAAAAGAAATTGCCACCAACTGTGATAAAAACCTGCCTTAATCAGTGTGAAAACTGTGTACGTTCGGTAATTCTAAATTATAACTGAGCATTCAGGTCATGTACATATATACACCACGGCACAAGGCACTATACACAATGCTAGTCACGATGGTAAACTGGCCAACAATGTCCTTATTCAAAAATGAACTGATTAAATTAAACGTGCACCAGCCTAAACTGGCTAACAATAGGCATTTGCTTGCACCTGTGCTAATGTAAAATCGACAAAAAGCTAATAAAAAATGGAAGAGATAGTGGAGTGGCTGATTTTTGACAGATTTTAAAGAAGCAATTTGAGCTAATGTTCCTCATGGAAGCTCTCCAATCATGCGCGAAAGTAGCTTTCAACAAAAGTGTGGCATTTGACAAACACTAAATCTACACAACGTATACGATTCAAATAACATCATGGATGTGTCTCATCATCTCCTTGAGACTGCTCAATTTTTTTTTTACATTTGAATCGAAAGAATAGTTATCAGCACATGATCAAAAACATTTGGTACATTTCGCAGCCCTAGTTTGAACAGATGATCGTCTTTGTGACATTACATAACTCTTTTAAAGTTTTCAACCCCAGAATTTTTACTTTACTTTTTAGATCGCGAACCCACTTCAAGAAAGATGCCAACTGTGTGGCCCAAGAACCCGATGGCTCTCGTGAGACCTTACGCCCGAGAGATTGGGCCATTCCTCTTCCCCTGTATACTGTTGACAGGTTATCTCATGACCAAAGCTACTATGATTGGATGTAAGTCATTTACGTTGGGGCAATTCTGTAAATTATGTGGACGTACATGTCAGACACTTTAATGAGCTGCTGTTGGAAAAGTGAAAGTGATACAGCACTAATATGTGACATCTAATGAGTGGAAAACAATTACAGACCAAACTAAGGTACCACCACCTTAACGACCTTGTTCATATCATGTGGTCAGACGTACGTTCGATTTTACGGAATTGCCCATTGGACAAATACAAATGTACATCATGGTCGGACGTACGTTGGATTGAAGGGAATCACTCATTGCACAAATACCAACTTCCCTTAACATAAATTTGTGGACGTTGGACACTTTTCAGCCATTCACGATATTTGTCACGTACATGTAGGTGTATACTATTAAAAGTCCATGTGACAGCGCAAAATCGATTGTGCTAGTGAGGTCAAATTGTTTTCTTTTTTCAAGTTGCAGTCTTGAGCAACACAAATTTCAGTGCAGACATTCACACTGCTATGACACATGGTTGCAAATTATGCATTATGCAGGGATCTGCTGAATCATGGGATACTTAAGTCTTTTAGTAATATAATTTTATCCCATGAGCCCAATGGAACACGGAATACTGTAGTACGTCTGTGTCCCCATGTGCTACGACTACGAGACTGAGGGCCGAGTGGCATATGAAACACAGACATATTATATTTTCCATGTTCAACAAGTGCAAGTGGGATTACAAATTGATGCACAGTAAAGATTGAATTTTTGTACCCTGTACTTGAGCTATTCATTGGTTATCTAATGTCCTCCTATGACGTGTGTGCAGCCGGAATAGCACACACAGTCGTGAATTTCTATACGCCCCAGGACAATGCTTTGTGTTTAGAATAGGGCAATATGCAGAGTAGGATGTGGGCCGTGGAATATAGGATAATATCACACTGTTGTTGCAGTGGATCGACCAATCAGGATCAAGGATTCAAGTTTGCTTGAAGATAAAGTGATTTGTACATAATAAAGTATTTTCTAAAAAATAGAAATGGAAATATAATATTGAATCTCACTTTTGCTTTTTTGTCTCATCCTCCAGTGAGAGAAAACAAGAAGCAGAAAGCTCTACAATGTAAGTATTTTTTTTTGTAATATATATGAACTCACTACACTTGGTTAGACAAAAACAGAGAAGAAAAACAATTAGTCTTTCGGTTATGGAATAACAGTCTTAATACTTCGGTCTGGTAGCATGCATGTTGCTAAGAATTAAGATCACTGAACACTATGTTGGACACAAAATGCTCAAATACGTAGTCTGACTTTGATTAAAGAGTTAATTGTAACCCATACCGATTGCAACATTTGTTTCTGTCAAAATTTAATTTCCCCCCCCCCCCCAAATGAACCACGAAGGGAAACTGACTAGGTGAATTGTAATAATTGCAAAGTTGAACAAAGAAATTGATTGGAGTGGGGCTTGAACCTGCAACCTCCGGAATATCGTTCCGGTGCTCTTACCAACTGAGCTATCCAGCCCTATGTTGGTGGCTCCCCAGTCAGTCATTTCTTTGTTCAAGGGGCGCTAGTCAGAAGCCATACACCTGTATGTGCCATACATCCTGGGATCACGCCCAAAGTCACGATACAGACCTGGGAAATAGCAAACGGGGATCACTGAGAGAGCATATGGCTTTTGATTACAATTTTTTTTCAAATAAACCACCTAGGAAAACTGTCTAGGTGAGTAGTAACAATTGAAAGTTGATCAAAGAAATTGTATGGAGCGGAGCTTGATCCTGCGACCTCTGGAGTACCATTCCGGTGCTCTACCAACTGAGCTATCCATCCCAATGTTGGCGGTTCCCCAATTAGTCAATATCTTTGTTCAGGGGGTGCTAGTCAGTAGTTTGAGTTAATATTCCTGTTTTATTTTTCTATTTTTTTTCCAGCATCAGGCCACCATTAACCTCTTGGAGTCTTCAGTTGTAACTTAGTAGGATCCCGATGTAGCACCTGTGGTCTCCTTTCTCTTCTGTCTCAACCCAACTCCAGCCAGCTTCACTGCAACTTTCACCCACATCGAGTGAGATCTTCAAACTACAACACATTCAAAGTCAACACAGATATGCAATGCACCACTTTAAACTCTTCATTCACCTGTTAAATGCAGGATGTCATCTTCTTGTCTGAAAAGTTGGCCATACTGGACACAAATGCACATGTGGATTTGTGACATCATGGAATGTATTTGCAAATTCCCTCCAGTGCAGAAATATTGTGCTGTCATATTCCTTTGGCATTCACATTCACGTCAACTACAAACTGGGCTTGATACCCATGTTTTTAAACAAATATATTATATTACCCAGTCTGCATTGTAAGCATTTTGTTTAACCAGTTTGCGCCGGATGACGTGTATACCTGCAAAGGTTTTGCGGTATTCGGAATGGATGGCGGATAAACACGCAGGGAGAGAGGCTGGACATATCTGTCAGCGACCTGATCGCAGTGAGCGAGGCCAGAAATATGAACGTGTTGCCCGAGGGTGATGGCTTCAACCTGCTGGGCATAAGGTCGAGTGAAAAGGTATCCCGCGCCTTGTTCCGTTCTAGTCAAAATAATCCCGGCGCGAACTGGTTAAAGAGCAAGAATTGGGCAAATTGCTTAGATTTTCACTTAGTAACCCTGGAAATAGTTTGAGAACACAACTTTTCATAACACTTGTGTTGTCTTTCTTGATTTGTTAGTTAAGCTTGAACAACAAGTTAGTGATTGTCCCACACATAGTCTCACTTTGCATGCAGTGTTGACAAAGCTAAGGAAAACCAAATATGTTGGAAAAGGAGGCCACAGTCTATTCAGGTTTATTTCAGTTTTTCAAATGTATTGAGTGGAGATGTTTGTTTAAACATTGCAGTTGCATGGTTTTCTTAATTCACTTGGTATGCTAAAAAATATTCCAATCAAAGGAAGCATGTAGTTTATAAAAACAAAGGTTAGCATATACAATCCATTCAATTGGAGCGAAATTCAAATGTCCCCTGCGTGTGATATATTTTACAAATGTTTCAAATCATATCGACACTTTGTGCCATGTGAAAGACTGTTTATCTTTAAGTGGTCATATGTATTGCAATACAGCACAACATGACTGGCACATTGTGGGAACTGCTAATTTTTGTAACGATTTGCTGTGTAAATTTAACCAATAATACATGCAAGACAATAAATAGAAAGTTTCTAAAGTTGAATTAATTCTTGCTCTGTTATTGATTTCTGTAGCTTATATTACATGGTACATGTAGCTTGTATAAGAAGCACAAGCATGTACATGTTATTTGGGGAGGAAAACGAACATGCAATGCAACCAATAGAACTCAAGCGGCAATAAAATAATCAATTAATTTAGCAATCGACAGATTTTGTTTACAAAATCCTGTTGAGACATTAGACATGAACGATAATAAACGTGATGAAAAGTAGAAAGATTTTGGAGGAATTATCTTTACTTATAGGCGATCGGTCGATCTGCGCGATATCCCGACAGCACTGCCATCGGTTGATCGCGCAGCCGTCGGGCAATCGCGCAGGGGAATGTTTGCGCCATCGACAGATTATGCAACGGGTTTGCACGATCGGTCGTCCTCCATCCAGCCATCCTCTACCTGACAACCAAAGATCCTATAGCGCCGTAGGCGCTAAAAGAAGAGGTACAGCCGACATGATCTTTGCAGCTCGGCAGCCACAACAGAAATGTAAAAAGCATAATATTGACCTCTACTGTTTCTTCGTCGACTTGGCAAAGGCATTCGACACTGTCAGTAGAAAAGGCCTGTGGAGACTTGTCCAAAATTATCTGTCCTGAAAAGTATATAGAGAGTGAAGCAGTTTCACGATGGTATGATGGCGCGAGTAATGGACGATGGGGAGTCTTTAAAACCCTTCCCAGTATCAAATGGAGTTAAACAAGGCTGTGTCCTTGCATCAACGCTTTTCACTGGGTGTCGTGTTTGCATGGGCATGGCTGTGGGGGTGTGGGGTGTCACATCCCCAATTAGTCAGTTTTGTCGGCAAAATCATGGTGCTGTCGGCAAAATAGAAAATGAAGAATGGAGAAGGAAGGGAAAGGGGAAGAAGACAAAATGGAGAATGTAAATAATAAACACCGCTGCTCAATAGCCCGCGAAGCTAAAAAAAAAAGTAAAATCCGGTTCTGCAACCCATGGCAAAATAACGTAATACATTCTGTCATGTCGGTTCGAGCTGCCGGCGTGCCGCGCGAGGGGGCTCGTATACGGCGGTTGACAGCTACAGCTAGCTAGTTGCGTAGCAAGACACACCGAGGGGCGGAGGAAGAATACCTCGTTTGTTATAGAGAATCGCTTCGGCAGGGAGCTGAGTAAAGCGGACTCGCAGGGCTCGGGTTGTGTCTTTTTTTTTGAAGGGCAGCCGATAGACGGGCCCGGGCGCCCGCACGGCACCGGGAGAGAAAATCCGAAGGCCTCGAGGCGCCAGGCCACAAACCTCATCAGAACATGCTATACGGTCCAGATCCAGTCAGCGCCCACAGTCAACCACCTTTCCGTGACATCAACATCGGCGTAAAGATGAGATTCAGGACTGGTGGAAAACTGAACTCTTCAATCTCAGATGACTTCAAGCGAAAACAAAGGTATTTGATGAATTAGTTCGTGAACTCCTTTATGCCGATTACTGCGCTATATCTTGTCGCCCACACTCAGACTTGCAACTCATCATGGGCTGTTTCGCAGCTCACGCTGTGGACTTTCAATCAGTCTGAAAAAGACAGAATAAAGTGATGTTTCAACCTGCTTCAAGCCATAATGTTCCACCAGTCATCACCATTGGAGATCATGTCCTTCATTCTGTGGACAAGTTTGCATATTTGGGCAGTACCCTGTCAAGAGAGGTCCATAATTGTATAGACAACGAAGTCGCACATCGGAAAGGAAGAGGCAAAGGCCTTTAAGCTTAAAAAAATAAGCTGCGTGTCTATCAAGCTGCATTCCTGACTAAGGCTGACTTGTCTTGGACAACCTACAGCCGCCACATCAGAAAGCAACCACTTCCACTGTACGCGCACAATGTCTTACGCGTAAGGTCCCTGACACTCCTCGAGCGGAATTAGCCAGTGAGGTGCTTTGATCGTGAGCGGAGCTCAGCTTCGCTGATGGTCAGGTCATGGTACGGATGCCTGATGATCGACTCCCCTAATATGGTAATACTAACAACAGGCAATCTACAGGTGGTCAACTTACAAGAGACGAGCTGACGAGGATTGCCTTAAACCGTGAAGCAGCTAGTGCAATATCAATGTGAGTAGCTGGAAGAAACTTTATGCCCAAGATCGAACGGCATGGCGAAGATCATCCCACGAAGGCGCAACAAGCCCTGAATCAACGAAAATCTAAAGTCTCGTCAGCTAAATGCTTCCCTACGTTTCCACCCCACCCCCAGATCTAGTGTGCCCAGTGTGTTACCGTATAGCCTCCTGGCTAGAATTAGACTTATTAGCCATCAACGAACACACTTACACTAACTAGAGGGGCGGCGGAACGCTTGTCAAACTGGAGGGGGGGGGGCACACCAAAATAGGGCACTTGCTCAGGAAAAAGGGGCAACTTCCGTCGGTGTGAAAGTGGAGGAAAAGAGTGGTCCCGTTCATTTCGCTATGAAACCTATATGACAAATTATGAATACTTTGTCCATCTTGCTCTTTGTGTTTCTTTTACCGAGTTTTGTAGAGAGAACCTTTTTTGTTTAATCAGGAGAGGGGCACTGTTGCTTTTGATGGCCAGTTCATTGACCATTTTATTCACGTGAAGAGCACTATTATTTTTTGGGGGGCCAGTTTTCCATCTTGATGAGAGGGGGCACAATTTTAATGTTGCGAGTGCGGTGCACTAATTGTGCTTTCGAGAAGTTATCGCGAGAGGAGCACTGTTGTTTTTGATGGCCAATTTTCCATCTACGGAGGGGCACAATTTTATTATGGCGGGAGGGGTATTAAATTTGTGCTTTCGAGGGGTAGGCCATCTCGAGAAGGTGCACAATCTTGTTATAATGCGAGAGGGGTACTGGTGTTTTTGAGGGGCAATTTTGCATTACAGAGTAGGCAAGTTTTTGTAGTGCGATCATAATGCTTTCCCGTAGACCAACGTACGTGTGCGTTTGAGGGGCAATCGATGGCGCGCGATCGATTGATGGCTGCGCGATCGCCCGATGGCTGCGCGAACGGTATATCGCCCTATAGCGCAGCGTGATCGGGATATCGCGCAGATCGACCGTTCGCGCACGGCTTGTTCGGGTACGGGCCCGGGTACGTACGTACCGCTTGCGGCGCTGTACTTTTGATCAACGTTCGAGCAATTGCAGTGAGAACATCTGATGGTTTGGAAGTTAGGCCTTGGTAAGTTCATGGAACTATCATCAGACACAGTCACGAGAGCACTTAGTTACGGACGAGATCGAGATCAAAGGGTACTAACTTATATGTTTTATGCAAGCTTGGAAAACTCAGCTGTGGTGGTTTACTTTCAGTGTAGCCCCACTAGTGTGGCCGCGGTATGCTGCGCTGTACGTTCGGCCACGGTTTCCTTCGGCCACACGCCTGGTTTTCCAACCTACTGAGGAGTTTAGTCCAAAGCCTGGCGCACCTTTTTTTGGCAATTTTTTTTTTTTTTTTTTACATACCACTGCATACGGTTGTATTCTATGATGCCTTATCTTTTGCCCTCTGGGTAGATAAGGTAACGTTTCTTCAAATTTTTAGAGAAATTTAGACATCTTTCTGGAGTCCTCATTGCGAGTTTCGGACTAAACTCCTCAGTAGATTGGGAAACCAGACGTGTGGCCTAACGTACAGCGCAGCAATGCAGAGGCCACACAAGTGGGGCTGTTACGCCCCAACTATCGCATCGGTCCCAACTATAGGGCGGCATCGTTTCGGTTTGCGGTAACACCATGTGGTAATAACTAGGCCTACTGCTTAGAAGATATTAGTTCTGAAAAGAACTTGTGGTAATCCTTACTTTTAGGACACCTCTATTTTGTATGAGTTCTGTTCAAAACTGACTTTTGCAGATGACTGTCCAGTACCAAAGTGACTTTTGCAGGCTAAAGAAGTCTTTTTTCTTCAGACAAACTCATGTTAGTTAGAATTTTGAAAGCACTTTCTAAGAAAATGTGACTTTCCTACTTTTTTTGCAGTTCGCCATCTTGCTTTTTTAATATATTTTCTGTTTGTCATCGTCGTCTTTAACCCCTCATAAATCAAAGCCCTGCCCTCTTTCTACAAAATTAAACCTGCTGATATTCAAGAGGTGTCATTGCCAAATATTCAAATGTGCCAAGAAATATCAAAATGTCACTTTTGATTGTCATTTAGTCAGCTGTTTTGGTGAGTCTGTTAACCTTATATAGGAAAGGGGTCATTATAGTCGTACATCAATGTAAACTATAGTTGGGACCGCCAAATAAAAATATTGCGGTGGCCCAACTACAGATGGTCCCCACCCATAGATAATTTCATTGGTCGCAAGTAAAGTCAGATGTGTATTAGAGTTGTAGGGAATGTTTTATAATCGTACAACAATGTACACTATAGTTGGGACCGCAAAATAAAAAGATTGGGGTGGCCCAACTATAGATTCGCCCCATCAATAGCTAATTTCAGTGTTCCCCAGTAAAGTCAGACGTGTATCAGAGCTGTAGGGAACGTTTTATAGTTGTACATCAATGTAAACTATAGTTGGGACACCGCAAAATAAAAAGATCGGAGTGGCCCAACTATAGATGGGCCAGCCCAACAGTGGAACTACAGTTGGGACAGGCCCAACTATAGTTGGGACCGATGCGATAGTTGAGGCGTAACGGGGCTACTCTCAGTCTCACTCTCACTAGTCTCAGTCTCAGGCAGTCTCACTCTCAGTGTCAGGCTCATGTCATGACTTAATGAGCATTAGATCCACTTCCTTATTTATATCTCGGTGAAGGTTAGCGGTAAGCCATATTGCAAAACTGTTGGAAAGAATGTCGCAACCTGACACAACTTTTTTCTTTGTATACCATCTCAAATACATGCAAAAATGTTGATTAGACATGAATATGGGACTGAGAAACATTTCCAATTTTGAAGGTTAGCCATATATTGCAAAACTGTTGGAAAGAATGTCGCAACCTGACGCAACTTTTTTCTTTGTATACCATCTCAAATAGGGTCAGTCATTGTTGCAAAAATGTTGATAAGATTAAGACATGAATATGGGACTGAGAAACATTTCCAATTTTGTTCGGATATACTTTTAAAAAAATTCCTGACTCGCCATAGGCTTTGTACACAACTGTTGAAGTGGCGTCAGGATGCAGCATTCTTTCCAAACTGTTGAAAAGGCATACGTCTGGGACTGAGAAAACATTTCCAATTTTGTTAAAAAATGCTTTGAAAATGCAATCGCCTCTCCATAGACTTTATAAACAACCAGAGAAGTGGCCTCATAGATACTACGTTTGTGCTTAGTCCGAGTAACTTGGACCCAGTTATGGTATCGCCAGACCATGTCCGAATGTTAAAAAGGCGATAAGTTGGTTCCAAGTTACTCGGACTAGTTTGTGCTATAGTATTATAGCAAGTGGTTGGAATCTCCCACCGGTCGAAAATACCCCGTCTTACCCTACTATAGTACTATGGCACATCCCTTAGAACTATGGGGCTCTGTGAAGACCCATACTGCCATAGTTCTAGGGGTAGGCACATGTGACATAGGCCTATTGATTATTCAATTCAATTAGTTTTGCTATAATATAACAAGTCTTAGAAGTATACGAGAGAGTGGACACCATTGATGTTTTCCATGTATGCTCCCCCCCCCCCCCCCCAGATCCAGTGACTAGGCCCCTAGGGTACTAGAAGTAGAAGTTTGATTGTAAAACTCCCCTTTTTTCAAATTGTGACTGGTCAATCGTACTGCCGTACTAGCTAGTACGACCGACCAAAGTCAGAAATCAAAAAAGGGAGTTCCAGCACCCTAGTTACTGGGTCTAGTAGTAGTAGTAGTAGTAGGCCCCTATGCTTATTTATAAAATCTATTTATAAAAATGTGGAACATTTTCCATAATTAAATTTTTTTTTAAAAGAACAATTTCATATCCCACTAACTCCCTAGACAAATTTAGCTTGGATCTTAAATCCATCATTATGTCATAAGTGTCTACCGTAGTTATTTATGATGGTTTAAACACTTATTTTTGCACTGTAAATTTAAGGAACATTAACCCTCATATAGTGTATCAGTAAGGCGGAACACTTCCACTTTTACGTGACTTCCTCGTGAGTCATAGGCTCATACAATGTTGCCAACTACCTCTTTACTGGCAAGTGTCAAATTCATTTAGGTAAATATTTATAATTACAACATAGTACATTGCTCAAATTTGATGTGGAAACCATGAAAAAAAATTTGGCCATGAAATGTAGTCAGAAAGTTAAAAAAAATGTGGTGTCCGGAAATTGGGCACAGTCAGGCAGAGAGTTCCTAAGGCCCCCCCCCCAAAAAAGCCTCCGGTTTCTGTTCTGCGTGTGCGTCGCCGTAGCCATGCGCGTCGGCAAAATGAATTTTTTTTTTTTCAATGTAAGATGATGTCTCAAAACCGTCAAACTCCAGTTTGACTCAACAGGAATCCTGCTGCTGCACAATTTTAACATGTTTTTAGATGGGGCTACGATATAAGCTTTATGTGGCCTCTCTGGACTCCCATATATTTTGCACTAAATTTAGTCAGGCACCATTTGCAGTCATCAACCAGCATTTGAAGAAAAAAAAAAAAAAAAAAAAAGCCGCGCCGCCGCACCACTTTTGGGGCAAGCTCCATACCAGGAACCGGAGACTTTTTTTTTTGGCCTAATGTAAAATACACTTCTGAATGAAATTCCCAGGATAAGAAGTTTATTTAAAGTTGACAGTATATGTCCTCCAGATCAATTGTGAAAGATCTGCAGTGCAAACTTGCCAATTGAAAGAAGTCTCATGCAAATTGCATTGGGTGAATATGTTTATTGGTGCATATAGTGAAATCTCATTCAGCCTGCCAAATACAGATCAACACACTTTTGGTTGACCTTTTCTTCCTGAGCTCTGCATTCATCAAAACGAAAGTTGACTATCTTGGTCCCCAGTTGCGGTGATGACGTGGGGCTTTGAAATTCTTTAGGCCTAAATGCAAATACACATATCAAAGGTTAAACATTTTTTCTTGGGGAATATATTTAATCTTGGTGTACATAATATGTACATGTCATGTTACAATTGTCTGAATCAGTCTTCATATCTTGCGATATGTGTATTTAGTATGTAAATTGCGCAAGAGATGTGTGTATTTGTTGCACAAGAGATAAAGGATACTATCTTTAATTTGTTGCTCAGTAGTTGTGTGAAGGAGAGGCAATACTTCAAATACACATGTGTGTAGTGTTTGAACAGTGCCCATTTATAGAGCTAAGTTGTACGCAGTACATGTACATGTACAACAACATGTTTCACACTAACCAAGAGCCACCTGTGATACATGTAAACTTTGAAGTCTTGAATGTTACACTAATTAAACTCCATGTTTCCCCCCTGATGTTTAATAAAACTGCTGAATATGTTGAAATTGAGCTTTTGAAATTGAAGACAGAATCTAACCCACAGTTTTCTTTTTCGTAGTAGAAACTCCATTCAATCTAAGTTTACAAATTACTTGACAAGCATCATGTGATTCACCAAGTTGTTAAGATATTTTTAATTCTAGGTGTAGAGAAGGATCTATCTACATTGCACAGTATGCATATGATACTTGGATTTTTGTTGTTGATTTTCAGCAGTAAAGTAGACAGAAACAGCAAAAATGGCAAGTACAGTCATCTCAACCAACCCAGTAAGTACTTTGTTTCATAAAAATTAAACAATCTAAAGAGAACTGTTTGAAGGGAAGAAATTTTGAGCACAGTTGACATGTCTTCCAGTAAACAAACTACTTGTTTTATTTTTGGTGTGATTGTAGGTTTTTCCCCCCCAAAAAGCTGTTTTCACTGAACTTTTGATGTTCCTTCAAAATATAGCATTTTTTTTTTTACCAAACCCATGTAAACATTGAAAATGATCTTGTCAAGCAAGACCATTTTTTTTGTTACTAAAATGGAGATTGAGGATAATTAAACACAGAGGTCTTGATTAATTTTAAACATGAATTTTTGGAAATTTCTTGAATTTTTACCCTTTCCCCACCTATCAATTGTGATCCCCCCCCCACACTGCCCCAGGGCTAATGTCGAGGTTTCTTCACATTTTCCAAGTATTGCAGGATGGAGATTTTGATCACTCATTTAACGTTTTTGCCATTGGCTTACTAGATGGACAGGCAACCTGTTTAGGGCGCCCCACCCATGCCTGTTAGAGATTGTTACTTAAATTTTGCCCCAGGGGTGGGGCTTTGGTCACTTGGGTGGGGCACCCGGGGGGAGGGGGTAAACAGTGTCTTGTGATTTACTAGTCAGGAAACTTGTAATAGACTTTGTGAATTAATAAGGCTGTCCATTTTTAGAATAATTTAGTATTTGTTGACTTGATTATTTTGATTACCAAATATTTGGATATTCAAATTGCCAGTGGCAACTTGCATGTTGTGCTTTTGAAAAGTTACATGAAGAGCGCACATGTTAAAATTTGCGTGTGCCAATCGATGGTTTGCAGTTGGTATTTTTAAAAGGGCTTTAACCTCCTAAAAGGATGTGACTGATGAACAGCATCCACCAAAAAAGTTACCGTTGACAAAAAAGTGGCACCTGACAATTAAGCGCTGCAACTATAACATCACAGCCGTTTGTGTACGTGTGTAGTTTTTTTTTGCTTTTGAATATTCAAACCGTTGATGATTGAGGACAGCCATAGTGATCGACTTGTTTGATTTTCTGTCTTCCACCTCATTGTGGTTTTCTTCCATCTATTTATCCTCAGGGTATTCCTTTCACTGGCGTCATCCCTGGCAACATGTCCCCTGGAAAGATGCTCTTCTTCCAGGGCTACGTCAATCCCAATGCACTAAGGTATGCCTACCTAAACAAAGGGCTGCTCTGAATAGTGAGGACATTGTCAATGTGGGAATATCAAGATATCAAGAGTATCCACTCCAAGATGCCCACTTGCGTCTGGGGCTCCTCTATTCCACTTTCCTTCCACCTTTCCCTCCATGAGCTGCCCCTGATGATTGTCGGCTCGGATTATATGTGACCAAAATACTGTAGCTTCCTTTATTTTATGTCATTCATTACTGTTCTTTTCACATTTACTTTGTCCCGAACCTCTTCATTTGCAAATTTCTCCTTGTAGGATATTTTCAGCATGTTTCTGTAAAACCACATTTCAAGAGCTCTCAGTCTTTTAATCAATTCTTCTTGATGTATAAGTCAATAAAAAAAATAATAATTCCAAAATAAATTTCATAACCTTTTGTTGTCCTGGATTTTATCCCACTCTGTGAATTTGATCCTGGCTTTTACAGGTTCACGATCAATCTGACCTGTGGCCTGAAGCAGACACCAGTCCTGGATGACATCGCGCTGACCTTCAGTCCATCCTTTGGCCAAGGCGTGGTGGTCATCAACCACTTCAAGAAGCAGACCTGGGGCCAGGAGGTGCAGGTCCAAAACGTCCTGCAGCCAGGCCAGAATTTTGAGATGATCATTAACGCTGAGGCCTCTCAGTTCAAGGTGAGGATAGTGAAATCGCTGCTCAAATCCCAGTTTTCCCCCAAATGTTGGATCTACAAAAACGCTGCTGCAGTCATGGATGACTGAGCACCACATATTTCAGCATGCAAGGAAGGTTGGCCTCCAAAACAAGTAGGGGAGATTTAGTGGTGGCATGGTGATGTTGGCAAAACAATGCATGTCTCTTTGGACTGTGTGCATAGGCCCTTTCCTTCCAACTCGCGGCCCACAAAGACAGTGCATTTATGGGACAGGTCATCTCACTGCTCAGAATCAGTCCAGCTTGGAAAAAAAAGTCTTTACCTCTTTACACTAAAATCAGTGGTGCTCAGTCATCCATGACTACAGTGATGCAAGTGGGGTATCAATGGAAAGCAGTTAAACCACCCTTTGAGGTACTTTCAAGTTCAATATCTCCATGGCTTAAAAGTTTTGTAAATTTTGGCAGGTACTTTTTAACCCAAGTTCGTTTGAGTGTTTTTCGTCAAGTTTTTACCGGAAAGGTGTTCTTGCTGAAGATGACGATGGGGTCCAGGTTCTCTTCATTTTTGAATTCAACGTTCTGTTTTTGATTTTCAGATTGCACTCAATGGTCAACACTACATCGCCTACCCCCACTACATCAAACGCTTACAGAGGATCTCCCATATCTCAATCAACGGTGACGTCAGGATATACAACATACGTATGGAAGGTGGCAGTGCACCTGCAGTGCCTGCATTTCCTACCATGCCTTCTGCACCAACTGTACCCTCTGTAAGTATTAAAGGGAATGTACATCATTGGCTTTTGCTGTAATTTTCAGAAATGAACTATTTGGGGGGTTAGTATAATAGATCAAATATTGTTACACTGACATGTTTGAAGTTTTGTGTTCGAAAATGCTGGAAAAACCAAGAAAAACAAAAATATTCAAGTAGTCTGGCTCCCTGACTCCACTAAAGATGAAATGGATCAAAAATACCGGAAAATTGTAAGGTAAGGGAACCAGTCTAGCTGGCCTGCACCTGTTCATGAACATGGAACCAATAGCTAGCAAAACAAAATTTAGACTAAAAAAAAGAGGTAAATTTGGAGCAGTAATTGAAAAATAGTTAGGTTTTTCCAACGGTGGTCGGCCGACCAGCGTTGAAAATGTATACAAATATACCATTTTCTTGAAAATGGCTTCACACCAGGTGCCATAATTTTACAGGATGCTTAAGCATGTCATTTACCAACATCCTAGTAAGGTATTTCGTAACAACTTGGTACATGTAGTTTTATTTTTCGATGTTTGCAAATGTTGTATTTTCCCTTTAATAAACCACAAAACCCCCAAACAAAAGAACGAACAGATGTCAATGGACTTCACTATAAGCCCCAGTGACTTTGCACATGGTGGGCAACAACACGTTCATATCGCTTTGCCACAGTGCATGCTCAAACCATCCCTGTCATGCATAAGTGCATGCATTTTACTGTTATTAGACAATTGGTTGCTAGTCACGACATGATTGGTAAAAACATCATTGGATGGGGCTTCACAGATCAGTCTATCTGGTTCGTCAGTGACTTCATCATACACGCGCGTGCACCACTGATTACTAGCGCCCATTGGCTAAACACTCAAGTTGCGTTAACTTCCGGTTCCAATGGTTCCATACTACTTAATGTGAAGTGGGTGTGGTTTAAGCTGAAGTGACGTCACACTAACAAACCGGATTGCATGGAGCGAGTGCTGCCGAGCTCATACACTGACTGGCTCCTTGTGGATTTGTGCTCAGTAAGGTTTTCTACTCAGCAGACACCTTAGCAAGTCCATGAAGATTGGACACATTGTGTGTACGGTTTCCATTGCAAAAACTGAGAACAGATCGTGTTAATTCTATGTTATCATTTTAATTTTAGGAATTTGTTTAATATAGTCTCCCTGAGAAGAAATTTGTGAATGTGCCTGTGACTTTGTCTTTACACATAAGTACTTGCAATTTTGGATCAGCCCTTCATTATAATGTCTTTGTGTTTCTTTTAAATAAATCCACAGTATCCGACAGGAGTAGTCCCACCCCCTCAGCCCACCTACCCAGGCCAGCCTACTTACCCCGCCCAGCCTTCTTACCCTGCCCAACCCGGCTACCCTGCCCAACCCCCCAACCCAGCCCAGCCCACTTACCCAGGCCAACCCGGCTACCCCGCACAACCCAGCTACCCTGCCCAGCCCAGCTACCCCGCCCAGCCCAGCTATCCTGCACAACCCTCCTACCCAGCCCAGCCTAGCTACCCCGCCCAGCCCAGCTACCCCGCCCAGCCCAGCTACCCCGCCCAGCCCAGCTACCCAGCCCAGCCTTCATATCCAGCCCAGCCTGCCAACCCAGTGGATCCCATGAAAGTCATCAGCCCGGTAAGCATTCCGTTTTCTCTCTGCAATACTCATGTAAATTAGGCTTAGGTGACTCCATGCAGGATTCAAAACGGAATTTCATAACTGAGAATATAAATCAGGACTCCATTATTAAAATAATCGAGTAGCTGATTCCAGGAGAAGCTGAGTGCAGTTGTAGAATTCTATTATTGCACTTACTACATATGAGTCACTTAGAATTGTACATGATTGTACAAGTTGAATTAATACACTCCCTTAATTTATGTTTTCAGTGTTAATATAATTTTCAGAATTTCAACATTGAGGCCTTTCATTTGCTACCTTTAGAAACCAGCCTGTGGACTTGGTTTTGGTAGTTTATACCCTCCTATGCGAACGTACATTCTGTGCAAAGTAAACTTTTTGAGTCAAAACCAATCAAGAGACTGACTTCAACAGTTAAGAATTCCCAGCCTACATAAAGCAGGATTGACTGGCTGGGACTGTTTTAGTAACTTGATACAGCTATGCTTTGACTCTGGGTGAGTGATAAAACAGCTGTGACTACAACTTGCCTGCTTTGTCTGTTGACCCAGTTTGACTAGTCACAGTGCTTGCTGGACATATGATGTGACTGCTGGTAACTAGCCTATATTGAAAGTATAGCAGGGGAAGTGGAAGTGGAAGTGATCAAATTTTGACTGTCTGTGATTGTTAAAATAGCAGGAGGGTTAAGTTGCACTAGTGCGCCTACTGTAATTGTCAGACAATTCTGGTGTTGTAAATCTGTCTGTACATGTAATTTTGTTTTTCAATTTTTCAGCGTCTCCCCTTTTTGCAAATGATTCCTGGCGGGATGAAGGAAGGAACAAAGATTGTGATCAAACTGACTGTGAATTCAAATCCAACCAGGTACAGTTATAAGATCACATACAGAACTTGAAAAACTTTCATTTTTGAGGTCAACATCCTGCCTGCAGTTATGACAGATCTGTTTCATTTGTGACAGTTATGACGAATCGGTTTAGATGTCAATTGTCTTTGTGAGAGTGTGTGGGGCCAGTCCTTGATCAGTTTACTGAAACGTGTGGTTATGAATTGAACAAGGGATACATATAAGTCTTGCAATGACAAGGGTCTTGGTTATTTTTGGTAGAGATAATATTTATATGAATGTTCAGACTAGAAATACTAGACTGGACATACAGGAAATGGAAATGCAGTAGCAACAATAATGCAGGGTCATAGCATGGTGTAGTGAGGGAGGATGTACATGTACATATAAAGCTGCATATTTTTTTCTTGCTACATTTTTCACCTGTTAAAAACAAAAAAGTGTTTTCAAAACGGGAGGTCGGTTGCTTTGATTTAGCATCCTGTGATTCTTGTTGCATATGTACATTTTTGAAAAGGAGGGAAAAAAGGAGAACTTTCCTTTTTGTCTCGCCTGGACTTTGTTCAGGAAAGAGACTATGCAATCACTACATGTATGTCTGTACGTATGTAGTACATGTATGTACATGTACATATATGTATGTGGTATTTTGGTTAAAGTTTCTAAAAATTGGTCTCATTTGAAAAGTTGAAATCCAGTTGGAACCAAACTTGGGTCATAGATGCAATATGACAACCTTCATGTGATAATGATGTCAAAGGTCACATACCAAGGTCAAAGGTCATCTGAGGTCAAATTGTCAAATAGGCTGAAAATGTTAAATGGGTCTCATTTGAACAGTTGAAGTCCAAATCGAACCAAACTTGAATCGTAGATGCAACATGGGAACGATCATATGATCATGACGTCTAAGGTCACACGACACATACCAAGGTCAAAGGTCATCTGAGATCAAGTTGTAAAATAGGTTGAACATGTAAAATTGGTTTCATTTGAAACGTTAACCCTAACTCCCTAGGCCTTTTTGCTAGGATGTAGCCTCAATCCTGCAAAATCCTCCAATTGGCCTCATGGAAAAATAGCATATAGCCTCAATCCTGCAAATTCCTCCGTTATTTCTTGAAAATGGTCCATGGAGGGATTACCACTGCCTGAATCCTGCAAAATCCTCCGGCTATGTCTGTCAATAGGCTGAGGCAGAGGCAGTGACATCCTGGAGCAGTGCGGAGGATGTAAAGTATAATCAAGGACTAAATTTATGCACGGCTGGGCATAAACAACACAAGGCCCAAGACCTTGACACAGTGCGTACTCCGAAATCAGCAACGCACTTTTGCCATGTAACCTCAATCCTGCAAATTCCTCCAATTTGCAAAAAGGATTTTGGAGGATTCAGGGCGGTTAGGGTTAAGGTCCAGCTGGAACCAAACATGGGTCATAGATGCAACATGGGAACTTCATATAATAATGATGTCAAAGGTCGCATACCAAAGTCAAAGGTCTTCTGAGGTCGTTGTCAAATAGGCTGAAAATGTAAAATTTTGTAAAATGTAAAACATAGGAACCTTCATATGATCATGATGTCAAAGGTCACACACCGCACACCATGGTCAAGGGTCACCCTTTAAAGATAATCGTGAAAGCAGGCGAGACGCGTGGTTCGAGAACCACCTTGCTTGAATTAAGATCAAATACTCATGTACTTCAGTGGCTTGCACAATAACAACTTCATTATTATCTTTTATTCGGAACCAAGATCTTTTGTTATCATTTTTGACCTCTTTCATCAAAGAACAGCAAAGTGCGATCACTTGTAATTGTCATTTCTTACCATTGAATTCCTTCAACAAAAGCAATTTTCCAGTGTTTTTGCTGAGTCCATCACCACGTCCTCACAAGTCCATCACATGTAAAGCCCGAGTCATAGAGTCCTCGGCCAATTTACAAGCTGTTCAAGTGGACGTGTGAATGGACTTGTGGTGAACTGAATGCGACTGTAGTTGTGATGGACATGAATACAACGCTGCAACTCTTACGGACTGATCCCAATTCAACCACTATACCTTATCTGTTTCTGGTAATGAAAGGTTCCACATTAATCTTCAATGCGGCATGTCCACCAACCCAAGAAGCGACATAGCATTCCACTTCAATCCACGCTTTCAAAACAACGTGATCGTCATGAACACCCTGCGTGGCGGCAAGTGGGACGGTAAAGAGGAGAAATACTCACGCCCTACTTTTCCTTTGAAGCCCAACGGGACCTACAAGGTAAGACTAGTCATAATGTGGTTGGCTATTGGGCATTTCCTGTCACTGTCCACTTACTCTGTTTATTAGTTGTTCAAAGAATTGAACACTGTGAACCAAGAATGTCTGAAATATTTATTATTATTATTACATTTGGGAGAGAAATTTCCGTAGACTTGTGTACACAATTTTTCAAACTTAAAATGTGCCCTAACCCCATATTCCCTTGTCCTTTTTCCACGAATTTCAATATGTTTACTAATTAGACCACGAGCAACAAAAGTAACCTAATTGCGACAGCAAAATTTTGCCTGTTTTAGAGGTGGGAGGAAAACCCTAGAAGAATATTCTGGGGAAATCCCACAGAATCAGGTAGGGACTGAAAACCCAATCCAAGTGTTGGCCGAGGTGGGATTTGAATCCAGGTCACAGCGAAGTCGAGGAATGTACCCCTACACCAACCTGAACAAAATGACCATGAACAAAATGACCATGAACAAAATGACCATGAACAAAATGGCCATAAACAAATTGACCATGAACAAAATGACCATGAACAAAATGGCCATGAACAAAATGGCCATAAACAAAATGGCCATGAACAAAATGACCATAAACAAAATGACCATAAACAAAATGGCCATGAACAAAATGGCCATAAACAAAATGGCCATGAACAAAATGACCATAAACAAAATGACCATAAACAAAATGACCATGAACAAAATGACCATGAACAAAATGACCATGAACAAAATGACCATGAACAAAATGGCCATAAACAAAATGGCCATGAACAAAATGGCCATAAACAAAATGACCATAAACAAAATGACCATGAACAAAATGGCCATGAACAAAATGGCCATAAACAAAATGATCATGAACAAAATGACCATAAACAAAATGACCATGAACAAAATGACCATAAATCTGTTTTCAGATTTCACATAGTTTTCATTTGGGTCTTCTCCTCCAAATTATAACACTTTACAATATGTTTCAGTAATATTTGTCTCTGGGAACTCAAGTTAACAAATTGGTTGGTTTTTAATATAAAGGCAAATTCACACTTTTATATCTGCTTGTAACACATGTCACGTGTATGCTACAATTTTTGTTCTGATATGAGCATATTCACCGTTATGATCGTGCCTATAAAGGACATCGGTTGCTGCAAATTGCGTTCACCAATTTGTGTAAAGGTGATGCAGATTGGCAGTGCCTTATGTGTAGCTTACTGCTGTCATTTACAAATGGGTAAAAAATTCTATAAATGTCGGGTGCACTATGCTTCTGTCCCTGTAACATTTGACATCTGTGATTTTATTTTATCATTCTGATGCGCTCAATGCAGTCATCTTCCAAGATTTATTATGAAAAGTAAACTACCTGTCCAACAAATAAAAAGGAATTGTTTCAGGTCATTCCTAATGATACAAGGTAACAGGGACAGGAAAAAGGTCATATGTGATACGATCAAGCTATGATGAGTTGTTTGTCAGGAATGTTTATGTGGAGATTCAGGCCAAAATAGGGCCACTTCATCACATCACTTCATCACATCTCTTGGTGTGCCGACTTCCATAAATTTCAAACTAAAGATGGTACCAGCATGTGGTTTTCACAACAGTAATGCTGAGATTGTGCTTTGAAATCTGTAACAAAAGTTTTTTTGACCAGGGTCAACAATGGACTCATGTAGCTTGATCGCATCACATATTATGGACCCTAAAATTTTATAGAATGACCCAGTAGTGTTTCACGCACATGATTGCTGCACACAAAGAGGTGTTGGCTCTGGCCCCAATATCTATCCAATAGGAGGTCAAAATATAACAGGTCACCAGCACCCTTTGATGTGGAATCGGGCATAAGCAGATACTGTATTAAATAATAAACATTATGTACGTAATCATTGATATTTTTCTGTTTGTACGTGTAGCTGAAGCTCATCTGTCGGCATTTCCATATAGCAGTAGATCTGGATAAGTTTAATCTGGTGTGGTACAACCACCGTCTGCCGTTTAAGAGCATCAATACTTTGGCCATAGATGGAGATTGCGTCATCAACAAAATCAAGTATGGTGCTGACTGAGTTCACAATCAATTTGAATAAAAATCCTCTACAACAAAAAAGCGCCTTCTGACAACTCACTTCTGTTTATGATATTTTATAAAATATTATGTATTATGATATTCTTATACTTACCTGTACAGTATTGTGATGTTGTGTAGTGGTGTCAGAAAGTTTCTTAATTGAAAACTGACTTTCAACTAGCAAGTGTCAAAAAATCATGTGTAAGAACACTAGGAAAAAAGTTTGAACAAATGAAAGTTTGTGCTATTTTCGAGTTTCATCCCGAAAAATAGGTTCCTGTTCTAAATTGCTAATTTTTTTTTTCAAAGTTAATTTCCAATCAGTATGGATAATGTATGGACTACTAGGAGCCAGTCTGCTCGCAAAGTGGATCCATTGTGCCCAAAACAAAAATCTTTTTTCCAGAGGGTTGCAGATGTTTAAAAAAAAAAGGGAAGGAGATTTTTTGTTGGAATAAAACAAACAAGTTGAAAATTTATTAATAGAAATAAATCAAACTGGTTGAAGAGCACAGGGAATGCATCTTTAAATGCAGTGAGAAGAATATGTGATGCGATTGAGCTAAATGAGTCGTTTGTCGGGAACTTTCATTTGGAGATTCAGGCCAAAATAGGGCCACTTCATCACATCACTCCATCACATCTCTTGGTGTTCCGACTTCCATAATTTTTGAACTAAAGATGGTACCAGCATGCGGTTTTCCCAGCAGTAATGCTGAGATTGTTCTCTTCAAATTAGTAAAACCAAAAATGACCAGGGTCGACAAATGACTCATTTAGCTTGACTGCATCACATATGGTAAAAAATTTATATTCCAATCCGGGCCTCAGATTAAGATAAAGCACAACCCTTTAGCCATGCAAATGCATGGTCAGAGTTGTTAAAGTTATAATGAACCAGTTTGCTGATTTTATTATTAGTTGATAGTGGACTAGTTGATAGTGGATATATGACAATGTAACCTCTTTTATATGGGTCTAGATGGGAGAAAAAATATATATTTTAAATTTTTTGTTAGTGAATAAACTAAATTTGTATAACGATTATCCTATCATTATGCACACAGTCACTTGCTTTGTGATGTATTTGTGAGATGTTAAAAGTTGTCTGGTTTTGACATTCAAAATGCAATTTGATTTAAAAGTATGTGTGTCACATTGAATAGTTTAATCCATTGTAACAGAATACTATATTACAATATTACTTTGAAGTATTTTTTGTCTTTTATATCCAGTAAAACTTATATTTATGGTAAAATATTTGGCAGGGTGTCAACATATTGTTTTTGGTAAAAACTACAGGCATTTTTAACTGATAAAAGCCAGAAAAAATACAGTATTTTCTGTTTATTTTTCAACGGGAAATCTTTTTATTTTTTTGTTACTGAACAACTATTTTTGGAGGATTTTTTTTTAAACGGTTACAAATCATGCACTTGAAATCTTACTTTAATAAGATTTATTAAAACGGTAATTCGTCATATATTTTACATCTTTAGCACTGTATAATAGGAATTTATAATGGGAATAATTGCAACCACCCCCACTTCAGCCGCTGACCAATGTTTTAAAACTAATAAAATGAGACCCAAATAATAAATGAAATGCTAAAGTTCCTAAATTTATTATCGAATGACCTTAGAATGCAGGAGAAAGCATCATAGATTTCCAAAAAAAAAAATTCTTGCCACCTCGGATGGTAACAAGCGGGGAATTTGTTGGTGTGGGCCCATGAACTAATGGCTAAGCGTTGTGCTATTTCGTCACGGGACAGTTGCTTTGATCTGTTACACGGTGCCCTTTATTAAAACGGTAATTCGTCATATATTTTACATCTTTAGCACTGTATAATAGGAATTTATATTGGGAATTTATAATGGGAATTTACATGTGCATTATAGGGAACAAAAGATTGTATACGTCTCCACAGGGTAATTTCTATAGATGAATACGTCTCTACAAGGTTATCACGAAATAGATATATGGATTTTTACTCGAAAACTAGGAATTTCAAAGGTGAACTTGATCCGTCGCAAATTGAAGTATTTTATTTAAGCGATATTGAGTCCAAATTTCAGCGCAGGAAAATAATTCAGGCTAAAATAGGAGCATTTTGAAACTAGATTTTCAAACTCAATTTTTTTTTAGTACACGAGTACAAAGAAATGACTCCACAAGGATACAAAATCCAGTCAGGGGCCTCATTCTTATCTCACTAATAGAGGTAGAGTTGACATGTGACAGGTAGAGTTGACATGTGGGTTTTATGACGGTAACAAAATCTACAATGAATGAAATAATCTCAAAGTCTGTTGAAGGGACACGTTGCTGATGTGTCAAAGTGAATAGAGAACAAAGGCCTGAAGTATTGGATATTTGCCATCATTTTGTTTTGGAAATATATGGGAAATTTGCAGGAAGTTGGCTAGTTATACATGTATAGTTACCATTGGTCAAACGGAAGGCGGACCTCCCCCACCACCATGCTTTAAACCACTTCTTGATTTTTCAGCAAATTTCCGCTTTGCTGGTATTTTTTTCATTTGAATTACCCTTTTTTTTTTACTTCACGGTTGGCCTGCGAACAAAATGGATATATTAAAGTATTCACATAGTGTTCGGCCTCTTTCAGAAAACAAGAAGAAAAGACTTCAACTTTCATTTTCGATTTCATTCAATTCCGTGTGAGTGTAAAGCAATCGAAGTTGCACTCGGCCAAAAATAACCACATGTACGTCATTACCCAAACCCCTGACTTAGTATAAGCCTTATCAGGTCATGCGACGTAAACACGTGCGAAGGGTATTCGCAGGCTTTGATTGTTGACTTTTTAAAGGTCGATCTAATCACCCCATGTCAAAAATATTTTGTCAGACTGTGTAGGCATGATTATTTACTATAGGAGGTGATAGACCGACCGAGTATTTATTGGGGGGGGATGTTTTAGTCTCTGAGGATTTGCGTTAGTGTTTGACGGCAGATGTAACGACGCACCCCAACCCCATTTTTTTTTAAAGTTCAAACCTGCAAATTTTTTCCTTTCAAAGTTGAAAGCCTTCATACCAATTACAGTCAGGCTTAGGCCTAATAGGCCTATATAAAGACTTGTATTATTCAAATTTCACGGAAAGATAGTTTCTTTGGGCGCCATTGTTCATTTTAGTTCCAAATTTGCACGTGTTTATTTCATTTTTGATATATAGAGTAATTCACAAATAAGGTATTATATTTTGTGCTACTTTTGAAAAAGTCGTCTAATTAAAAAGCAAGGTCATTTTATCACTAATTTAAATGCTTGAAGCTGAAACGTTATTACAGTCAAATGTGTTTTCATTCTCTTCGACGTTCTTAAAATGCATATAGTAGGCGCAGGAGTCAGTAGAATATATAATGAGACGAATTATTTGGACGAACTAGAATGCCAAATTACACGTACTGTGACTGCACTAATACGAAATGTATTTCGAACTGACATAAAGAAGCCCATCAACATTCTGGAATGGATCGACATTCTGGAACGAAATAAAAGTATCTTGCCTTCGAATTTAAACGATACAAGTATTAAAATAACCGGGGAAACCTATAAATATAGCTATAATTGCCGAGTTTCTCCTAAATATTTTCCTTATTTCCTCCAGGAATAATGTACTCCGTCGTAAATATACAAGGCCTGCTATCAGTATCGCAGCATTTACTGCCCAGCTAGCTTAGCAAGTCAAAACAATGTTATCGGATTGATCCTTTACTAGATCCAGACAGACAGAATTCATGTGTGCTTATTGTGTGCCCGTCTCATGCAACATAGCAGTATTGTGAAGTTCAAAGGTGTATGTGCATCTAACCGGTTGTGTGGACGTGCAGAGCTATAGAGAGAAACCAGGCTAGAGTTGAACATTGACCTCTATCAATGACTACAAATATCCATCGTATATTTTCGCGGCGTTGAAGGACTGCAAACGATATAAAAAGGGGCGGCTTCGCTTTGCAAGTCCTTTCAGTACCTGTACGACAAAAGCGTTAGCTGTAGCTGCAGTTGCTGCTGTGGTAGTTGAGGCCTATTACTAGCTTTAAACACTGTCATAACAAGGTAAGTCATATATTTTTATCATTATTTTAAAAATTAAAACACTATTCGTCTGAGTATTAAATCAATTCTCTAACGTGGAACAACCACCATCAGGAAAAAGTTTGGTGTATTGTGTGCCAGTTGGGTTTGTTGTGTTTCCTTGGTCCTCAGTCTTTGGCCGAGAAACAGTCCGATCACACTGGCAATACCGTATATAGGCCTATATTGCCAATCCGGTATACAAATATTTAGCCTAGTTGCAATATTAAACGTTTTACGAATTAGACATGAACGTCATTTTTTAGTGTTTTATTTTCTCCTGTGCGGCACTCGTCACCAAACGTCTTTCGGTGCACAGGAAAAAACAGCTAGTGGATTGGAAAATAACCAAAGGGGTGGGGCCCGACCTCGATCCCACGGCATTGAGTAGTACGCTCCCACTAGCTGCTCTCGCCCTGGTACTGGCAAGCATGAGATTTTTCAGACTTTTGCCTGAAACCAGACTATTTAAATCTGAGACAACTTGTCAGTATAGAAAGAAATGCATCTTTCACAGACCTTTCATCCATTTTTCAGACCTTTTTTTAAGTTGACAATCTCATCCATGTAGTGGATCACTAACACTCGTCCAAGTTAGTTTAAAAAGGGTAGGAGAAGACCCAACCTCGTCCCCAGTGCTTACTTTATTTCCAACGTTGTTTCCAATAGTAAACCCTGGATAGGAAACTTCCTTCCTGCATCCTGATTCGATACCGCAATTGGCTAGAAATGGATTTATATCGTGTACTTGGTGTTGTTATTCACAACGTGCAGTACGTGTTTTCACGATCATTCGTCCACGCCTTCTCGAAAATATTCATTTCCTTTCCAGTTTGTTAATATTAATATGAAATGTGATACTGCATGTTGTCTCGTTAAGATCGGCAACAGTTTAATTAAAATGAAATCATGTTTTCGTAACTCACGCCATGCTCGCGCTGCGACGAATTGATTCTGTTTTTACCCCAGACACCGCATACAAAAACAAACGCAAATGTAACGCACAGACAGGCACCAGACTACTCCTAATTTGCATACGTGTTCAAAAATCTTGCACATGCAAATGATCCAATACCAGGGTGAGAGAGCAGGTAGTGGTGGGCGCGTACTGCTCGACACCCTGGGTACGAGGTTGGAGAAGACCCTTTTTCCCCTCAAGATGGCGGTTTTTCTAAGATGCGGATGGATTCTCCCGATTTCTCGAATTTTTTGCTGATAACTCTGTGTCCAAAGGAGCTGTCAACCTTTCTACCAGATTTTGAACTCGCCTAAAAAATTTTGATGGAAACAATTATAGAATGACAACATATATATATTTCAAATGTATTAATTTAAAAAAAAATGATGCGGGCCGCGGACAGGAAAATGGAAACGGATGTGGAAGAGACACTAGTTTATTATTTTTTTTCTTGACCTAGCAAAGTTTCTGAAGATGCCATTTCCCATTGTAGATAGAGTTTCACGCCGAAAATATTTATTTTTTAGCAATACAATACTTGATTCCTTTCGAATGAAACATCAAACCAAGACAATATGCCCGTACGTTTAAATATGGAATAATTTCTATAGGCCTATAATGTCTCGGCCAGACGAGAATTTAGGAGGATCTTTTTGTGCGTTAGGGACGCAAAAATATAGCCTGAATAATCAGGTTTGTGAGGGGGGTGCTGCCGCCTGAATGGAAAAAAACGGGGGGGGGGGGTTAAAATAACGTAGAATAAATGAAAAGTTGATAGGAGCAAAAAAAACCAATGATTTGCTGAACAAGACTCAGTGTTATAGATTGCTTCTTACCCGTATGCCGTGCATACACCCCTGACCCTGTCAACGGCACATCTCAAACCTGTGATTTAGTTTTAATGATCTGGTAAACTAATCGCTAATTTTGCTCTTCGTGTAACTTTTGCTCTTTATTCTATAGTTTTCTCATTTGGGCTGTAGACAAGAATCAGCTTTGGCAAAATGTGTGCTGACATGGTAACCAACCCGGTAAGTGGGGGGTATTTGTCTACTTTTATTTGGACAACCTGGAGGAGATAAGGGGAGATAAGGCCAAAAGCATATCTGAAGAATCACTTGAGCTTCAGTTTTCAAATAGATTCTGAACAACGGCGAATCTCGTAAATGCATATCAGGCTCAGACATTTAAAAAGAAATCAGTTAAATCCTTGTTTGGGTTTTTTTTTTTTGGGGGGGGGGATGGGGCGGTATTGTTTTTTTTTCCATAAATATATTTGGTTTTATTTTTCACGGGGATCCACGTTTATAGCCTATTTAAAAATAAAATATTTTCTTCAGGAATAAAGACAGAGAACAAAGTTAATGTTCAATCTTTAATTTTTTTCCCCGATTATCATCATAAATAATAAAAGAAACGAATGAATCAATAACGAAATAATAAAATAAATACAGTAGTTTATAAACTGTAATAAAAGTCTGGCTGAATAACAGATAATGTAAAAAAAAATGTTTGAAAGAATAAATTTAATTATGTTTAATCAATAACAGTTCCGCGTTAATGTGGACCGTGCACTGGAACTAAAATACCAACATTTCTCACTGTTGAAATTCAAGAAACAATTAAAACGTTTTTTAAAGCAAATCTGACCCAACCATTGTCTTCACGATCGTATTTTAGACTATTCCATACAGTGGGCCGATTCCTGGAGGAGTATTTCCTTCGAAGACCATTCATGTCCAAGGGTTTGTGCCACAGGGAAGCCAAAGGTACGTCACATTTTCATTAATGTAATTTTTTTATGCAATCCTTGAAAATGCACCTTTTGTGTTCCATTTAACCTAATTTTCTATTTTCATTTTGCCATTTTCAAGGGTATTTTGGTGGCTTTTTATGCCAATGCAAATTTCCATATTCATGAGTAAAACTGTGATGTAATTCTGGGCAGAAACCTCAATGTTTACAGCTATTTCAGCACAAAAAAAAGTTGCTTGAATTTTGGAAATATTGCGGTGACAATTTTTTTTTAATGTTTTCTTTGGTGATTTTGTGTTGTTTCAGTGCATGGCAGTAAACCAGCAAGCAAACCTTTCTCACAAATGTGTCAATGAGCAAGTTTGTGGGTTCACAATTTGAACAGAAAACCCCTGAACTGCACAGTGTCTTCCTGAAATGATATCACAGCAACAGCGCCCTCAGTTGTCCGGAAAAGCATAGACAATTTGAAATGTTTTAAGAAGTACCCTTTTCAATAAAATTAACCGGAAAGGGATTTCGAACAGTTTTTATACATTTAAGAGAAGTAGAAAGTTGCACAAATGGTGTTCCTTAGGATATTTCACCGCATGGCTCCTACAAAATCGACCACCCTGTGTGACCCGTATTAGGGTCTTTGCTTTCAAGGGATACAAAGCCCTGTGCGAAGTATAAGGGCGACAGAGTTGTAAACATTATATCCATATCCTAGAGCTGCATTATTTCAGAAAGCACGGGAAGGAAGAGGGGGGGGGGGGGCACGAGGGGTGCCCCCGCCCCCGGCCCAGCGGATGTCCGTGGCTCCCCGGTACCCCCATTTAAAATATTGAATTGAACACAGGTATGATCACTTGCCTTCAAGTGACCCCCTTGAAAAATGTGTGCACCCCAGGCGCCCCACAGAAGTTCAACCTTAGTTAGGACCTACGCCACTAAAGCACCTTGGTGATTTTGAAGAATCAGGGAGTGTTATATAGTTCGGTTTATAATCGCATCGATATAGCACATATATTGCTTTACTTCTTAGGTTCAGCGTGAACCTCCAGTCTGGAGTTGGCATCACTGTTCCCGACCTCATCTTTCACTTCAACCCGCGTTTTCAGGCCGGCCAAAATCACGTTGTCTGTAACTCAAAACTTGGCGGGAAATGGGGAGGTGAGGAACGCCAGAATCACTCCCCCTTCGCTCTCGGCCAGAACTTTCACATCATCATCCGCTGCGAGCAAAACGCGTTTAAGGTGAGTCAAAACAGAGATGGGCATTGTAGCATGAGTTTCAAGCTATTAGCGAACAGATTTGGCGAGTAAAGCCTGCAAACGGCCCGCCAGCCATCCCGTTGGCTTAGCCGGCAGTCAGCTACCTCGGCAGCCTGCAGACAACGTTACCGTGACTTTAATAGGGACATTTTGACTGTTACAGGGGCGAGGCCGCCAGGCGCATTGAGTGGAGACCACACGGCCCACAGGCCGTAGGCTCATTTTTCAAACCTAGACTTGTATCTCCGTCTTCGGCTCAGTGTTGTAGTCGAGTACATTTCGATGAATACGAGTGCGAATGCCTTGCCATGAGTGCGAGATTTCCGTGAGTGCCAGAACGAGTATGAGTCGCACCACACTGCTTCGGCTCGACGGGATCGTACAGGCCCTTAACTTGCGAAAGTGCGGTTCAATACAGATGCCCTGATGGACTTTAAGTGTGTATTGTCTCCCCTCTGTTAACGTAGGTCAAATGTCATTCTGACGCCGGTAAACAACACCGGGGGGAAAAAACACAAAAAATCGAAAAAAAAAAAAAATTCCCCCAAAACAGAGAAACTCATTTTATGTTTTAAAACTCAAAACCCTGGTCTATTTAGGTGGCTGTGAACAATCGTCACTTTCTTTCATACAACTACCGTGTTCCGAACCTGCAGAAGATCAATGCAGTTATGATAGATGGCTCCGTCACTGTGTACAATATCCGATTTGAACCAGCATCTGCCGTGAGTAGTTTATATTAACAAACTATTGCCCTCAAATGGCAATATTTTTTTTACTGACCTTGTGAAAGGGAAGAATACAAGATGAACCATTCCTTGATGAGCAGACCATGCTTGATTCCATTCTCATTGTGATTAAAGACGGAAGAAAGTTGGCCTGCTGTGCTGTTCAAAACCGAAGATTTAAAAAAAAAATTCTCGGAAAAGTTAACCCCGAAACTTTTAATAGGAAATTATTTAGATTTATTTTTTGTTTTTGATTGGGTATCTGTTGGTTTATTACTTTTTTGTTTTTGTTTTTGTTTTTTGGGGCGCAATATCCATTCCACGGGTTATCATGGAGGCCTTTTTGACATGTCTTTTGTGTTGTCTTGCAGCCAGCCTACCCGGCTGCCCCTGCCCAGCCCGCTTTTCCAGCTGCACGGCCGGCCTACCCAGCCGCCGCCCAACCTGCCTACCCTGCTGGACCAAAAGTCGTCTCCTATCCAGTCAGTATAACAATTTCCCCATTTTTTTGGTACATGCAATATGGTGTTTATTTATGCTCTACTTCTGCTCATCTCCAACTTGACTGTAATTGAATGATTAGCTGCCACCTGACATGAATATTTATAGGGCCACTTATCAAGACTAAGAAATGGTTTGTTTGTCAGGGAAAAGTTATTCAAATTCTTTGCTACGAAGGTGCCGCTAAAATATGTTGTTGCTGTACCCAAAGGGCCAGCAAAACTGTCCTCTGACTAACTGACTGACTGACTCCCCAACTGACTGACTCCCCCCCCCCCCGACTCTCACACTGACTGACTCCCCGACTGACTGAGTCACCGAGTATTTCCTAAACTGAGACTTTCGGGTCCGGCTTGACCGGGCAAACTATTATAGTCATGCTTTAAAGTTATTTTTGAGGGAGTGTCAGGGTGGTCCATTATGCAATTCGCTTTTTTTTCTAATATATTTAGTAATGATAGATTAGCTTAATCAAGATGGAACCTTGAATTATTTAACCACGGGAAGGCAAAGGAGTAAAAGAATGGACGTACCCCCCTCCTCCATATCCTTTACCCAAAACAGAATTTATGGCCAGTAAGAATTACTCATGTTTAAAAAGCTTGCACCTTTTGTGCAACTTAGGGTCTACCATATGTGGACACGATTCCTGGAGGTATGAAGCAAGGGAAGATCATTGTTGTCAAAGTCACCGCGAAGCCCCACCCTACAAGGTAAGATTGTCAAATCTAACAAAAATTATATTCTCCAAGAGACTGACCTTTTTTTTTTAATAAATAAAATGGTAATTTGCTAAAAGCCACATCTTCCCTTTTTTTGAAAGTACAATGTAGATCCTTCGAGGATCTTAGACAATGATACCGAAATCGGGTACATGGAATTCTGTATCAGGCTTTTGGAGGTTATTGAGTCGTGACAACCAAGAAATCAACATTCACATTGTGACAGTATCCTTTTAAACCATTTTGGTAATTGAAGGTAAAATAACGGTCTGAAAGCTATAGGTCTCCCTCACAATATAGTTGCAACGTGACAAAGAACTCGACCTTATACTGCTGCTGCTTCAATATGGCATACCTTAATGGTAGAATGGTATTTTTGTATCGATTGTTTTGAAAGGTTCCACGTGAACTTCCAATGTGGCATGTCTACCAGGCCCCAAAGCGACATCGCATTCCACTTCAATCCACGGTTTAACCAGCAGACGATTGTCATGAACACCCTGCGCAGCACCAAATGGGATGGCAACGAGCAGAGGCACCAGACCTATTTCCCCTTCCACCCGAACGGGACATATGAGGTAAAAAAAATGTCCTGTGCCAATTCTCAGCTACTAAGTTTGAAATCCATTACTAGACCCCTTTTTTCTATCATCGATAGCCGCCGGCTCAGCCTGCAGAGTTTATTTAGTCGACTTTTCATTCATTCGAAAAGTGTCTCCCATCACACTGGAAATATATACGATTTAGCCTGTTAAGTTCACGTCATCCAATCTAATGAGAAACAGCACGGATGTTGTTGATTGGTCGATAGTTGTCATAGGCCGAAGTCACCGACAACAGACGACCACTGATTGGTCACTTTTTGAAGGTCAAGATGACTTGAATAATAATCGCTGCACCGGCAGGCATGTCTCACAGGCGTTTGCTGCGTGGTGTTTTTCACACAGACCAGTTAGTATACGGCCAAAGAAGAAAAAGCTGCATGTGTTGTGGATTCAATTGGAATGGGTGAAATACCCATAGCCTTTTATAATCTGTTAGATATCTGGTTTGCATGAACGGATTTCCATGGTATTTTTTTTTTACTGAAGATACATAGTATAATTAATATGCACCATCAAGATTAAATACTCATGCTAAATCGTTTTTGAGAAATTCAAAGGATATCTGCTTGCACAACTTTGTTTGGGACACCATGTAGAGATAAAATTATACAGTCTGATGTGGTTTGGGCTGCCGTCTATAATTTACCTCACGCAACAAGTTAGGCTGATTTCACATTTCACAAACAGTTAGGTTGGTTATATTCCGAGTACATAAAGATTAAGATAATCCAGGCGTTTTAATGAATGATGGCATTGATACAAATTTTAAAGGGGAACATTAATTGTTTTGTGTGGCCTAGACATTTTCTAGATATTTGTTTCTGTTTTTCTGATTATAATAGCTCATAATAATAATAATACATAATCCTGATTTTTTTTTAGAGGAGTTGTGATCATGTCGCATGACACTTATTGTTTAGAATCATTATTGTATGATTTTGTGATTTTATGGATCAACAACACACTTTGTTTTTTTGTACGTGTAGATCATGTTCCTTTGCGAGCATCACCAGTTCAAGGTGGCTCTGAACGGCTCGCATCTCTTGGAGTACCAACACCGTCTGCCGTTCCAAAACATCAGCGCTCTGAACATAGATGGCGATGTTGTCGTGACCGAGGTCAAGTACCACTAAACAAGCCCCAGAATTGGTTAACGGCAACGGCGGAGAGTAGTGCCTATTCGTAGTTGACAATTATTTTCATCATAACATTTCGGATGCTTTTCCGTAGTTGCATGATTTGAGTTGAGAAAGGCTCTTTTTTGAAATCTTCGAAGTCTGGGATCTACAGTCTCTTATTGAATGAATGATGTTTCTGTGAAACGCTAAATTGTTTTTCTTTTTAATTTTTTTCCAATAACAATTTTTGTTTGTGAGTCAAACTCTGTTATGTATTTCGTCAGGCCATTTTTTTTCTTTTTGAGATAAGAAATTCGCGATTTTGATGATGAAGTGAAGATTAATGGCTATTTCGTGGCTCAGTTGATAATCTTATATTTTCATGTATCAAAAATTGTCATATCAGTTATGATTGTTGTTGACTATTCCGTCATGTTGTTGCTGCAGCTCGAATTCAAATAGAACAATCTAGACGAAAATAGGAAAAGGAAAAATAGACGAAGAAGGAGTTTCGAAAGTTTGTTGAGCACGGGGATACATTAATTAAAAAGCGAAGGAAGTGTTTTCGTACGTTTTGCTTACACTTCCGTGTAGTAAAATAAACATACTGAAACATTAAAACCTTTTCCCAGTTAAAGTGAGTTTTGCTTTTAAAAGGATTTGTTCAATATTTTTGTTATTGACCCTTATGAAATATTTGAGCAACGTTTTTTAATGATTTGTTAATTTTGTTTCTTTTTTTTTCGTTTACTTCTGTGCAGAAAAATAATTCAACGTGAAGGTTTAAAGATTGAGAGACCTTAACAAATTCTTGGTTCACTTCTGTACTGCATATTACTTGAAAATTAGATGAATAAATCAACATAGAGTTACATGACATTTTAATTTCAACATAAATATTGTTCACTTTCGTTGGAAGTACACTGGAGTTTGTTTTATGGTCGTAGTATAGCTTTAGACATTATGTTTCATATAGGGTATTCTGAAACTTAAAAAACATATTTGGAGGGCTTGATGGTGTTTCGGCCTTAAACGAGACCTTTTTCAAAGGTACATTTTTCAAAGAACTTTTTTATCGAAAAGGTTTACAAGATTATTCTTACAGTACTTAATCGAAAAAGGTTTATATGATTATACTTATAGTGCTTAATCGAGATGGTTTACATGATTATACTTATATAGTGCTTAATCGAAATGGTTTACACAATTATACTTATAGTGCTTATTCGAAATGGCATGATTATACTTATAGTACTTTATTGAAATGGTTTACACAATTATGCTTATATGCTTAGCCAGTACTATCCTTCATGTATTTGTGTACTTTTCGTAAGGTCTCTACTTACATGTAGTTTAACGTGATGGTTTAAGTGACGACTATTCGACACTTGCTAAGCTATAATTTTAATGATTATCGTAATGATTTTAGCTGTCCCTGGCCTTAAACATTGGTAGTTTTCCACTCAGTTTAACTCGACAATTTATGCGGAGACAACTTGGTTATCACTTAAGCTATATATACACTGAACATTGTAATATGATCTTGGCATATGAAGTTACAAGTTATACCACTGGATTTATAGGCTAATTAATATATACTAAGGTTATTCAGATAATACTGAAAAGTTCACATACATCAGTTCTAGCTTTACTGGATATTATTTTTCTTTAACCATGCCTTTTAGTTAGACACAGTTTACTGCAATATAACACAAATACAGTTAATTTTAAAGTAGAACACAAGAAATTGACTGGAGGTTGACTAGTGCCCCTTGAACAAAGACATTGACAAAATGGGAAGCCGCCAAAATGGGGCTGAATAGCTCAATCGGTAGAGCACCGGAATTGTAGTCCGGAGGTCGCAGTTTCAAACCTCCAGACAATTTCTCTGTTCAACTTTAATTTCTTTGTTAAACCTAGACAGTTTCTCTTTGATTTTTTTGGACAAATAGGCCTAGATTTATGATAATTATAAAATATGCCTTGTAACGATGTTTACGTGTTTTACACATTCCTATGTTTAGTGGCAGCATCTACGGATGTTTTCTCATATAATTATACATGTGCATTATGCTACCTTAAGCTTAAAGCGTTTACAGAGGAAGACAAGTGATGTTTATATAATGTCGATTGTAAGTGCTCTACAATTGAATTAAGAAATAAACAATAGTAGTGCATCACCTATACGCATATACTCTGGATTTGTGGATTATATTTACTCGCATGATGTGATGAAATTTGATCATCCCATACTGATTTACTGAAGTTACTGCAAAGGGCTAAAATCGGAGCAGTTATGGACTCGATAGATTGAGGCACGTTTGATTTTTGTATGACATTGTAAAAGGACAGTTGGGAGAAATTCATTAAGGTTTTTACAGCAAAGTTCTGGGCTTAGTATCTTTTGGTCAAATTGCCAGCGCACCTGGGTGATTGCGCAATGCCTGAATTTTTGAAAACGATTTACGCATTTTTCAAAATGATTTAGGCCTACTTTCAACATGTCCACTAAGGATAGTATAATGGATAGTGTTTTACACTTTTCTGTTTACCGCTTACAAATTCTGGCAACCTGCGTTGTGGATTTTAGATTAAATCAGACATTTAATTATATAAGCATAACACGTTCCCCCCAAACAAAATAGATTCAACACTATACCTTTTGTTTATAACATGTTTATTTCCAACAGCTCTATCATTAATTTTTATCTCACTTGACAGTACTTTTGTGTTATAAACAGCTATTGTTATGTGCTGTGTTCTATTTTTAGACCATTTTGTAATGACTAATCAATTATTTTATATCTCATTTTTGTTTATTTCAATTTCGTTGGTTAAATTTAGAACTACTCAGTTATAATAATTGTATCAATTATTTCAATATATCGTTAAGAATGGGTTTACTTCTTAAATCTCAAGCGATGTTTGTTAGTAACGTTTACAACATACATTTCGAAAGGGTTCAACATTACACACGTAAATGCTAAAAACATAACACTAACAGTTGCTGAACTTGGTTCTTTCACGAACTATGACTATTAATGCATAAACCAGTAATATTGGGCCCACGCAATGTAATTTTTGTTAATGCAATCCTTAAAAATCAACCTTTGTGTCCCATTTAACCTTATTTTCAATTTTTGTTTGACATTTTAAAGGGTATTTTTGGTGCCTTTTTGGTTTTTATGGTAATGTAAATTTCCATATTCATGAGCAAAACTGTGATGTCATTCTGGGCAGTTACCTCAATGTTGCAGCTATTTCAGCACAAAAAGTTGCTAGAATTTTGGAAATTGTGCTGTCCTCAATTTTCTTTTCTTTGGTGATTTGTTGTTGTGTAAGTACTTGGCAGTAAACCAATGAGCAACATCTTCAAGTGTTTTCAATGAGCAAAGTTTGGTTTCACAATGTGAACAGAAAACCCATAAACTGAACAATGTCTTCCTGAAATTCACCACAGCAACAGCGCCCTCAGTTATCCTGAAAAGCATGGCCAATTTTAACGGTTAATAAGTGCACTTTTCAATAAAATTAACCAAAAAAGGGATGTAAATTAGTTTTCATACATTTACGAGTTGAAAGTTACACAAAATGTGTTCTAAAGAAAAATTCATCGCATGGACCCTTTAATGAAGGTATTCATGTAATATTCTTCATAAGCAATAAAAGTGTCTCTTTGTTAAAAAAACCAAAAAACACCTGTTTGAATGCTTGTTGAGCATGGGGATGGTTTAGTAGCAAAATGACACCCTTAAGAAACGAAGGAAGTAGTCATTCACCTTTTGAGACTATGGACGGACATTTCGCTTACATTTCTGAGTAGTAAAATAAACGAACTGAAACAAAATTTATATCAAAACTTTTTTTTCCCAATTAAAGTGAGTTTAGTTTCTAAAAGGATTTAACATATTTCATTTACCTCGATGAAAGGTTAAGCAACGTATGCTTGTTTGTCTTGTAAAGATTTGTTAATTTTGTTTGCTTTTTTTTTAAACTTCGATTTACTTCTGCGCAGAAAAATAATTCAACGTGAAGGGGCACGTTGGAGCTGTAAATACAAATGTATAGCATTGCATTTGTATAAATGCTAGCAAGATGTGGTTCTAAGAACTGTTAAAAAAGCGTTATTAGCAGACGATTTACACTACTCAAAATATGAAAATACGACACTGATCAGAACTAAAGCAAAGCGCGAAGCCATAACGGCGTGGAATTGGAGTTGGAATTGTAGATACTCAGTGGTGCGATTTGAGGCAAATTCTTACCACTTTTACCAATTTTTTTGAGCAAAAGATAATCATTTTAAACATTATTTTCGAGTTTGGAGTCATTGAATCAGTTATTCTGAGTCGGGGACGAAAAAAGTGGGGGGGGGGGGACAAACGATGTAATATCCCCCCACTTTAACAAGTGGGGGGGGGGGGACATGTCCCCCCGGTCCCCCACTGATCGACGCCCATGCCGACCTCGAGTAAAATCCAAAGCCAATCATAAATTGGTTCATAAGGGGATGAACAACAGTTCCAATGAATGTCTTTTACTATAAGAACAATTTACCAGGGATCCTTTTTTTTAGCTTGGGTGTCCTTTCTCAAGATCGTATTTTTGTGTAATAAGATAGTTATCTCAGGCATGAGAAAAGATCTCGAGGGCTTTGAGTTACAGTTCATTTGAAAAGCTTATCACTTGACTTAATCAGAACTTGACTACAACTCCTATGTTATAATGCTTACAAACTTGATTACGATTTTGGACTCATTGCTTTCCTGAAACATTGAGCGACTTTTAACTAGTCAATGTTGATAGCGTGGATGGTGACGTCACCATCAACATTCATGGATTTGACCCCCTGCGGGCCATGGCGGTGGTTGTAGTCGATCACGTGATGCCCATCAACCTGCACTCGCAGGCACTTCCGCATACACAAGATGGTAACCTGGGGGTAAATAATACAAATTGTATATTAACTTGTATGTTCTTCGAAGACCTCAAATTACTGTTGCGTAATTTTACTGTTTTTCCTGGATATTATTATTTATCAACCACATAACATAATTATTTCAGTTATAACAATTACCACAGAAACCCAACGGTGGAAAATGCTTCCTTCTTTGGATGGAAGGCATGCTGTTGAAGGGCAATAGACCTAACTGATAAATTGTTCACAAACACGTGGAGCAGGCAGGAAACTGAATTTGTTTTTTGAAAAACCCAACGACCAATGCTTACCTCGTGCGTGCCACTGGGTGCAAATGGAAATGCACCACCCCTTTCCTCGCCTCCCCACTTCCCGTTCCGTTTCGAGTTGCGTACGATGGTGCGTTCAGCAAAACGGGGATTGAAGTGGAATGCAATGTCATCCTGCTGGGGCCCGTAGTAAGCCCCATTCAAATTGATAGCAAACCTGCGGGGAAAAAGGTAACGTGTTATACATGTGTTTTCAAGTTGGATGTTTTTGTCACGTGATGCCAACTTTCAGCAACCTGTTCTTTCTTGCTTTGCTGAGTCTCTTAGAAATATGATGGGTGTAAAAGGTAACATGGTCTATGAGAAAGAAATGAAGTATCACAAAATTGGAAATATTCATCTCATTTTGTTTTCAACGAAATTGCATGGACTTACTATCACTGAAAAAATTCGCACGTGGTAAAAAAAGTGCATTCTACCCTTGAGGTTCAGTCTTTTCCAGAAATGTTTGTAAGATTCTGAGACCTCGGCATATTCAAGGGCGGATCCGGGGGGGGGGAGGCAAAAAAACCCCGAACCCAACTTTTTTTTAAAGTGGCGTCGCAATAAATGCAGACACTGCGTACACCACCATCTTTTCCTTTTAAAAAAATGGTTAAAGTGGTCAGAAATTGCCTTAGATCGCACCACAGAGCATCTAGAATCAAATTGTTTACCCACGCGGTAATATTTTTGACCAACTTTTTGGGGGACCAAATGTTTTTTTGGCCCCCCTAAAATTTTGTTCTGGATCCGCCCTTGGGCATATTCCGCAATCATATATAGGTCCTTCGTATATGGCATTTTTCTTTTCTTTTTTGCGAAGTTTATATAATTAATTCATAATGCGGAAAAGTTCATAACGCGGAAAAGGCCCATGTTCTGTCTCAAACAGACATAGACCTCTATACTTTAACATTTACTCCTATGCAAGTTCAAATTGCGTATTGTCAGATTATATGAAAATGCCATCTGCTCTAACCTATATAAATCGTGTTTAATTGCCGTGTTTTCACTTAGAAATTCCTTTAAATGACGTCATTAACAAAATAATAAATACATGTACTTTCAAAAGACTTTCGATAAATTGATACTTGAAGTCTTGAAGTCATTAGCTCTTTATCTCTTATTAATCCAGTACAGTTGTAATTACTAAAACTTCAAATCTTTGCGGGTGAGCATCTTTTCGGTTATTATCCAAATGTGACAAATTTTGCCGTTGTCTAATTTCCGAATGTTCGCATCATCCGTCTTATCGGCCAAGATGTTAGCATCATCCGCCTATCGGCCAAGATGTTAGCATCATCCGCCTTATCGGCCAAGATGTTAGCATCATCCGCCTTATCGGCCAAGATGTTAGCATCATCAGCCTTATCGGCCAAGATGTTAGCATCATCCGCCTTATCGGCCAAGATGTTAGCATCATTTGCCTTATCGGCCAAGATGTTCACCTGTTGGGAGCTGGGCTAACAGTCAGCTTCATGGTGATCATATTGCCGTATTGTAGTCCAGACGGTCCTATTGGGCCACAGAAGGGAGTCGACTGTATAAACGAAATGGGAAAATGGCTTGAAAAACTGTGGCGGTGATTGTTAGAGTGGTGCTAAATTGTTGTAAAACTACAGGTGGGTCTTTTCTCGGTGGTGATGGTATTAATGGTGGTGGTGGAGTGACGGCGGTGATGCTGGTGATTAGGGCTCATGGCGGTGATGGTGATAATGTTTAATATGTCGACAGTATGGTGATGATAAGAATGAAGATGATGGCGATATCAAGATGAGGATGATAGGGATATTGAAGAGTTTATTGGTGAATATAATGAGGAACAGGATTGCATTAATTATGATTACCATGACGGTGAATACAATATTTTCCCACCCATTATGTCTCCTGTCTTTGACACTTGAAGCTACGACCCTCGGCATTTTCCTATGATACTTTCACCGCCTTTAATCTTCTTTTGTAATGAATAATATTAAATTCGATTACTCCCCCCCCCCCAAAAAAAAAATGAAAACAAAAATTCATCGTGTAACGGCACTCACCGGGTTACTAATTTGTATTCCTGGCTGCCCTTGTGGACCTTCTTGGAGAGCTTTGGCCTATACGAAATAATCAACCAGATAAATTATTTCATAAAACAGTAGTATTTAAGGATTATTAAAGTATTTGGTATACATTTTGGCTTCAGTTTAAAACTGATGAACGACAAATTTTTATGAATAAAAGGTATTTTTTTTGGGGGGGGGGTGTGAGATTTGTGTTTTATCTTTAATTTTGTTATATGAGCGTGATATGGATACGCAGGGCAGTTTTGCATTTTAACAAAGTATGGATATTATTTGGGAAATATTAATTCTTTTGAGGAGATGGAAGGATTAAACATTGAAACCCAATTTTGAGTAGCCACGTCAAGACTTCCACTTTGTGCACTCAATCCCTAACAGTCCTGAATCCTCCAATTTTAATACGATTTTGCACACCCCCTAGGGAGTTAGGGTTGCAGGGGGAGCAGAATGCATTGTGTTGGGGGTGGGGTGGGGGAGGGTTCGTGTTGGATGGCATGTGCCCAGATTCACATGTCGTAATTTAACATGCAACATATCATCTTTTTTAATACCTCATCATTCTTTAGTAACCTACCTCTGTGGAGGGTGGGTCATAACGAATGCTGGTAATCGCGACGTCTCCAGCCACGTTGACGGATGTTATCTGATGCAGGTCCACGCGGTGCTTGTAGTCTAAAAAGTGACGGCCGTTCACACACACCTGCAAACAAGACGTGTGAAGTTTCTTTTGAAAACCCAGTGTTCGAAGCCATAAAAATTGAATTGGTCAATATTTAACATTAATACAACCTCACAGTGAAGCCTCATTACGTTGACGACATGGATATGATCATGGAGGGCTATCACCAAGATTTGTAACACGACGGAATAATGCTGTCGCGACATCCACTCCAAAAAGATTTGACCCGCATCTGGGTCAGATTTGACCAGACCCTTTTCCGGGTCGCGAATTTCTTTTCCGTAGGCGGGATGCTCCAAAGTCATGAATAATTCAATAGTTTCGATCGGGCCAGTATGTTTATTCATGAAACAGAACAATGATATCAGGAGCATTGTTGCTATTTCGTCAACCAATTACCTTTAAAGCATTTTAAAGTACGGACGTCGTCGAGTTACCACAGTAGCCTAGTGCTAGTAGCGTGATGAGTTATGGATGCAATGATCCGTGGTTCGAATCCACGTCATCGCTGCTCATTTTCAACAACTATTTTGCATCTCTGAATTTATAGTTGAGATAATTTCATTTAAGGGAAAAGGAGAACGAGAACCTTAAGTGTCTTAATTGCAACGATTCAAAGGAAAACTGAACTTTATGCGTGACATTAATTTGAACAACCCACCTACGGAAAAATTGCTTCCGTGGCCAAAGACACTTCTCCAAGTCACTTTTCCGGGACAGTTGACACAAAAAAAGTGTCATTTTGACACGAAAAACTAATTTTGACAAAAGAAAATGTAGTTTTGACACAATAAATTTGCCGCATCCCGTATCGAATTGGACCTGAAACTTTTATGGGTGTATTTTCGTCATTCTGTTTTTACTTGCACTCTATTTTACCTTAAACTCGTTCCCCTCGCACAGAATGACGAGTTCAAATGACTTTCCTTGGTCGAAGGGAACGTTGTCGAGGCTGCGCTCCTCGGCCCCCCATTTTCCGCCAACCTTGGTGTTGCAGACGACGAGATTCTGGCCCGCCTGAAAACGGGGGTTGAAGTGGAAGGCGATGTCTTCACCACTCTGGAGGTTCACGTGGAACCTACACATGGAATCAAAGTATAACTTGATGGGATGGTTTCCAAACATTGGGTTCGTCTATATATGGCTTCATACCCGAATATTCTGAAGCTTTTATGTAATGCAAAAGGAAACTCTTATTTGGGCTTCGTATAATAGGATTTGATGTTTGTAAAATACCTATGTTTGAACGAGGAGCCTAGAATCCCTAAAAGCCGAAGACAAGGCTACGCTCGGATACAAAAGGTTTACTGAGTAACGAAGGATATTTTACATGATCTTGTCTCGCTTGGCATGCTATATGAGAATTAATGTAATGCAACCGGGTTTTTTTTAAATTGAGCTAGGTATGAACAATTTCATGATCAATACGAAGGATGAGTGTTTTGGGAGAATTACCGGTATGGGACTTCATGCACGCCTGTGAAACTCTTGTTTCCCAGAGTTCAGATTCGACCCGGATAAAAAGTCAGATTTGTCTCGGCTCTTTTTCGAATGACACGTCTCCTCCGAATTACCTTTTCCGGGCCATTTGACCCCGAAAAAAGTGTTATGTAATAATTGTCATTTCATCCAGAGACATGTCACTTTGACCCAGTCTTGGTTTCTTACCAACTTTTACCGGGATTCAAGGTCGAATCTAACCAGGGACGTTTATGAGTGCATAAAATCAGGAGTAAAAGCAAGTTCGTGAAAGAAGCTTCAATTAAGATTGTAATACCAACAATGATGAAAACACATAACCCCCTTCCCCGTCTAATTGCCATTATTTTTAGTAACATAATCGTGTACAGTGTATTGAACTAAAACAAAATCAAACAATTTAGCCATGTTATACATTTAGCATATTTTGTGTTAAAAAAATCTTCATAATTTCTAATTAAGTGCACAAGTTTCGGAGTCTTGATGCTTCGAGGATAGAGGGTAATCTCCATTGGGAACCATGGGCGTCGCCATGCAGGTTTTTTTTCTAGAGGGGGGCAAACCACATTATTTTCAGTGGCGGCGCCAGACTCTAATTTTTTTTTTGGGGGGGGGGCAATTGGGGGAAAGGAAATATTTGGGGGCAGACAAAACAAAATTTCAAGCCCTGTGTACGCGCGCGCAATGGTCCGGAAATAAGCCACTAAAGCCACTTAAAAGATGTAGTCGTGTTTATGAATGAGAAATGTATCAAACCGCAGAATGGTGTATAACAAATGTATACAATTTGCTGAGGAGAATAATAACAAAAACAATAGTAAATTCATAGAATAACAATAGGTTTTGGGCTCGAGGCCCAACACCTAATAACAAATGTGCAAAGACGTTGGCTGCACACGGCTGTATCAATGCATGTGTGGCATGTTTTGTCTCAAGTACCAATGTTTATAACGCTTTCATTAGCCCAAAATATGTTCATATTTTATGCATCTTATAGCGAAGAAAATATAAATAATTAATCTATTTGTTGATAAAGTGTTGGGTGAAACCTGTGGGGGGGGGGGGGACTGGGGGGGGGGGAGATAAAAACGGGGGGGGGGGGGAAATCCCCCATGCCCCCCGTAGCGTAGCGCCGCAACTGATTGCTCAAAATCCTTGTACTTTCTCTAGCATATTCTCAATTATCATTTTTCGAGGGTGTGCGGAGGGACACTTGCCCACCCCACCCCCATGGACACCCTGCGGACGCACATGTTGTTAAATCGTCGCTTTGCTCACGAAGTGACAAAAACCTCGAAAATCGATAATTATTCGATTTTGAGTTTTACTAGCCATTTTATTATAGTTGTCTCAAGGAACAATTTGACCAAGTTTCAAGGCAAAATATTGTTTACTTTCTTAATTATTGTAAACAAACAATTGACAAAAAGCCTGAAATTGGTGATTTTCATTTTCACCAAGTGTAAAAATGTGTAAAATGTTCTCACGAAGTGACAAAAAGTCACTTCGTGAGCAGGGCCAGAAATTATACAATGGTCTACACGTGGAAGGATGGGAGCATACACGCGCGCGCGAACGATGTTGAAAAAGAACAGACGCGCGCGCGCTCAACTGTCATGACGCGCAAAAGTAACAAGTTTGTTGCGTCGAAAACAATCCCACGAAGTGACAAAAACTGTGTACAAAGTAATTGGCAAAATATGGGACCCAAAGTTTTGATGTTCTCACGAAGTGCAAACAAGTTTTATTAATGAATTACTGTTTAATTACGAACTATTTTTAACAAACAACTATGAATTAACAAAGATCAAATTATATCCTATCGGACAATGCAAACATTTCCGAATTCTGTTACTGCAAAGTGGTCGAAAATGTCTTTTGAAAAAATGAATAACTTCAAATGCGATTATCTCAGAATGAACTTTTGTCAAATTTTTAGGTTTTTGTCACTTCGTGAGCAAAGCGACGAAATGTGCATTGAGTTGACTTTCGCACCTCGTCTTCTCCCCCCCCCCCTTTTTGGGGCTTTTCCAGCCCCCCCCCCCCCCCCCCCTCGCGACGCCCATGTTGGGAACTAAGACGTAAGTCGTGATTTTTTCAATCTGTACGATCTATACATGTATGACCAACCTCGTCCCCAGTGCTTACTTTATTTCCAACCTCGTTTCCAATAGTAAGCCCTGGATAGGAAACTTTCTTCCTGTATCTTCCTTTATTCGATACCGTAATTTGCTAATAATGGATTTACATCGTGTAGTTGGTATGGTTATATTTCCAACGTGCATTACGTGTTTTCGCGATCATTGTAATTATAACGTCCACGCTTTCCCAATAATACTCCTTTTCTTTCGAGTTTGTTAATATTAATATGAAATGTGATACTGCATTGGGCGGGCCAGACTGTAACATTTTAACTTCCAACAAAAAGTCGTGTTTTCATAGCTCACGGCGCGACGAATTGATGCTGTTTTTACCCCCGACACCGCATACAAAAACAAACGCTAATGTGACGTACATGCAGGCACCAGACTATTCCTCATTTGCATACGTGTTCAAAAATCTTGCACATGCAAATGAGCCAATACCAGGGTGAGAGAGCAGGTAGTGGTGGGCGCGTACTGCTCGACACCCTGGGGGCAAGGTTGATGTATGACTGCATTGTCAATGTTGGGTATTTCTCATTCCGGTAATTTCCCGACGCGTGCAACATAGTAGGCCTACGTCTGACCCGTGTGCCCTCTGAGTTTTGATAACGATAAAAAGACATTGTACTACATTGCTCCCTTAGAAACTTTTGCATGGTAACACAAGCCATACATGTAGAGTTGAATTTGTGCAAACACGATTTCAAGACATCTCGAAATAACTCAGGGGCTTTTAGACTGTCAAATGTTTAGAGATATCTTGAAATGAATTTGGCGCATTGGTGCCTTCACCACTCTGGAGGTTCACGTGGAACCTATACATGGAATCAAAGTATAACTTGATGGGACGGTTTCCAAATATCGGGTTCGTCTGCTACATACCCGAATGTTCTGAAGATTTTATAATGTCTAAAGCAAGCAAAATGAAAACTCTTATTTACGCGGTCACGATCTCGTGGAAAACTAGACTCGCATTTTTTGTTTTCAAATTTTGTGCAAGCATCCGGGCGCGTCGACGCGTCCGGGTAGTAGCTACGCACGCATGAAAAGGCTGATGATTGGTTGGATTTTTGCTACCCTTTTGGGATAGCAAAAATCGTGATTATGAAGAAAAACATAAGAATTTCTCGACAAGTTAGAAAAGGCCATCGCATGTGTGGTCTCCATCTCCAGTCGCTTCGCGTTTTCGTCGCTTTAAATAGGGCAAGTTAAGTCACGATGGCCTTGGTGAAAGGCTAGAGACAAGGCTGCTTTGATACAAAGGGTTTCCTCAGGAAGGATATTCTACATGATCTGGTCTCGGTTGAAATGTTATATGAGAATTAATGCATTTCGATTTTCTTTTTAATTGGGCTGGGTATAAACAAGTTAAAGATTGTGAATGATGTGATACTTTTGTATCCCAGAGTTCAGATTCGACCCGTATCAGGCTCAGATTTGCCCCGGCACTTTTTCGAATCAAAACGACACTTATCCTATGAGTCATTTTTTTCTGGGCCATTTAACCCCAGAAAAGTGTTACTGTGACACTAATAATGGTCATTTGATCCAGAGCAATGTCAATTTTACTCGAACAATTGTCACTTTGACCCAGATTGGGTCTTACCAGGATTCAAGGTCGAATCTGACCTGGGACGTGTATGGGTGCATACTCTTGTAAGTATCATATAGAAGCCGAAACTCCTGGAGTAAAGGTAAAGTTCGTGCATGAAAGAAGCTTCAATTAAGATTGTAATACCAACAATGATGAAAGCACGTAACGCCCTTCCCCGCCTAATTGCCATTATTTTTAGTAACAAAATCGCGTACAGTTTATTGAACACAAACAAAATCAAACAATATAGCTATATATTGTAGCGGGATCCTACTGGGCTCTTGTCCGCCAAATCCGGCCAAACGCAAGAAAAGGGGACAGACAGACGGGATTTCGAACTCTGAAGGAAGATCTCATTTATTTCGCCAAGCGGAGTCTGCGGGCAACTTGCCGCACTGCTACCAGAACTGCAACTGATCAATTCCCAGCATAGACATGCAAAGTTTCACAAAATGTATTACAATGTTACAACTTTACCAAACCCTGGAATCTAGCCAAGTTCATCCCGCGCAATTGAACAAAAGAACCCCAAAATAGCCAACCTATTTGTAGAGCCTATTTCCGGAGCGCGCGCTAGCCAGACCCAAAACCAGGTCAGGTGTGTGCCGCCGGAGCCCCTCCACCGGAGCACTAGTGCTAGAAAGCAATGATAACAACAGTGTGCATAGACTGTCCGTTACAATATTATGCATTATGTATATTTTGTGTTAAAAATCTTCATAATTTCTAATTAACTGCACAAGTCTTGGAGTCTTGATGCTGCGAGAAAATATAGAAGGTTATCTCCATTGTGAACCATGGGCGTCGCCAGGATTTTTTTCTATAGAGGGGGTATCAAGCACATTATTTCCCAAAATCCTTGTACTTTCTCTAGCATGTTCTCAATTCATCATTTTTCGAGGGTGGGCGGAGGGACATTTGCCCACCCCACCCCCATTGACACCCTGCGAACGCCCATGTTGTTAAAAATTAATGTGCATTGAATTAAGTCAATTAACGGCAATAATAACTTCGCACCTCGTCTTCTTTTTTTTCCCCTCTAGTTTTTTTCTGTGGCTTTTCCAGGGGGGGGGGGGGCAGCGACGCCTCGCGACGCCCATGTTGGGAACTAAGACTGGTTAAGTCGTTATTTTTTAATTTATGGTACATTTCTGTTTTGTTTTTCTTGGCAGTATTTTGTCTCCATTCTGTATGATCTATACATGTATGACTGCATTGTTAACAATGGGGCCGTATCATAACTCCGTCGCCTCATAAGTCCGAAATTTCGTCGGAGTTATGGGTCTTTAGTTGGTTAGGGGATGCAATTTTGTCGAAGCTATGAGGCGTCGGACCTATGAGGCGTCGGACTTATGAGCGGACCCCTTACCAATGTTGGGTATTTTTCATTCCGGTATTTTCCCGACGCGTGCAACATAGTAGGCCTACGTCTGACCCGTGTGCCCTCGGAGTTTTGATAACGATAACAAGACATTGTGTAGACATTCTCCCTTAGCAAGGGTTTGGTAGTAGCACAAGCCATAGATAGGAATTGTGCAAACACGCATGATCACGAGCTTTGGACTTTTACGACTGTCATTAAACATTAGGAATAAGAGTGCTAGCCTGGTTTCTTCACCCAAAACAAAAAGTATTGCGTTTCATTCACGGAGGAAAGGGAACCCGAAGCAGGATGCTTGCGGTTTTTTTTAGTGTCTGTTTGCATCATGCATTAGTAAACAGTTATTTTATTCCTGCATATTCGAGTCATGCTACGTACCTTAAACGGCCCATGATGAAGGCCTAATGTATTTGTTTTTTGTGCACTCCTTGCAATTGCACCTTTATGTCCCACTTAACCTTGAATTTTCATTTTGACATTTTCGAAGGTATTTTGGTACCGTTTTGGCTTTTATGCTAATGTAATTCGCATATTCATGAGCAAAAGTGTGATGTCATTTCAGGCAGATACCTCAATGTTACAGCTATTTCAGCACCAAAAGTTGCCAGAATTGCATTGTCAATGTTGGGTATTTCTCATTTCGGTAATTTCCCGACGCGTGCAACATAGTAGGCCTACGTCTGACCCGTGTGCCCTCTGAGTTTTGATAACGATAAAAAGACATTGTACTACATTGCTTCCTTAGCAAATGTTGCATGGTAACACAAGTCATACATGTAGAGTTGAATTCGTGGAAACACGCATGAACACGAGCTTTGGGCTTTTACGACTGTCATTAAACATTAGAAATAAGAGTGCTACAATCCCGGCCAAAATGGTTGGGACACTTCCTGAGCCTGCCACGGTCACCCACTCCCCCGCTCAATGTTGTTCTCTCCAGCTGATGGAGCACACACCGCGCAATGAGAGACAACATTGAACGGGGGCCGGGGGTTGGAGGCCCAGCGAGGTTTTGTCAGGATTGTAGCCTGGTTTCTTCACCAAAAACAAAAAGTATTGCGTTTCATTCATGGAGGATAGGGAACCCAAACAGGATGCTTGCGGGTTTTTTTTAGTCTCTATTTGCACGTTGCATTATTAAACAGTTATTTTATTCCTGCATATTCGAGTCATGCTACGTACCTTAAAAGGCCCATGATGAAGGCCTAATGTATTTTTTTTTAGTGCACTCCTTGCAATTGCACCTTTATGTCCCACTTAACCTTTAATTTTCATTTTGCCATTTTCGAAGGTAGTTTGGTACCGTTTTGGCTTGTATGCAAATGTATTTCGCATATTCATGAGCAAAAGTGTGATGTCATTTCAGGCAGAAACCTAAATGTTACAGCTATCTATTTCAGCACCAAAAGTTGCCAGAATTTTTTGACAATTTGATGTCGTAAATTTCCTTTTCTTTGGTGATTCCTTGTTGTTTCAGTACATGGCAGTATTAAAAGCCAATAAGCAAACTTTTCTCACAAAATTAATGTTTTTAATTGGCAAATGTTTGGGTTCACAATTTGAACAGAAAACCCCTAAACTGAACAGTGTCTTTCTGAAATGACACAAAAGCATGGGCATTTATTAAATGTTTAAAGAAGTACACTTTTCAATAAAATTCACCAAACAGGGATGTCAAATAGTTTTCATACATTTAAGAGGAGTAGAAAGTCGCACAAAATATGTTCCGAAGAACAATTCATTGCATGGACCCCTTAATAAAAAATTGACTTATTGTTGAAACGCAGGTTTTGAAGTTGGCTATCAATAATATTAGCTTCCCGGAAAATTATGTTTCAATGGATTTCGCGTATTGAAATTGAGTTACAGATCTTGAAATGGATTTCGTGGTATTGTGAAACGGATTTAGAAATATCTTGAAAATATTTGGAGATATCTTGAAAACATTTTGAGATATTTTGAAATCGATTTCAAGACATCTCGAAATAACTCAGGGGCTTTTAGACTGTCAAATGTTTAGAGATATCTTGAAATAAATTTGGACATCGTGAAATAGTTGGAGATACATGTACTTTGAAACAATCAGAAGCCACCACTTTAACTTGAATAAAATGTGTCTCTTTGAAGACATATAAGACCACATGCATTTATCCCAAATAAAGTGTGCTATGGACGATATCGTCTTTCTTGATCACAAGGTTGTGCAGCGTTTTTCATTTTTTTTCTCGAAAAGTTTATTCACTGAGCTGAAACTTAAACACGTAAGGTTTTGAACATTTTTTTGAAGGGGTGCTATTATTGTAAACGTATACAAAGTGCATGAAAAGCAAATGATCCAATATCCTTTAATAATTTGCGCGCCAAAGTTCCGCGCGTGTCACATTGACTGTTCCATTTTGCTTACCTGTTACTCTGCGGCAGCACAAATCCTTGAACGTAAATGGTCTTGTTGGAGGAATATCCACCGGGGATGTTTCCACTGTATGGAACAGCCTGTATGGAAAGATTGAGGGTAAATTGGCATGGGCATTGGTCGCTATCCAGTGGCGAATCCAGAGGCTACGCCCCCTATTTCTCACCTTTTTTAAGGAGGTATTTCTTGTCTTTTCTCCCAGTTTCTTCTGCTTTCAAAAGGTTATTTAATCACTTCAAAGACAAACATTTTCACCCACAGCATGAACAAATAATATGCTGCACTTATATGTTCCGGTTTCGCCTCCATTTCGCCCCCCCCCCCTTTCTTTCGTAAATGCTGGATCCGCTACTGATATCGAGAGGAAACGCATTTATGAACATCCTTTAAAGGTAGAGTACATCATTTGCAGCTATCCAAAAGGTAATTGACGAAATTATTGTTAAAAAGATTACTTGGTTTAAAGATAGTAATGGCACTAAAGTCCCTGTGAAATTATTTTTTTTCTGGCATGCTTTCATTTTGAAAAAAACAATAAAAGAAGGTCATTTCCAAAGATGCGTCTAAAGACGCATTTTTAAAAATGTCCGTTAGTAGTTGAGTTTTAATTTAGCGAAGCCTTGACACACACGCGCGGTTGCTGTATTCTTCAGTTCAGTGCGTGACATCGCGTAGCAGCAATCGGCTGAATGAGAACGTGTCCCAGACGCTGATTTTGGGCGCAATTCAAAACATGTTTTGCCAACTTTTGAATTGAAATCGAGATCCTAGAATATTGTTTTCTCGGAATATACAGCATTCACTGAGCTAAAACTTCATCAGGTTAGTTGTTCAGCACCCTTGTTTAGATTTTGAGCACTTCTGTTGCTTCAAACGAAAATAATGCACAATTGACAAAATTAATGATGTACTCTACCTTAAAATATCCTAGCAGTTTTGATAACACGAGTTTTCAATGTTTCATTTCCCTTTTGTGTCGAATACGTCAATTAATGCATAAGTAAATTGAAACAATACTTACCGGGTTAGTCACTACATCAGCCATGATACTGGTTTCTCGTTTTGAGGGAGATTTGATGACCTACACTGATGAACATGGGAAGGGAAGAAGGTTGTTAGTATGGTTACACCCCTATGTCCCGACACCCCTATTTTCCGACACCCCTATGCACCGACACCCCTATGTCCCGACACCCCTATGTTCCGACACTTCTATGTTCCGACACCCCTATGTTCCGACACCCCCTATGTTCCGACACCCCGATATTCCTAACTATAACCGGGAGTAACACAACATTATATGTGCGGGTTGTCGGAACATAGGGTTGTCGGAACATAGGGTTGTCGGAACATAGAAGTGTCGGAACATAGGGGTGTCGGGACATAGGGTTGTCGGAACATAGAGCAGTCACCGTTAGGATACTGAGTAGGTTATGAATGTCAAAACGTGAAGTATTTCATGACGGTACATATTTAAGTCTGCATATTTGTTTGGATTGCACATGTCCTGTTCACTGTAATTTGTATTCAGTGAATAGGAACCCCTTGACTAAAGAATGGGAGGTTTCCGCTAACACCGTGTGAATATTATCTCTTTTGAGTTGAGTGCTTTTCCGCTGGGAGCCAGTTGTATAAACACGACGTTTCGAACAGTGTCGTCATCATCAGACTACCTTGCTGGTGTAGTTGTTTAAGTTGTACAGGGTGCTTGGATTCAGCATTATACATGCGTGTATTATAGTACTCGGCAATAGTCAATATTAATAACGATATAAGCGGCCGTATAAAATATTTAGACCTCATGTGTTCAGGCGTCAGGAAATGACCATGTATTTCTGAAATTAGAATGAGTAAACATTTGTTATGAAGATAGATACCTGCAACGGTCTATTTTCCAGAGTCAGACTTGTATATGCCACCAAAAAATCGGAAGGTACATTTCATTTGAGTTGCTTGTACAGTTTAATAAGTCAAGGCGATCGACTCCGTGCCTTGAACCGGAAGACATTTCTACAAACTGTTGCTGTTCAATACTATTGCTGTTAACGTTTATGTGGTAATATCTGTACTACCAGTACCAGCCTCCCGTGGAAGACGTAAGATGGAGGATGGATCAGGGTGATATAGCAGGACGTGTTGAACGCAATAGCAGAAGAAAAGGCAATGCATAATTAAGATTTAGGAGGAAAAACAGGAGAGATAATTTCACTTACCCGGAGCCAACAATCAAGACAACAATGCACACCGACGTATGGGGTTACAATGCACATACGTCCAACGGTCATGCACGCACAGTACGCTAGCGCTCAGTTTCATGGAACAAATATGGAAGTTTGGCCCACTTCACAGCCTTTTCCTTCCTCTACGGTTCGCTCGTCCCCCCCGCCCTACAAACAGGACGCTGGGATACGCTGATGAGCTTCACAGAATCTTGTGAAGGAAGTGGCCTATGACCTATGTATAAAGCATCTGGCTGCAGCTGTTTCAAGACCACACTTAGACAATGTGCGCAAATGCTATCCGAAAACTTCCCATAGAAACGCGCACATTCCATACCGGATGTGATTTCTGTTTCATTGCGGACCATGTGGACAAAATTTTGAGCGTCGCATAAATGCAATCCGACCGTTCGTGATTCGAAACGGAGCCTGAGCAAGTGACGGGAATTCACGGTAAATTTACAACACAGATATTTACAAAATGTCCTACATTTCGCTTTTCAACGAAAAAAAATCTCTAAACTGGAATAAAAGAGTAATGAATCAGTCTTAACGGCCGTTTCAAACCTTGCAGAGTCATGACCGTGATGACGCCCAGGTCACAGGTCACGCAAAATCAATCAGAGCGTGAATTCATCAGAGTATCCCAGCGTCCTGTTTGCAGGGCGGGGGTACGAGCGAATCTCTACGGGGGCAACCAAGTAAATAGACCAAAAATCCGTCCGCCGAACTCAGGAATAATTGTTATACATTCATATATACATAGTCTCTCATTTAGAGAGTTCTGAGAGCCATCATGGAATTGGGGGATTGAAGACATAATTATGACCAGCACATCATACACATCTGGCCTGGACCTGGGGCTTCTAATTCTGAGCAACGTGGATGCAATTGGGTCCGAAAGTGGCACTATTAGCCATGTTGTGGAGGGATCCTTTGCAAAATGGCTACTTAATTGGAAAAATATTCATGTTAGGGGTGATCTTCTTTGGGTAAGAATTTCTCCAAAAAAGTCATTGGTCGACCCACCCAAAAAATGAAAGGAAAACGAAAGACGACAAAGTCATCACCGTTTTTCAGCCGGAACACCTGTGAGAGTTCTGAGTATATTTAAAAGAATTTCAAAGTATGGGGATTTATCACTGGTGTCTAAGGGCATTTACTAACTTGGTTACACCCCTATCATCACGTGACGCTTCACCATTCAGCATGCAATAACTTGGGTGTCATATGCGATTCGGGCCTACATGAAATATGGCCACTGGTGAAAGCGCTTTAATACAGCTCAGCGCGGTAGTAACAGCAAAAAAAAAAAACCCAAAAAACCAACAACATTAATTTCATGGACATATTGATATTTAATAAGTTTGGATTATTTTATAGAGTTAAATTAAATTTAACTTTAATCGTCAATTCACAGGAACCTGGCCAAGTACAAGCTTCATCTTCCTGCTATAGACGCCCACATTCATCACCTGATTATTATATACACCGCTAACATTTTCATTGTTAAAGGTGTGGACACCATTTTGCAAACATAAACAAATGACCTGCCAAAATAATAGGATCAAGCATCCTGTGATATATTGCGCCTACGCTGTCATTTTCGAGAAAAGAAGAATCACCATCCTTTCCTCGCGATGGTTATGACCACAGGTTTCCGCTTTCAACGGAAACGTGTATGCTTTGCTTCGGGAAACATGATGATGCATTTTCACAATTCTCAAAAAGTATATGTACTGAGCTGGAAATTCAAGTGGGATGTTTTTGTTTGTTTAATAACCTGCTCCAGATTTATTGTATTGATGCTCCTTGAATCGGCGCTACTTTTGCCAATTGGAGCTTCTTTGAAAGTTGACCTATTTTGATCTTTGACCCCATAACTGTAGGTCAGACGAAGAGGTCACCATGGACGCCAACATGTTGACAGTGCTACTTTTGTCATTTTAGCTTAGGCCTATTTGAAATTTGACGTTATTTTGACCTTGACCTTATGGTGACCTTTGACCCCAGTTTGGTCATGTGACATGTTGGGGCTGGGCTACTGATATTTTAACTAAGTAACTAAGTAACTAAGTAACCGACCGACCGACTGACTGACTGACTCGCCGACTCCCCGACTGACTCCCCGACTGACTTACTGACTACATGTAACTAACTAATTAACTACACTTAACTAACTATTTAACTAACTAACGTTAACGTACGGACTAACGGACGTTAACATACGGACTAACGGAGAGGCCTGATGATTTGTTGAGCTGCTACCCGCAGCTAAAAACCCAGCAGATAGGAAAGCAGTTTTAAAGATCAAGGAGTGATGTAAGCGGTTGGTTCTGCCTTCTGTCTGACCAATGTTAATTACCGGTATGTCACCAGAGAAACTCAAATTTCCTTTAGGTTTCTGAAATAATTACTGCAAATTCCCAACACTTCAAACCTTGCATGGTTTCTGTGTGCATTCATTTCCACACGTGTTCCTTTCAAAATCCCAGACTTAGACTTTTAGTACTGTCCTAAACCCAATGCCAACTCTCTCTACTTATGGAGTCAATCCCTTGTTCTTGTTTTTGAAGATATGGCGTAAAGCCTCGTGGCTAAGGGAGATAAAAATAACCCCCTCCCCCTTAGTTGGATTCGAACCCTTGGACAACCATTTCGACTAGAATCCCTGACCAATAAGGTCCCGATATTTTTCAACCCAACGTTTTAGTCATGTGCAGATCATCTTCGGTAAGTTGAAAAAGGTACATGAAAACAGCAGCACGCCTGTCTGTCATACACAACGATCAGGGTAATATTGAGGGCGATGTCGTTTAAATCTGGAAGAAGCTTCTTATTAAAAAAAATATCAAGAAAGGCACAAGAAAGGATCGCATGAAAATAACGTGATATGTTTAATTCACTCATGTAACCAAAAAAGTCAATCAAATTTAACACTACATTTTGTGTAAACAATCTTAACATTTCTTAAACATTAATTGTAATACCAATAACACACCTTTATATACGATAATGAGAGAGGTTGATATACATTTATAAAAAGAAAACCTTAGGATGAAAATCACCGTTAAAAAGAAATCAGGGCACACTGTTTTAGTGCAGTCAGTTATAAAACATTTCTCAAACATTAATTTTAATACCAATAACACACTTTTATATATACGATAATGAGAGGTTAATATGCTTTTATAAAAAGAAAACCTAGGATGAAAATCACCGTTAAAAAGAAATCAAGGCACACTGTTTTAGTGCAGTCAGTTATAAAATGTGGCTTCTTCCACTATCAAATACAGGCTGTGTTCGATTAACCTCCGCGTGTATACACAAGGTTTACATCTGGAGTCACGGAATGGTATATTCGCCAGGCATTCTGGGAAAATGAAAGTAAACACAGCGTGTATGCAATTAGATCAATAATTGCTGGAATTGAAAAAATATGCTCTGAATTATAAATTTCATAATGTTTATGTGCGACTGTCCAAATGATCCCTTCAATGAACACTGTTGACGATTATTTGAGCCATGCATCTCTACAGTTGTGCTCAATTCCAGGCGCGGTTCTACAGGGGGGGGGGGGCCTAGGGGGGGGGGGCTGTAGCCCCCCCCCCCCCCCCCCCCCAAATTTTTTGTCTAGCCCCCCCAAAAATAAATTCCGTAAAAAAAAATGCATTAGCAAAAAGAAGGATTGTGATGTACATGCGAACGGTCTCCCCCTAAAGAAGAAATAGCCGTGACAAGGGTGCATTAGTTAATATATTGTGAATGATTTTAGGATTTTATTGGCGCTCCCCATTGAAAATATGGCATGAGCAATGGGTGAGCAATATGGCATATGGCAATGGGTGCGTTCGATTAGCTTACACGTGCAAGTGAAACTGTCATGAGAGCATTCGATTAGCCACGTGTCCTCGTGTCTGCCCTGGTGTAAACCACCACTGCCCCAGATAGCGAGCGGGTCTCTGGTGGTTGCCCGGGTGTATGTGACGTCAGCGGACGATTTCGTTGGTAGGAAGAATAAAGATGGCGGAAACGTGAATACGAAGTGAGTATAGTGGAGAGATTTATGACACAACATTGCCAATTACTAAATTGCTTAATGAGATTTACATAATTTCTAATAACTCAGAGCATGTACTCCGATTGCAGCAATTACTGATCTGGTTACAGTGATAAAACTAAATTTACAAGAGCAGCAGACGACAGTGTGCCTGATGTGTTTACATCCCCAAAACAACATGTGACCTTAATTTCCAAGAATGCTCATGCAAATACACCGCAGCGTTCGATTAGCCTTATTTCGTGGCTTCCCCGGGTGAAACCCAGTGTATACACGGTGAAGGTAATCGAACGCACAATTCTTCAAACAGCACCGCCCGTACTCAAGGAAAGACATGACATCGCGTTTGTCGACCATGATGGCTCACCGCTTAGCTAGATAATTATGTTCAGTAAAAAAATAGTTAAAACCAAACAAACAAACACCCCAACAAACTTCAAGGTCATTTTGATTTAAAAAGGGCAAATTACGGTTAATTACCATTTTACTGATCTGTAACGCAGAAGTATTGTTCATGGCACAAAGGGGACTAGGTTGCCGAACGTGCCATTATATCGCATCAACAACATCAACTACTAACCGTTTTAATCGTTGAAGATCAGATCATTCCCGTTAAAAAATGCAAATACAATACGGTGCGCAAGTTGAGTTGAACGTAAAAATCAACGTAAAGTTATACCGTTTAAACAATTCCTGTGAAAGTACAATTTTAAATACAAGATTTGTTAACAATTTAAAAATTCTCTTTCGAAAAAGCTTTTCGGACGATACAAAAAAAATACACAGATTTCCCGTTCAAAATATACACCACTTACTGCCATGAGCACTTCTACAGTTTAATATATCACATAAAATGCCGTTAAATAATACATCAGCAGTTGTTGCATTAAACCTATACATTTTCCCAGCTAATTTAACACTCACATCACACAAATTCCCTTTAAACGATTCTTTATTTCGTCTCCGAACATCGTCGAGCTCAATTCTCAATTTCAATTCGAAAAGCTACCAATGGATTTCATTTTAGGTGCAGTATTATTCAAGTTTGTACCATTCTTTTCGTCCCAAATTCGGTAAATTTGGCGAATTGTTTCGACTATCAGTGTGACTGACGCGTCATATGTTTTTGAATCAAACTGCCTATTTAATTTCAAATCTAGACAACTGCCAACATCTCACAATTACGCCAAAACCGAAGTAGGCCTAATCTATGTACAGTAACTCTAATACCAAATGCAAAACATAAAGCAAATAATCCCCATATGAAATTTATGAATTAACTTCCGATTAATAATAACGTAAGAATTACAACACACAGCAAAACTTTTGGTTGTTATGTAGAGGGTTTTTGTTCAAATTGATTGTGGATTCAGTCATCACCATACTTGATTTTGTTGATGACGCAATCTCCATCTATGGCCAAAACTTTGATGCTCTTGAACGGCAAACGGTGGTCGTACCAACCCACACTAAAACGATCGAGATCTACGTTAATGTGGAAATGCCGACACAGGATCACAAGCTACATGGACAAACAGAAAATATCGATTGTTAGTCATAATTATGTACATAATGTAGGTTTTTGAAACAGCTCGCGCATACCTAGTCGACATCAAAGGGTCTTGGTGACCTGTATTATTTTATTGAGCCTGTCAACAAAAGTATGAGGAAGTGGACATTGGGAGGGAATGCTCAATGGACCGATCCAGTAAGCCCCGCCCAGTGCGCACGTGGGCAATATTAACACGTGCTCCGCTCCAATGCCACGCTGCATTTTTCTTCCGCGCGCATCGTACGCGCGTGCACGCATGCGCATGTGGTCGGACTTTAGTGCACGCACGTCGGACATAAATCACGGCTGTGATTGGTCAAAACACCATGGGGCGGCGCTTAATGGATCGGTTCATCCGCTTCGTTAGTGTGACGTCACCTCCAGCACTTTCTGCACCGTTTGGAACCGGAAGTTAACGCAGTTCGAGCGTTTGCAGCCAATGGGCGCTAGTAATCAGTGGTGCGTGCGCGTGTATGACGTTTTTACTAACGAGCCGGATTGCCAAGCAAGTTATAACAGTCTTACCTTGTGGGTCTTGCCTGGTTTGAAGGGGAAAAATATTGGTTTTTTTCTCTCCTCCTTGCTGTCCCACTTGCCGCCTCCACGCATCGTGTTCATGACAATCACTTTCTCTTTAAAGCGTGGATTGAAGTGGAATGCTATGTCGCTTAACGCATCCATGCCGCATTGGAGATTAATGTAGAAGCTTTCAGAAACAGATAAAGCACAGTATAGTTGGATTGAGATCAGTCCGTGAGAGTCGTAGAGCTATATTCATGTGCACCGCGAGCCACTGATTTATTGTACAAAATCTGGATAGCTCGTTGGCCTCCCTTCCAACACTTCCAACAGACAATTGGGCTATCCAGATTGTTTTCTTTATGGAGATCACTAACCACATCATAAGTCCAGTCACAAGTTCACCACAAATCCATTCAAAGGTCCAGTCAAAAGTCCACTTGAACAGCGTGTTACTTGACTTTGGACTTTAAGGCTTTTGATTGACTTGTGATGGACTAGTGAGGACGTGATGATGATGGACACCACTATACAACCAACAAAATTATTAGTTGGAGAAACACAGTGGTAACAAATGACAGCCACAGTGATCATGCTTTGCAGTTCTTTGACTAGAGAGGTCAAAACAATAACAAAAGATCTTGGTTCCGAATGAAAGACAATGAAGTCATTTTAAAACTTAACACTTCAGTAAATCTCAGACATGGGTCTTAATTGATCTTAACTGATTAAAAAAGGGTTCCTTTTTTCTCATTTTCAAAAGAAAAAAAGAACGATTCGAGGGAAACTCATTCAAAGCAACTACCACCATTTTTTAAACACATTTTTAAAAAAGAAAACAAGTGTAAATGGAGAGAGAGAAAAAAAAAATAATATGCGGCTTTACTCCCTGTCACACTAACCATGCTATGACCCAGCATTATTTTGCCACTGCGTCATTTCCTGTATGTCCAGTCTAGTATTTCTAGTCTGAACATTGATATTATCTCTGCCCCCCCCCAAAAAAAAATCTTTGTAATTGAAAGACTTACATGTTGTTCAAATCATAACCACACACGTTTCAGTAAAATTATCAAGGACTGAACCCGCATTCTCTAATAGGCAACCGACATCCAAACCGATTTGTCACAATTTTCAAAACTGAAACAGATCTGTCATAACTGTGCGGGCAGGAAATTGACCTCGAAATCGATCTTATAACTGTACCTGGTTGGATCTGAATTCACAGTCAGTTCAATCACAATCTTTGTTCCTTTCTTCATCCCTCCCGGGATCATTCCCATAAAGGGGAGAGGCTGAAAAAAAAAAATACATGTACAGACAGATTTACAACAATAGAATTATCTGACAGTTACAGTAGACGATTTAGTGAACCTTAACAGTACCATAGCCAAGTCCATATGCTGATTTCCAACATAACAGCAAATTAAAATAGCTCAGTGTTGAACTTTTGAAACTTTAGACTGAAAACATGCATTAAGTGAGTGGATCTTGTAATAATTCAACTTAAAACAATCATGTACATATATATTAAGTGCAATTCTACAACTGCAACCAGCTTCTCCTGGAATCAGCTTTTAAAAAAAATGGAATCCTGCTTTAAATTGTCATTTATGCAATTTCTTTTTGAGTTCTGCATGGAGTCGCCTTATTAACTTGAGTATTGCAGAGAGAAAACGGAATGCTTACCGGGCTGATGACTTTCATGGGATCCACTGGGTTGGCAGGCTGGGCTGGGTATGAAGGCTGGGCTGGGTAGCTGGGCTGGGCTGGGTTACTGGGCTGAGCTGGGTAACTGGGTTGTGCGGGGTAGCCGGGTTGGCCTGGAGGGGTGGGCTGGGCTGGGTTGGGGGGCTGGCCTGGGTAGGTGGGCTGGCCTGGGGGAGTGGGCTGGGCTGGGTTTAAAGGGGGCTGTCCTGGGTAGGTGGGCTGTGCTGGGTAGGTGGGCTGGCCTGGGGGAGTGGGCTGGGCTGGGTTGGGGGGCTGGCCTGGGTAGCCTGGATGGCTTGGGTAAGTGGGTTGGGCTGGGTTTGGGGGCTGGCCTGGGTAAGTGGGCTGGGCTGGGTTGGGGGGCTGGCCTGGGGGAGTGGGCTGGGCTGGGTTGGGGGGCTGGCCTGGGTAAGTGGACTGGGCTGGGTTGGGGGGCTGACCTGGGTAGGTGGGCTGGCCTGGGTAAGTGGGCTGGGCTGGGTTTGGGGGCTGGTCTGGGTAAGTGGGCTGGGCTGGGTTTGGGAGCTGGCCTGGGGGAGTGGGCTGGGCTGGGTTTGGGGGCTGGCCTGGAGGAGTGGGCTGGGCTGGGTTGGGGGGCTGGCCTGGGTAGGTGGGCTGGCCCGGGTAAGTGGGCTGGGCTGGGTTTGGGGGCTGGCCTGGGTAAGTGGGCTGGGCTGGGTTGGGGGGCTGGCCTGGGTAAGTGGGCTGGGCTGGGTTGGGGGGCTGGCCTGGGTAAGTGGGCTGATGGGCTGGGTTGGGGGGCTGGCCTGGGGGAGTGGGCTGGGCTGGGTTGGGGGGCTGGCCTGGGGGAGTGGGCTGGGTTTGGTTTGGGGGCTGGCCTGGGTAAGTGGGCTGGGCTGGGTAAGTGGGCTGAGGGAGTTGGACTGTTACCGTTGGAAACTGTTGATATAGTACAAAAAACAACAACAAAGACCTGTAATGAAGGGGCTGATCAAAAATTGCAAATACTTTTAGGCCCTTCACAATTTTGTATCAGGGATACTATATTTAAGAAATATATTAGAGTTTGCCCTTCACCGATGAACCGACGAAGCTGTAAGCCAGAGAAAGAGGGTTCATACTTACAAAGGGTACAGCAGGTGAAACAGACAAGTTAGGAAATCCAGATAATTCAGGCATGATAGGATTTATAGACAATACAGGTGCACTGCCACCTTCCATACGAATGTTGTGTATCATGACGTCACCGTTGATTGAGATATGGGAGATCCTCTGTAAGCGTTTGATGTAGTGAGGGTAGGCAACGAAGTGTTGTCCATTGAGCGCAATCTGAAAATAAAAAATCAGAACGTTGAATTAAAAATGGGAGAGAACCTGGACCACTTCTGCATCTTGAGTAAGAACGCCTTTCTTGTAAAAACTTGACGAAAGACACTCAAATGAACTTGGGTTAAAAATACAGGGTGAGTAAAAAACAAGCGGAACCCAAACCTCCAAAAAATATTTCATATTAAAAAAATATGTAGCACCAAAAATATTAATAACTGGAAATCCAATTTCAGAAACTACTTTGAGATGAAAAAAGTACTGAAATTGCAGAATCCATTCCAAGAATATCACCATTTAAACACAATGATCCTAAGAACATGTTTTGTCAAAAAAAAGTTATTGTGTGTTCGTACTGTTTGGAAAAACAAAGAAAATGACACAAAATACTTGTTTCAACAACTGTAGTACATAATATCTTTAATAACAACCTTGTTTAGGAAAAAAATTATGATTTATACAATCCAGTTGTATTAAAAGACGGGCCTTCAAAAGGGCTTTGTTGAATATGTTTAACTTTTAAACTGAGGTTTTATCGCTGGTGATGTTTGAAGACAGTTGTGACAATGATTCTTGAAATCCCATTTTTGGGCGAAAAAGGTTTTAAGGCCATTGTGTTTAAATGGTGATATTCTTTGAACGGATTGAGCAATTTCAGTATTTTTTTCATGTATAAGAAGCTTATGTAATTGGCTTTTCAGTCATTATAATTTTTGGTGCTACATGTTTTTTTAAAAATGAAATATATTTTTGGGGTTTGGGTCCCGCTCACCCTTTACTTGCCAACATTTTAGTTCGTGTATCAAGAAAAATAAAAACCCCAAATTGCTATCAAGATATTGAACTTGAACATTGTATCTGATTGATAGGGTAGTTCGCCAACTTTTTAATGATACCTTATAGGGTACAGTGGTGCAAGTATACTTGCACCACTGTAGTCAAGGATGACTGAGCACCACTGTAGTCACGGATGACTGAGCACCACTGTAGTCATGGATGACTGAGCACCACTGATTCTACAAGAGATCATGGAGATGGGGACTATTATGGTTGCAGACCAGTAAATAAACTTCCATAGACCCCAATGGTAAATGCTCACACTTCAGAAATTCGGGAAAAATACTCACAACTCTCCAAGGTGTTCGAGATACACATCAAATTAAAGCTTATTTCATCATCTTTCATTTTCTTTTCAATTTTTTTTTTGGGGGGGGGGTTAACTGATGACTGTTAGGAGATATTTCCATCCGAAGATGATCACCCCTGAAAATATTCCTGAAGCCCATCGCCATGTTGAAAAACGATGCCTACACTCCATTGCAAAATAGAGCGCTTTAAGGGCCCCAATTTCATCCAAATTGAACGGAACTACAAGCTCACAGTCCTGTGCACGGCTTCCACCCATATTTTTTACAAACCCTCAAATTCATGGCCCACAGCATGCTCAAATACCGAAGATTTTGAGGGCATGCAAATCGTGATTTGGCCGGCGTAGGCAATTTCGGACCGATTTACTGGCCTGCAACCTTATTTCCCAAGCTGGGTTTATGAGCAGTGAGATGCTCTATCATTGTGAGCTGTGTCTTGGAAGGAGTGGCCCACATACATGCAGTTGCAAGGGACGTGCATTGTTTTGCCATGCCACCACAAAATCACCCCAATTGGTTTTGGACGCCAACCTTGAACCTTCCTTGCATGCTGAAATCCATGGTGCTCAGTCATCCGTGATGACTGCAGCAGTGGTTTTTGTAGATCCAAACTTTGGTGGAAAACTGGGTTATGAACAGCAATTTCACTATCTTTACCTTGAACTCAGATGCATCGGCGCTAATGATCATCTCAAAATTCTGGCCTGGCTGCAGGAGGTTTTGAACCTGCACCCCCTGGCCCCAGGTCTGCTTCTCGAAGTGGTTGATAACCACCACGCCTTGGCCAAAGGATGGACTGAAGGTCAGCGCGATGTCGTCCAATGGTGCCTGCGTCAGGCCACAGGTCAGGGAGATCGTGAACCTGCAAAAGCCAGGGCCGAATTGGCAAGGTGTTTTTAAGTAGTTCTCAAGTGCCACACAAAAAAGAACGCTTAGAATGCGTCCATCAAGATCTAATTTACCGTTTATACCCAGATATATACATAATTCGCCAACACGCAGCAAAATTGAAGGGATGTTGCAAATGCCTTAGTTGGTCAATACAAAATTATGAAATTTTTGAATGCTGCTACTACCGTTTTGTTTTTGTCACATTACATTTCGAAAAAAGTGCAAGAAGTAACATCTTCCGCTTTTTTCAGCAGTTTCGCAAAATTCAGCTCACCTTGATTATTATGTGAAGAAAGGCGCTGGGCATTAAAAACCCAATTTTCCTGCATTATTTCTTTTCGAAATACAGAAATTGCTACTACTTGTAATAACACTTAAACCTTTTTTTTAAATGAGAAATTATTGAGAACGCCTTTTTTGTCGGGAGGGGAGCAAGACAGAAGTGCTTTTTGGAGAACAATTTATGGGCAGATAGTAGTTAGTCTTTGTCAAAGCTGTGGACTCCTGTGCCTGCGTACTCACATGCATGTGCTTTGCCATCCCCCCCCCCCCCAGTGCCCGCCTTCGGTAAAAACCTTCCTACCATGTTCTCATTCAGTGGAAGTTTTATACTAGCTACATACCTTAGTGCGTTGGGATTGACGTATCCCTGGAAGAAGAGCATCTTGCCAGGGGACATGTTGCCAGGGATGACGCCAGTGAAAGGAATACCCTGAGGATTAATAGATGGAAGACAAATAATGGGGAAGGCAGAGTTTTAATCATGGCTATTACTAGAAGCCAATCAGAAGTTAATCGCAATTAATTACATCACAAGTTAAATGACAAGTTATCTACAAGACAAAAGTCAGTCACAAGTCAAAATGCAAGCCGGTTAGAAGTAACATGGAGCAAACAACGACAAAGGTATGCCTTTGTCTTTGTTTCTTGGCGTAAGACAGTCTGGTTAGTATTCATAAGATGTAATTTGTTTTGCGTCGGGATGTATATCAATTTAGGTTTTGCCCTTGATTATTCCCGCTGCTATCTACATTAGATTCGAACCAGCCAACCGATCCCGTTAGCTCGGTGGTCAAGTGGTAAGACATCTGCACTAGAAAACAGGAGGTCGTGGGTTCGAGTCTTACCCGAGTGATTTTTTCCCAACTTTCACTCGGGAGGTAACACACTGAGTATACAGTGGTTTATACGTCGGTGAAGGGCAAAACCTATTTGATAAGACTGGCTAGCTTGTGATTGACTTGTGGTACTGGTAACTTATGACTAGATTAAACTTTGGGGAAAGGCTGACAAAATCATTTAAAGACATCCCCTCTAAACAAAAATCAGTTTTAATATCAGTCAAGACCCCTGTATTTGAATTGTGTTCAAGCTAAATATAGAAAAATAGAATTAGCTGTTGCAAACTGCTTACCAACCAAAAGGACCTATGGTATAAATGCAAAAAAATAGTTAGTGGCCTGACGTTTCGACCCTAGCAGAGTCTTTCTCGAAGCCTTCGAGAAAGACTCTGCTAGGGTCGAAACGTCAGGCCACTAACTATTTTTTTGCAAGCTAAATATTAATACAAACAAACCTCGGTCTACCTTGCCAAAGTGCATTTTAATGATCACATGGGTTTGGTTGAAAGTGCTGTCTTTTTAACGGACATTGAAAGTGTTGTGAAACAGGGGAAAAATCACTTTGCAATCACACCATCAGATCAACAAGTACAGTTTGTTTAAATACCTGAAGGTGTCTGACATAATTTTTGTGTGCTAACAGCAAATTGCTCAGTTCCTTCTTTTAAAATGTGTTTTATTTTACGTTTTAATTGAAACAAAATACTTACTGGGTTGGTTGAGATCACGGTACTTGCCATTTTTGCTGTTCTGTTTATACTTTACTAATAAAAGTGAGAAAACAATGAGATTACTAAGTTTCAATGAAATTAGTAAGTATCATATATTCAACACTTCAAAGATGCAAATATTCACAGATGGTTTGAGCTGGGTAGACACGATGCCAGGTGAATGTACAATGTAGATAGATCCCTTTCTCTACATCTTTCAATTAGTAAAACATCTTAAGTTTGAAAGGCTGAATTGCTAGTAATGGAACTATCTGGTGCATCAAAAGATGCTAGTCTGTTAACAGATTGAATAAATTTGCCACTTAGAAAATATGGCTTAAATTCTGTCTGTAATTGTGCTTAGGTTTCAAAAGCACAATTCCAACTTATTCTGCATTTCAATCTTTCGGCTTTTTTCTAGCTTCAGAAATTGCATGATTCATGAAAGAACGCATAGTTGCATCATGTATTTACTTTTCAGGCCCACCACTGAGATGTCCTGTTTTGTATCACAATGTTTTAAGTTTTATTCATAAATAAAGACGGTGTACCCACTCCTATTGGTCGAGAGCCCGTCACGTGGTCGGTTTTAAACGGATGATAAAGATATGGCTGGCAGGTGTTAAACACTTTTCCAGTGTCACATAAAATTTGAAATCCGTTGCCAGCACCGTTTTATCGGTTGTACATAGCTATTCCACAGCTAGAGGGGTGTTATGTTGAATTGAACGAAATCGTTAAAAAATGTATAATTGTTGACTTTCTTTGACTAGTGGATCGAAAAATTTTATATTTTTTTTTAACCGAAAAGGTATTTACTAATGGGAATAAATATATGCTTGGCCGGTATTAAACACTATGTTTAAGACCGGTTGGAGTGTGGATGCTGAATTATCAGCATCCAGAAACAGAGTGTTTAAAACTGGCCATGAACATACAGCGTGTGTCAATAAAAACGCAGGATTCAAAGCGATTTTTTTACTGAGAAAATCATGCTACTAGTGTGCCTAATTTGATAAGGATTTGATTGTCCATAATTTCATCTTTGACACGATTTTTGTTGGGTGGAATTTGGACTTTTGGTTCAAAAGTTATGACAAGTTTTGTGAAGCCCTTCTGAAGCGGGTTGGTCTGATTCAATGACCTTAACACAACGACCAGTTATGTACAATGCAGGTATGCATTGAAGACAATTAAACCGGAACAAAACTTTCTTTGAAACAACTGATGATAAGTATCACTTAAATTTAATAACTGGACTATCATTGTTTCAAAGCATCATGAATTATTGACTAATAACATTGATTGTGGACTAAAGGATTATGTAAGCCTAATCCTGCCACACATGTCCTTCTTTGTGATCCACAAATACTTTCACCTGTACTGAAGTTAAACCTTTCATTAGGTATGTGTGATTTCACAAATCAGACCAGCTTGGAATTTATAACCCTTCTTCAATGTACTCTATCTCTGGACAGGATTGTCCAAATGAGATGGGATAAAAAGCATAGTGAAGAGAAGGAAAGGTACTTTGAAAAGAGGGTTAACATTATGATGAATAGGGGTGGTTTATATTCTTAATATTTTTGTTTCTAATCCTGCGTTTTTATTGACACACGCTGTATTTATTCCCTGATTAATGGGCCCGTGTGCAAAAAAGTAGACAAGTCATGTATAAATGCTGTGGTAACTTTATTCTTTCTGACTCGTTTTCACGATTTACACGACAACTGAGCAACGAAGATATTCTTATCTCGTGAAAGTTACATGTATAACAATACACTCAATGCACTCAGCAATACACTCAATATATCAGAGACTCGATTTAGGTATTCAGCAGCCTGTATCAGTATTTTACATGTACAGTACACGTACATGTACATGCACATGCACACGAACTATTTTTTGTTTTGTATTTCCGAACAATACATTTTTCGTTTTGATGAATACAGAGGTCAGACAGAAAAGAGTTTCGATATCCACTAAGTATATATGGCAGACTGAATTGATTTCACCCATGGCTTATATTAACACAATCCAAATACATGTAGATTGTACGTATATATATTGCATGAGACTTTCATTGACAAGTTTGCACACAAATACACTCCCAGATCCTTCAAAATTGATCTGGATGATTCGAAGGATTGTGTAGGATTGAGGACTAATCAAGCAACTATATGACAACTGACCCCTCATGTTGGCATTTTAAATTATATGTGATGTGATCAAGCTAAATGAGTCGTTTGTCGGCCCTAGTCAATTTTTAAACAGATTTGAAAAGAGCACCATCTCAGCATTATTGCTGTGAAACCGCATGCTGGTAACATCTTTAGTTAAAAAATTATAGAAGTCGGAACACCAAGAGATGTGATGAAGTGATGTATGAAGTGGCCCTATTTTGGCCTGTATCTCCAAAGGAAAGTTCCCGACAAATGACTCATTTATCACATCACATCACATATTCCCTCTTCTAAGGAGTCCTGTTTGAGCATAAGTCAAAATTTCTACAAGTTCCAAATATAGTAAACCTGTTCATAAATTTGGAATAAAAAAAGTTATACTATATATTTTTTCAACATGATGCTCCATTTTACTTTGAAGTGCCAGCATGAAAATGCACCCCAAAATAAGAAAACCAATATCCGACAAACATGTACACAGTAGATGGATATCTAGTTGGATATGTGTGGAGATATTAATCGTTTATCATAATTTGTTAACTTCAAATAAGTTTCTCAATTTATCATTTTGGGAAATTCATTCAGAAGTGTGTCAAATTGAAAACTCTGAGCCTGACTTTGTGCACAATTAAAACAAAAATGGGCGGGGGAGGGAGGGGGGGGGGGGGCTGTCAGAGCAGAGGGAGGGGTTAGACCACCAAACCCTCCCCTCTTGATCCGCGCCTGTGATTAATATATAACTTAATGAATTTGAGGCTTGTCAACAGAGAGGTTTGGAAGCACTGCATGATGACATTTGTGCATAAATCGAAGTGTTCTACTGCGTTTGGACAACGCTGAAAATGGGGCTTGATTTCCCTGGAATTTACGGTTCAAAGAAACAAACTTAATTGTGTTCCTACATAGTGATAGATTTTGGAAGATTAGGAACCCTCAGAAAGGTACACCTGGAAAATAGGAAGTTGAATTTTGTTGTTCTTAATTAAAGGAAAAGTAATCAAAATAGCATTATGAAAATTTTAACGCTATTAGATTTTATAAAGACACGGAAAACATCCATGATCCATGATGTGCACTTTCTTGAAACTTGTACTACTTTTGTATTCTAAACTAAACAAACACACGTCCTGAACTGATAATTGAATTTACATGTAGCTCAGCGACCCCCGGCTCTGAAGATCATCGTTAATCTAATTGTTGACATTTCAAATGAGTATCGGAGCTGAGGTTTGATTTCGACTCAATACAATTTCAATTCAACTCAACATTTACTTCCATGACTCAACATTTTCCGACGTTTCCATTTTCTGATTTTCTGCTCTTATAGCTGGAAGGCAGATTCTACACAGGCGGCCGAAAAGCGGCCATCTCCTTTTCTCCTTTCAGAAAAGTAGATAAGCCGATCGAACGTTTGGACAACACTGTTTTCTGCTTTTCGAAACCCAGAAAGATTTCACTTCTTTAGGCGGCAGGTGAGTGGCCATTTGCTTTTCTGATGGGCGGCCGCAAAGCTGACGTGTTGCCTCTGAGGTGCCGGTCAAGTTTTGCCCACAAGCAGAAACTAGTGCAGAAAATGAAAACTTTGAAAATGTTCGATCTGCTTTTCTGCTCCCTGAGCAAGAGAAAAATAAAAGTCAACTTTTCGTCCGCCAACAAAGAAGGACAAGTGAAACCTTCCGCTTTTTAGGTAGCAGAAAAGCAGAAGAGTAGATCTTAATAAAAGGTAGTCTGCTTTTCTGGTAGCAGAAAGGCAGAAAAGCAGAAAATGGAACCTTCGAAAATGTTCAATCTGAGTTTCTTGCTACTCTGAAAGCAGAAAGGCAGATGTCCACAATCGTCCTCAATGCATACTACATGTGCAAACACAAATTCAGAGCATGGAGGGATGTTTAAAACATTTACTGACTTGACTTCAGGGTGTTTAATCATCAGGCCAAGCAGGATGGACTGCGCTGCACTCGACGAGCTCGACCCTCGACCACGCATTCAAGTTGAACCATGCACAATAGCGCCAAACCAGGCAGTGTACCGTAAAAGCTGGATTGGTGGCGTGATATGGATGAAATTCAGTAATCTTTTTGTGCCACTATTATAAAAGCCCCATCACCGAGTGAATAAGCCAGTTTGACATTTCACTTGCGCCTGTGCAAACTCTTATATGAACAATGCAATTTTGGGGATAAACGGAACACGTGGTCCTATAGTCCAATAGATAGCAAGCTTGTAACAGCATCACGTGGGTTTGTTCGTCCAAAATTCTGTCTGCCATTCATTGCTTACACGAGAGGTCGAGTTTGCTTATTGTGCGGGCTGTTGTGAGCAGTTTGCGTAAGAGCTGGCATTATAGTTAAACATGCATTGGTGGCGTGATATAGATGAAATTCAACGATTGTTTTGAGTCACGATCGCAAGCTCTAAAGGCCCTGTCACACTGTCTGCGATCTTATATGCGCTCTGACTGCGTCCTTGAAAAAATAGCTGGGGCGCAAAAACAACTACTAGATAGCAGCGACAACTACATAGGTCGCCAGATGGGCGCCAGAGGGTCTTAATGGTCTCCGATGAGCGCCAAGGTCTTTGAACATGCTCAAATCAATCGCAACACCTCTGCGCTCTGGCCAGGACGTCGTAATGACGCATCTCGGGCGCTGTGCGAGCGTGAATCGTGCGATATTGAAGTGGCATTGAGGCAGCTTATAGGCGCAAGGCAGTCGATGTAGTCTCCATGAGAAAGTAACTCGACTGCGATGAACTTGTAGAATAATTTTGAAACTGGACTGTGTATTGACCGTTTTGTCGTGGTATTTATACAGCGCAAGTGACGTCACATGAGCGTATTTTGGTCGAATAGAGAGCGCGACGCGAGCTACTAGGACGTATCAACAGCGAGCATAGCGTAGTGTGAGCGCAGTGACAGCGCAGCGGCAGCGACTAGATCGAGTAATTGAGCTTGACAGGGGCGCGTAGAGAGCGAGTTGAGCGCATCGTAAGCGCGGGAAGAGCACAGTATGAACGTAGCTTGAGCTTCTTTGAGACAGAAAGTTGTCATTTTCTTGCGTCCTCACTGCGATTGTTAAATTTATGAAATATTTTTGGTCGCCGTAAGGTCTCCTATAAGATCGCATATAATGTGACAGGCCCTTTACCGAGTGAACTGTACTGACTGTTTCTATGTTTGGTGTATGTACCAATGCTTCTCTGTACCTCTATCAATTACAAACACTCTTATGGGTATGTGTAAGGCCGAGTTGCTAGTGGAACTGTCTGGTGCTCCACACGATGCTTATCAAGATCGTTTCTACAGAATGACCAAAGTTGCCATTGAGAACAAGAAGGCATAAATTAAAATTAAATAAAATTAGAGAAGAATTTCTCCAAAATGTTCCTCCAAAACTTTTCAAAAGCATTATTGGAAGCTTGCCATCAACTTGAGATTTTTGAAGATAATTTCTCGAGTCCCACTGTCTTTTATAAAATTGCAAGGCAAAGCTTAATAAATGTCAGAAAGCACGACGTCAAATTGCACGATAAAGTTGACACAATAGACAGCTTCTGTTTATAAACCAAGAATAAATCCAGGTCATTCGTGACAACTGTATCAACTTTTGCAAGGCTTCGTTGCTAATGGCAAAAGACTTTTGCCAAGAAACTATAAAGTGAATTTCATTCATATTAGAGAGTGCAAGAACATTTATAATGAACACGTCCTCATCAAAGAGTGGTCTTGCAAGAAACACAATAAAAAAGTCCACAAATACAGGGTGGTCCAACAAAAAAACAAAACCTTATACTTCCACTACCTTGAGACTCAAACCACTTGTACCAATTGATGGAGAATCCTTTTTAGAAGAATTATACCTACAAAATATCCCGATTCGGTCCAGGAGTTTTTGCTGCAGAGCCTATTTTGTGAAGCACACTTCTTTCACGTGGGCATTATTAAGCCCGGTTCATACTCGGCGCGAAAGCGAAAGCGAACGCGAATTTGTGACGTCGTGGCAAGTATTCGCGCTGCGAATTCGTAAAAGTTGAACATATTTCAACTCGGGCGAATTTCGCAGCGAATGCTTCGTGACGTCAAATTTGCCTCACATTGGCATTCGCGTGAAATATGAACATATACATAACAATTCCTCTAGCGATTACAATGGAAGTCATATTCCCCGGCACAATTAAGTAATTCATCGGGACAAAAATGCCGCCTACTTGCTCCACAAAATAGGCTCTACAACAAAAAACTACCTTACCGAATCGGGCGACCTTGGTTTCATTTTTCTTCTAAAAAGATTCTCCATGCATTGGTATGTGCGGTTTGAGTCTCAGGGTAGTGGAAGTATGAAGTTCCGGGTTTTTTGGACTACCCTGTATAGTCCAAATAAAACACCCAAAAAATTGGAAATTGCAAAAAAATGTGTTTCTGTAAAAAATATGTTTATTGTTTGCTATCGATATGCTGCAATCAAAAATGGCACAAACAACAAAGCTTCTTTAATAATCAATTAAATAAAAACATTTCATTTCACTTTATTAGATGATTTATATAGGTCAGCAGTAATTGATTATGTAGTCATATTATGAAGTAGATATATCTGTACATTCCGTTATCAGATATACAGCTTAATTTTTATACTTGCCATTTTTCTTAATGAAAATATGAAGCAAAATATTATTTAATATAACGATTATTCCACTCAAAAATCATTTCAGGCTGAGCTCTGACAGGCAGAGTGATTTCAATCAAGCCAGTAGACACATGCCACTTCACGAAGTTGTGAATTTCTATACGCCCGAGGACAATGCTTTGTGTTTTCTTTTGTCCCTGTAATATAACACTCTCCAATAGACTAAGCACATAGCAGTAGGATCCAGGACTATTTTCAACAAAAGACCCAACGCTCGAGGACTGAAAGGATCTTTTGTTCTCCCTTTGCGTGTCTATTCTCGATCATAAAGCCATACCAGAGCACACATCCTGATTTGTGTTTGTTTTTCAAAACAACACCTAGTAGAATTCTTAGGATTTTCCGTCGATCCCTGAGCGATCCATTGAAATAATTACAAGAGAATCAGACATTTCTGAGATAGCTGACACTTTTAGATTACATATTATTTGCTAGCTAAGTTTAATAATACGGATGCAGTTGGAAAATACTTCAGAATATCAGATCTCTTACTTCAAAATTGCATCAGGTAAACTGAGTTTGATGCAAAAACTTACATGTTTAACTAAATTAGACTGATCTTTTGTGTAGAAAATGGAAGAATTTGGGAAAGAGAAATGGAGAGTTAAATTTACACCGTAAACCCTAGAATTGAGAGGAAATTGGTTTTAGAAGGTAGGTACAACTTTTGTACATCTACCAAAGGCACAAACGATTTAAATAAAATAAAATCTAAACATTCTTCAGTATTCTGGGATTATATCTCATACAGGCAAAACAAAGAAGAGCATTTTTTGTGTTGAGAAGTAGGTATTCTTCATTTTAGATATTCAACTCGAATTTTGGTGAGGTAGAAATTTGACTTGGCATTAAGATTTGGAAAACAGAATAGAAACACATGACAAAAAGGTTACTCTCACACTTTGATATACAAAAACCTTAATGTACATTCTTAGCTGGAAAAACCATCACTTTTAAGTACTAATGTTACTTTACTGATAAAAAAAATAATCAACATAGCACCCATTTAAGTTTGTCCAATGAAAATTCCCCAAACTTCATGCAATGAATAAAACTGAATGAATACTTAGGATTAATTATTAATTACCGTTCCTTTATGAAGTATGTTTTTTTTCTCATTTGGACTGTGTTTAATCAGACTCGGTTTCTGTCCTTTTAGTTATACTGTTTGCCGTCCAATTTTGATTTCTTTTCGGGAAAGGGGGGATTGTTCAGGACACTTGCTCTGTGTTCAAATTTGGGAAGGAATCCCTAGTACAAGGCTGTTCTTTTACAATGTTTCTTGGCTTTTTTAAAACTATTAAAAATTATAATAAAATGTAAAACCAACAGTAATGTCTTCATACCGGGAAAATTATTCTTTTTATCAAGATTTCAAATATTGTATGATGTGCAGAATTCTTGTAGTTAAAACAACCCATAAAAGTATGCTTTGTCAACTTATTAGTATTTTTGTGTGATCTGTTGTTTTCCTACAGCTCAGAAGATATGATTACATAATTAAATGAACTATGACAGTAATGGCAGCAACATCTTAAGGCAGTGTTTGATTGCATCTTTGGGTTTCTTATTGCCCTATTTCCTTTCAATGGAGTCCATTGCAATGGAGTCCATTGCACATAGTTCCCGAGTACACGTCTCTCTTGTCCATTCTCTTAGTAAGCTTCACCCATTATTTTTCTCTTCACGAGGAAACAAAGTTACAAAAGTTTGTTGCACCACACAAACTGTTTGTTTTAATAGTTGAAATACAAAGAAATATAATGTCCTTTATGGCAGTTTTAGCATCTCTCTAATGAATTCAGCAATTGCTTATCTGACCATCAACCTCATTTCCCAATACCTCTTCCTGTAGTTAACTCCAGATGGAGTAAGCGCAATTTGTTTGTATTACCATGGTTACCACATCCATTGCCACGGTTACCTCATTCATTCCAACTTTAATAATGATTCAAAAGTTTTCTCTTTAATTTTTGTATTTATCACCATGGTAACTGCACCCATTCCGATGGTTACTTCATCTGTTCCAAATATATGTTCAAACAGCTAGCCGCTCTTCGAATAAGTTTCCACCATTATTAATTACCATGGTAACAGCATCCATTGCATTCATTTCAAATATACACTTTCATGGTTATCTCCTCTCAGGATGACATTTTACTATGTAAAATTACCATGGTAACTTCATCCATTTTCTGGCTACCTCCTTCGTTTTCCTCACTGCTACCTCCTCTCTTGCCTGCCCCTGGTCAGCAGTTCCTTGGCCTTCATCTCTCTCTTTCTCTTCTCTGCCTGGGAGGCCAGCCAGCTCTCACAGATGGTCTTCATCTGGGCCTGTCCCGGTCCAGCCCGCTGGGCAGCACTCAAGATGCGCTGCACGTCTTCCACGCGCTCGGCCTTGACGGCGATGAGATAGGCCGATTTCAGCTTGCCGCACAGCATCAGGGCATTGATCTGGGTGCACACAAAACAAGCAGTGTGGTAGTCAATGACAAGTCATCCAGTCCAAAGTCAGCTAACCAGATGTTCGAATCAACTGTGATATACAGTGTGGGAATTTCTGTGCTATAGTTCATGCTGTGATACATGTGACTGGGTTTGTGATTTACGTGCAATAAGACTTGTGATGTACTTGTGATCCTGCAATCACAAGCACCAAGACTTCAACACTCAAATAAGGAAAATCCCTTTCACAGTTCTTTGGGGTTTTTTTAATAACAATTTTGGTAAAGAATAGTCAGGAAAAAGGGTAACAGGGGCTAAAAAATGAGACAAAAGAAAAAAACCAGGAAAAATACAACTTTAAAAACTGAAAGAGGCCACAAATGATTCTTGAAGTTTTCATTTTTCATCCGGATGGTGGCACACATCACAAATTTGCCTCAATTTCTTTGTCTTCTTAACATACCAAGACCAACACTATTTAGTTTTAGATCCTTTTAGGTCCTTTTCATAGTTATCCATTTGAAGCACTGGATAGTACACCTTGATAACAGACAGTTGACAAAAACTGATTTAAGAAAAGGCAACTGACCATATTGTGAAGTATTTTTTTGGGGGGGGGGGGGGGCGCCAAAAAAATCTGGTTAGCTTTCCATGTGTTTGATGCATGCATGTCATGCACATGCAGAAATGTTGTCTCCAGGTGACAGATTCAACAAAATCTTTCCTTATGAGAGCTCAAACGAGCCCATCACCGGTGCCCTTGGCTAAGGCGGTGGGTACCAGTGAAAGGCGTACCTTGTTGGTATCACTCTTGATGAGTTTGATGAGTGCTTCCACCTCCTTAGTCTGGCTGGTATCACTGGCCAAGACTCGGACGCATGCGTCTAGTATCTCGTCACAGCATTCATTGTTAGACAGCCCGGTATTCCGCACACAAGACAACAGCTGATGGATGTCCTTGTACTTGTGCTGTGTGGCCAGCCGGCGACCAATATGGCTGTATATCAGCGTGTCCGGAAGACGAAAATCCTTTAAAAAAAATTAATAACAATTAATTGTCAATTAATGGGCTTTTACGAGAAACATTTTAGATTAATAATTTCTTCAGAAACAGGAGTGCCACACAACGCCCTCTAGTGCTAGGAAATAGCCGGCCTTTAAAAACGTGAACATAAATGCACTTTACAAACAATTGACCTATCGCGGTAGAATCGCGATAGAATCGCATGAACGCAGCTTGTGGAATATTGTCCAATTACATGATATACAAATGGACGCGGAACGTGCAAAATCTGAGACAAACAAAGTGTACAAAAATTCCATAGGGTTGTCTAAGGGGCGTGGCTAACTTGCAAACGGTGATAGGTCAATGAAGCAAAAGGAGTGTTTTAGTTTTTCTATGCAATTCAGAGGTACGTTTACAAAAATATGTTATAGTATGAATTTCATGTTATGGCCCCTTTCAAAACATTTTCCTTCTAGTGTGTCTATAAAGAAAAAAGTACTCTCTGTCAAATTCATATCATTTTGATTTTGTCTCTGGGAGTAACCCTCTTTTTGGTTCCAGTTGAGAATCTCCTTACCTGAATAATCTGAAATGCCATCTGGAAGCCGTCATTGACAGACTGACCAGCAAGAAGAACCTGCAAGAAACAAAAACAAAAAGCTCTCAAAGACGCTACTGAGATTCCTACTTACATTTTTTTTTGGGGGGGGGGGAGGGATTCAACCTAATAAGACAGCACAGCAGATATTTCATGCATATATATGTATACATGTTTTTGAGCACTTAACTTGGCTACTTGTTGTCATTCTGAGCTTTGATTTGAGTTTCATTACTCCAGTTAATGCATACAGCTGCCTTAGAGGAAAATATTTGCATATCACATGTTCCTGCTAAGCCCCACACCCAACCCCCCCCCCCCCCCCCACACAAAAAGGGGGGAAAACAGCTGTGTACCAGTTCATGCAAATACAACACATGTGATTTCTACAAGTTACCTGAAGCTTCTTGGCCAACCTATTCCATAGGACACAACTCCATGTCATTGGCACTTTATATGTAGGAAAGATCAGGCTCCCCTTATCAGTTCTGGGCCAAATTTTAAAGAACGACAGATGATCAGAAAATATAGCTCTGGTACAAACCACAAGTAGTACACATTGCCTGGCATGTTGGCTGGTCAACTATTTTTGCTACGATCGTTTCTTGTGTGTGCTTCAAATCTCTTACAACATGACCTTAGGTCTGTTAACACTGACAGTCACATGACAAAAATCACTCTCTTAATTGATCCATTTTCAAAAAAATTTGAATATCGATTAAATTTGAGGCACTCACCCTGTATGCCACCTCAGCTTTGATTTTGCTGTTGCCAAACAGCGTGGGGAGCTGCTGGGAGCTGGACTCCGCCCCCTGAGAGGAACCCATGAGGGAGGTCTTCCCTGACGACGACATCCTATGCAGGAACTTGGTGACCTCAATCTGCTGGCTGATGGTGTTCATGTGACTGTAATAAAGGCAGCTGATTGGTTAAACACTTACGGCACAACTCGAAGAGGCCATGATGACAAATTTCGCACTGAAAAGGCATCTGGATTGTCAGAAAATAACAGGAGACGCAATTTTTTTGTTTTTGTTTTAGAGTCCAAGTGGTTTGTTCTCTGTTTAATATTCTCCACCCTTTTTCCTGACAGAAGGGGTGCTGCTATCATATTGTCATTATTATGCACTCATTTCGCTCCAGAGAAAATTCGCATACAAAAGCCTGAATCTAAAAATGTATTTACCTGCCAGACAGGATTGGACCTAATTAGCTTAAAAGGCACTATTTTGATTTCCCACAGCCAGACAGGAACTTTTCGAACAATTTCTCCCTGCACTACTAAACAATTTCTAATCTATGCACATTGTAAAGCTTAAAAAGAAATAAACTCAATAAACAAACTCCCTTTTAAAAACTGCGGTCTTCACAAATATAGTCTTTGTTTTAAAAGGACTCTAACCTCCACCCCCACTAATTTTATAAAGCTTACTTTGTCAGTTGAGAGGGCGACATCATGAGCCTAATGTTAACATCACTAGCCAGTGCCCAGGACGGGACACCGCCTTTGGCAGTGGAGTTTGTCATGGGCGGTCTGGGAACACTCTCCCACTGTTTCTCATCCAGCACGGCCCGCATATGCTCCTTGGCTTTAGTCAGGTACTGGAGGCGATCAAACAGGTCCGAGTAGGTCTTGGCACCAGACTGGTAGAATTTGATGCACGTCATGGAGGCACGGACGAAATCCTGGGAAAACAGGAACGGAGAATGTTGAAAAAGGCAAAAGGGAAACTTTGACAAGGAATGAGAAAAAGAGAATATGTGTTGATTCTATTCCTTGACTGGATTCCTATGATATAAATAATTTTAGAATAACAAAGAAATTGATCAGTGCGGGATTTGAACCACGGACCTCCAAAACACAGTTCCTGCACTTTACCTATAATAGCTACCTTGTGCTATGTATGTTGCCTCCCAATAAGCTAGTTTGGTCTTTCAACAGCGCATGCCCACAATGATATGGGTCATGAGTCATTCGGGATAATCGAACGCTCATCGAAGGTGCTTGAACGCGCAGGTAGACGGGCGTACGCCGCTCGCGTGTTAATAACGAGCAAAAGGGGTGTTCGCGTAACATGACGTCAGCGATTTTATCCCGAATGACCTTTGACCTGGACTACTTCATCAAAATACCGAACTGGCCTATTGTTAATATCTTTATAAATATATAAGTGATTGCCAAGCAAGGCTTGAGATGTAGGCTTCCAAAGGGTAGGGTAAACACAATAACTGTGAAGTTCCTTACTGAGTTTTCCAGAACATGTCACTGACTTCAATCCAGAAATTGTAATATGTGTAGAGACTCGCTTTACTGTTAAACCTTTAAGTCACTTTAGTGCCCAAGTCCCCACGCTTATTACTCACTGTAGCACATGAAACCGCCCAAGCACTCTATGGTTTTATGGAATCTTCAGTGAATAAACAAAATGTAATACAATGTATAGTCGCATCTTGGTTAACCTGGGATACACACTTTACCTTCATAAAGAGCTGTACATTGTAGAGCACGTGGGCCAGACTGTGGGCGTTGAGGTATCGACAGGTTGCCGTCAGGTAGTTGCTCCAGGACACCAAGGTGGGATCCTTGTTCAGCATCTCGGTCTGCAGACCCTTTAAGTTGCCATGCTTCATGCAGGGTGCCAGCAGGCCCTCCAGGAAGACTTCAGTGGAACAATGCTGAAGAAACCAATATTAACTCTCTGAGTATGAAATTAATTGTCTTAAGGCTGGCTCATACTTCATGCCAATTTCAGTGCGAAGCAACTTTGTTAAGGTTATGGGCTTATGGTCAACATCACAATGAAACTTCCATTGTTGATGTCATAAAATTTGCTTTCGCTTCTGGGTGAAGTATGAGCTGGCCTTAAATTAAATTAGTGGTGAGAGAATCCAGAGATTTCAAAATCCGATTTTCCTTATCTTTTTCAAACCGAATATCGGCTATCTGATTTCACCGGAAGTTCCTATTCAGCTCACAGTCATGCCAACAAAAAGTGACGAGTGAGGTGCCACATGCAATGCCCTCCCAATGACTGGGTATAGTTTGCAGGATTCAATGACCACTGGGCCTTTACAAAAACACTCCAGAACTGTACTGTTGACAAAGTGGGTAGAAGCTCTCTGATAAGTCGTGGGCAGGCTATTCATATACTGAGAACACCACTAGCAAGTGAATGCAGTTACAATCAGAGACCACGGAACAAATAAGGGGATGTTCTAGTTGTTTTTCTTTAGCCGGTGTTACAAAAAATGGGAGGCTTATTTTTTTTCAGTTGGTTCCGAATATCGGCGGTTTCCAAAATCGAAACCGAATAGTGAAATTCAAACCGAATAAAAAAAAATCCGGATTTAAATCCCATCACTAAGTTAGATGGAATTCAACAATGTGCTATGATGTTTAAGCAGGTGTATTGGCTCATTGTCTCTAGGGGGCATCATTTTGAGCCAATACGCTCGTAAAATGCAAAGACTTAATTTTGAAATAAGGTAAATCTACTTTAATTTGTCAAATGTTTCGCAAAACTTGTAAGCAGACTATTCGTGGGTATAAAAGGCAGGCAACAATTAACAACAGTTGGCGCTTGCCCCAATATACACAGGAGAGGCATTGAGCATTGTTCCTGTCTTCATATTATAAATATCCAACACAAAAAAGTGAAGATGGTTTCTGGCAGAGGCATAATTATGGCAGGCAGCCCCCCCCCCCCCCTCGATAAAATGTGTCCCTTTTGTGTCCCCCACTCATTATTTGGCGATTGCAAAACAATATTTTTTTGTTAAAATGAACAAGGTTCCCCTTCAGAAAATGATGCCCCTGAAGTGCCCCCCCCCCCCGACCCCACAAATTCGGACCCTAGTCACTGGTTTCTAGTTATAAATAACTGTTGAAACTTCCTCGAAATTGCAGCCAGGCATGAATACACTGTTTTGTAAAAACACCAGGAAAATGCCAGTCTTGCATTTCAGTTGCTGATGAGTCCAGCAGTCTATAGTGGGTGTTTGGATCCCTGGAGGGTCCATCTACCTGGCTTAGGATGTAGGACACGGCTAGGGAGAGCCTGCTGTGCCGACGGTAGAACTGAACCATGGAGATATGAGGGCAGTAGGTGGTGATGTAGTATTGGCACTCCTGGAGAGCTGGGTTGTCTAAAGCAGTGGCAGAGAATGACGCCTAGGCAGAAAGAATAGCACATTGATTGCCTGCTTGTGTTACATACTACACCATATGTGGTTAATCCCTTTTTCTCTCAAAATGGCATCATATGAACACTTGGCTATAGTGAAAATCTTCTTAAAATATACAAATTTATCATCATTTCATGGTGTTGGTTATGATAGAATTCTACAATGCTTCGAATTAGGACTAAACTGGTCTGCATGCTTCAAAGTTGATGTGCAAACCAATTTGTCTTCTTTTAGGACTGGCAAGACTTTAGACAGCAGTTACTGCAGACACAGTGTCCGCCATTTGCCTTTGGCCAAATGACAAAAAGTGAGATGGTTCTTCTTATCAAACAGAAATCTTTACATCTTGCCAAACGACAGGGGGATGCTACATGCTTACATTGGTTGGTTCAGCAATGAAATCTCTGATGGAGGCTGCTGATGCACTGAGGATGGCTTGAGCCTGTCACCCAAAAAATAAATAAATAAATAAAAAAAAAACCAGATAAATAACTCAATAAACTTCAAAATATATCAGAATGGATCCCTTACCAACAAAATCAAAGGTTACATCAGTAAGACCATGTCAAGTCCTTCACATGGCTGTAAGTTAGTCACAGTTAAAAAGTACCACCACCATTTCAATGAGGTGTTTACAGAATTAAAAAAAGCAACTTGTCATGGACAAAGTCCCAAGCCAAATATATCTTCGTTTTGAAAGGATAGGCCTGAAAACTGTAGACATTACAGACCGTGTCTGCTTGTGACGCTGATGTCTCCAGATACTGAATGACGTCGGTTACTAGTTTGGACGGCACGCTCATGACGTTTTTATCGATCGGGGCCTGCAGTAATAGAAATGAAAAACAAACAAACAAAAAACAGTGGAAATTTAAGTTTATAAAAGAGAGTTGTAATCAAGTCAATCACAAGTGACTGAGTCAATCACAAGTGAAATATTATGAATAATGACACAGGCATGCCTTTGTCATAAATCATTTAAATGGCTTCTTACTAGAGTTGAGATTGGATATACCTCATAAGAACAGTGGAAATCTGGCACTATTTTCATGGATATACAGTTATTACTTCTGTAGTCTGATCACAGCCTCAAAACAATGCTGGATGATGGATTTAGAGTCAGAGAAGGGCCAGCATGGCTTTGGCCTGATGACCTATGACATGGAGTATCAAGTTAATTTGAATATCAACAAGCATTCGGCATAATGCCCGAATGTGCTGGAGAGAGAAGTAAGATAATCAGACTACAGCCAAGGGGCACAGAAACCAATTAAAAATTTTCTGCATTAGTTAGAACAGCTTTTCTGCTACCTTTTAACTGATTAGTACTATATATTTATTAGTATTAGTACATTATATTTATTCCTGAGTCAAATTCATTAAACCATAGAGTGATGGGGCGGACTAGGGGCAGCATTGGGAGTAACAGGCAGGGTGGCTTGGGGCAGTACAGTTACTTAATGGTTACGCAGCACCATATTTGAGGCGTACGCAAAATGAGATGGAACTGGGCAGTGGAGAAAATGCAAAAAACTGATGGGGCTATTTTCTTTTTTATTTTCAGATTTATTGATATTTGTAAGAAATTTTAAAGAAATAGTACAAAATTTGTGGAATCACATTGTTTTTAAGAAAATAAATGGCATCTTTCATTTTCAAGACTACAAAACTCGAAACTTTAAAGGGCTTTTGCTCAGTATTTAACTTTTTTGATGAGTCGATATATTCAAACTTTTAAAACATAACTTGACAACGAAGTGTCCGATTGAAGTGCAACAAACAGTATTGTAAGGATCATTTTCTTCTCTTTACTAATACCCCAAACCCTCATTTCAATCCCTACCCAGTACTGTCTCATTTTGCCAGAACGCCTCACAGACATCTGGCCCTTGGTCTTGCTAGTCACTACATTGGCCCCTCGGTTTGACTACCTTGAGAATTCTTGCAAACTTCTCCCTAGCTCCTTGATAGTCGCCTGCCCTGAGGCAGCTCATCCCCCAGGCTGACCAGACAGCCGACGAGTCCAGGCCACACTTTGTGGATACCTCCGTGGCCAAAGATAGACGCTCCGCAAGGACTAGACGATCTCTAACTTGCCTGTGCAATGAGAGAAGTCAAAGATGGAATAGTTCTTTAAAGGATGGTATATCTGCGGTGTGCTTTAAAAAGGCCATTAAATAGATGTTTCTCTTCACAAAAAGACTCACAAGCCTGTTGTTACTCACCACCAAATAATTACTCATCACTCACCTTGCTGAGTCAGCATTGGCCAGTTGTTGTATGATTGGTATATCAGCGCTGTTACTCCTCATTAACAGACTCAGTAGATCCACAAAGCTCCTTTAACTAACTCACAACTCAATGTTGTTACTCACAATCAAATAATTACTCATCACTCACCTCGTTGAGTCAGCATTGGCAAGTTGCTGTATGTTTGGTATATCAGCGCTGTTACTCCTAACAAACAGACTCAGTAGCTCCACAGAGCTCCTTTATCTAACCCATTAGCCTACTCAATGTTGTTACTCACAATCAAATAATTACTCATCACTCACCTCGCTGAGTCAGCATTGGCCAGTTGTTGTATGCTTGGCATATCGGTGAGGTTACTCCTCATAAACAGACTCAGTAGTTCCACAAAGCTCCTTTAACTAACCCACAACTCAATGTTGTTACTCACAATCAAATAATTACTCATCACTCACCTCGCTGAGTCAGCATTGGCCAGTTGTTGTATGCTGGGTATATCAGCGCTGTTACTCCTGACAAATAGACTCAGTAGATCCACAAAGCTTCTGTAACTATCACACAGCTCAATGCTGCTGCTGTCTCCATCTTTGATGAATCGCAGCTTAGCATTAAACAGGAGTGTCTTCATCATGCTGCAAAATAAACAACAACACTTCGTTAAAACCACTCTCAAGGGATACAGAAAAGGCACCTGTTTACAAACTTACAAAGGGAATTACGTCAACAATTTTTTTCAAATATGCACTTTATAAAATAAACTTTAAATCTTGTTCACATTTACCAAATGCTAATTTTGAATACAAAATCTCAATTTCCAGTGAAATAAGGTAACTTAAGGAATCAAAATCAGTTCAAATAATATTTGTTTGTTAAACCAAAATGTACATGTGCTAAGGTCCATATTTTTAAAGGACTCCTTTTTCCAAAGGGAACAGATAATTTATTTGGAGACTCATAATTTTAAAAATAGAAGCTATGTATTTCTTGGATGAAAACCTGACTTTTACAAACTCTTCCATAACAAATGTCAGCACAGTGAAGACGCGACACATAGTAAACAAGAATTACAAAAGTCTTGTTAGAAGGCATGAAATGTTTGGCAGCTACAGAGGTCAGAGGTTAATTGTCTCGCACCAAAACCTGAGGAGGGCCAGAACGCTTAGTAAATTCACCGCTCATCCCAAATTAAGAGTTTCTTAAATTGAATTGGTCACTTCCTACTACTAAAATTAATGTTTGGGAAGGCTGATGTGGTGGTACTTTAATCCTCTGATCTTTGTTCAAATCATACCTAGTTTTGCAAAAGGCATTAAGGTTTTCAGTTCCTACCTAATTATCTGGGTTTTACACATACAATTTACATAAGTCTTTTTTTCTTGCATCTCTAAAACTGACTGTTTCTTCAGTATCTTCTCCATGTTTTGAATTAGTGAGCTACAGTGCAATAAGTACTTGTAAAGAAACATTGGTCTCATTTTTGGAAGTAAACATTACTTATCATCATAATGATGTCTTTGTCCTTATTCACCTGATAATGAGGTTGTAGTCTACTTCTGGGTTGGGCACCCCCGGGCGGATCGGCCTCAGATACTCTGACAAGTCGCGGCATATCTGGAGTATGAGGGTCCCACAGGTACTGTGGTCACTGTGTAGGTCTAGAATGGACAGGCACACAGATGTACTGGGAGCCTACAGTAGTGGGGTAAAAAACAAACCAACAAAATAATTATTTGTTTTAACAAAAAAAACTGGATTTAACTGCAAGAGGTTACATGAGGTGAAGTGACTGAACAAGCAGAAAAGATATGCTTGAAAGAGGATAGGTAAGGTAAGGTGATGATACATCAAGCTGGAAAAAGCAAGCTTGATATGAGACTAAAGAAGGTAAGGTAATGTTATCACTTGATCAAGTTGGAAAGAACAGACTGGAAAGAGGTTATACAGAGTTTTATGATGATAGATAAAGCTGGGAGAAAGGTATGCTGGAAAGAGGCTAGACGAGATTAGGTGATGATGGAACCCGCTAGAAAGAGTAGGCTGGAAGGAGGCTAAGTATGATAAGGTGAAGATGGAACAAGTTGGAAGAGCCGACTGGAATAAGGCTGGGGAAGGATCTGCGATGACGGCCTAAACAGGAAAAACTGCTGAAAAGAGGCTAGACGAGGTTAGGTGATGATAGAGTGATCTAGAAAGAGTAGGCTGGCAGAAGGCTAAGTGAGGCAAGGTGAAGATGGAACAAGTTGATAAGAGAGAAGACTGGAATAAGGCTGGGGAAGGATCTGCAATGACGGCCTAAACAGGAAAAAAATGCTGAAAAGAGGCTAGACGAGGTTAGGTGATGATGGAACCCGCTAGAAAGAGTAGGCTGGAAGGAGGCTAAGTGAGGCAAGGTGAAGATGGAACAAGTTGGAACGAGCTGACTGGAATAAGGCTGGGGAAGGATCTGCGATGATGGATAAAACTGGAAAAACTATGCTGGAAAGAGGCTAGATGACTTAAGGAGATGACGAAACTGAAAAAAGTGGTCTTGAAAGAGGCTGCATGAAAGTGGCAGATGATCTATCAAACTAGAACGGGGAGGCTTGAAAAAGGCTAGACAAGGTTCAGTTATGATGGATTAAGTTGGAAAGAGCAGGCTGGAAGGAGACTACACAAAATAATTTGATTACAGACAATGCAATGCCGATGCCGGATAAAAAGTATGCTGGAAAGAGACTAAGTAAGAGTACGAATGTGACGAATAATAATGCCGGGGACAGCAGGCTAGATGAAGTGACCCAAGGCTCCAATCACCTCAGGAAGGAGCCCAAGATACTGACCTGCTCATAGTAGAAGTCCTCTCTGATCAGAGCATTGTAAACATCGTCCAGTGTCAACTGCCACTCCATGCCTGCCATGAGCAGCGTGTCAGCTCCTCCTGAATGAGCGCTGGTAAGACTGGTGCCGGCAACGGGCGTACGATGCTGCCAAGAACCAGGGGATGATGCACGGTTGACTGGCGAATGTCTGCTGCCTATGGAGTTTGGTAAAAATATAAAAATATAATAAAAAAGTTGGTTAGTGTACAAATTGTTGATTTTCAAGGCAATTCTTGGTGATACACAATGGATTTATGAAAATATTAAATTTTATTTTACATAGCCACCATAGTTTGCTAAAATTATCGTCAGTCAGAGGTTACTGGCTTGTTGCTATAGCAACAGGTTTTTACTTTTCTTTGCATAGGCCAGCCATGTCAAACTTGATTGATGTTACAGTCAAACCAATATGTTGGTGTTTCCAATTTTTAAAAATATTATTTTAAGTCCGAAAAGGGAAAATAAAACAAATAGGAAAAATTGTCTGCAATTTATATCGTGTCATACTCTTTTTAGTCTTATTATTTATTACCTGGTTGCTTTGCTTTCAATCGTTGTTCAAGAGAAGACATGTTGCTCTGCTGTGGCCTGTTGGAAGATGGAATGGAGTGAGAAAAAATACTGAAGTAAAGTAAAAATCACCCTGTAAATTTGTTACAAAGTCAAACCATTTCAAAGACTTATAGCAAGACAGTATGTGTGTACACTCATGTTGGAATTTTATCTTTTAATTTTTAATTTTTTTCTTCAAGTAAAACTGAAGACAAAATCACTTGGAGATGGGTACAAACAAATGTCATTTACGACCTTTCACATCCGCCATTGTCGTTCCTAGGTCTCCTGGCTCTGTGGACGTTTGTTTTCATATCATCTACTTACATGAGAACGAGAATGTATAACGGTGTGAAGATTTGCCTACCTACAACCGCTGGGTTCTAGATTTAGTGGGGTTGCCTTGAGCAGATCATGGCTGCTGGTCTATAAACAGTCACTTTTTTTTCTTGTAAATACTAATGAGTCCTTTCAGTTTATTCACACAACTTGAAAGCTTTAAAAGATATTTTGGTCTTCAATTTCACTTTCAGTTATCACCTAACATGCCTAATGACCACAAATTTCAGAAATTCTCATCTACGTTAACCGATTCAGGAATATACATCCATAAATTGCACTAGACTGCATGTATTTCAGATTTTTGGAAGTGACAGGTCAAGTTTTGGCACGATACTTCTCTTTCAAGTCAGGCGATGTTATCAGTTTCCATGAATTGATATGCAAGTAACAATTTTACAAAGTCCTTTTTTTCGGAGTATGTTTTCTTAAGAAGTCAATGACCCACAGAACACACACATCAACCATCTCGATCTGCCCCTATCATCCAAAATCAACTGTTATTTCTTTAATTTGTTCAGTGAAGGGGCGATCACAGCCTCAATCCTTCAAAATCCTCCAAAATCCTCCAACAGTTACTGTAATACATTGAGGCAGTGCAGATGATATACAGAAGCAGTGTGGATGGTATCCAGTATAACGTGGCCTGAATTAGGCATGTCTGAACATTAACAAGGCAGAGTATGACGATGACACAAAGCATCATTCAACATCAATTGAACCTTTTTTTTAGCCATTCAGCCTCAATCCTCCAAATGCCTCCAAAACCGCCTGGAGAATTTCGGAGGATTGAGGAGGGTTAGGGTTGAAGAGGCGCACGTGTTGTTGCACATATGCTCAGTGGGCGGAGCTTTAGTGATTAGTCTATTGGGATCATACCTGGGCATGATGAAATCTAGTAGCAATGATCACACACTCTGACCGGTGCGTCACCGTAACACTCCACCACTGCCTTGAGCTGAGAGCATGGCCAGCAGAGCACCGCTCAGTGGACAGGGTTTAATTAATGGATTGGTCTATTGGGATCATACCTGGACATGATGAACGTCTGGTAGCAATGATCACACACTCTGACCGGTGCGTCACCGTATCCCTCCACCACTGCCTTGAGCTGAGAGCATCGCCAGCAGAGCATCGCTCAGTGGACAGGGTTTAATTAATGGATTGGTCTATTGGGATCATACCTGGACATGATGAACGTCTGGTAGCAATGATCACACACTCTGACCGGTGCATCACCGTAACCCTCCACCACTGCCTTGAGAGCATCGCCAGCAGAGCATCGCTCAGTGGACAGGGTTTAATTAATGGATTGGTCTATTGGGATCATACCTGGGCATGATGAACGTCTGGTAGCAATGATCACACACTCTGACCGGTGCGTCACCGTAACCCTCTACCACTGCCTTGAGCTGAGAGCATCGCCAGCAGAGCATCGCTCAGTGGACAGGGTTTAATTAATGGATTGGTCTATTGGGATCATACCTGGGCATGATGAACGTCTGGTAGCAATGATCACACACTCTGACCGGTGCGTCACCGTAACCCTCTACCACTGCCTTGAGCTGAGAGCATCGCCACCAGAGCACCGCTCAGTGGACAGGGTTTAATTAATGGATTGGTCTATGGGATCATACCTGGGCATGATGAACGCCTGGTAGCAATGATCACACACTCTGACCGGTGCGTCACCGTAACCCTCTACTACTGCTTTGAGCTGAGAGCATCGCCAGCAGACCACATGGCCACAACGCCTGCAATGGTGACGCCGGTTGAACTGTAGAAAATAATGGGGAAACAAAATCAACGTTTAGTGGAAACAGGAGATTACTCATCAAACAGAGCAAGACTGTGACAAAATAAGAGCTGGGGTCGATTCCTCAACAAAAAGCAAATCATGAGTCATCCAGTCACAAGTCTAGCACTAAGCAGTTTTAAAGAACTGTGACCGAAGTACTCCTTTGTCATTGTTCATTCGCCAGACACTTGTAACCCGACTTATGATTGGACTTTTGGCTATAGTTATAGCCAATCAGCCATGCTGTGCTCTCTTGATAAACAGGACCTGGGTTGATTCATGATGGGTTGTTGTACTACTTCAATCGAAGCTTCGATGAATTCTCAAAAGGGATTTATTTCTTAGTGGCATCAGACTGGGACTTTTTGATGTATTTAATTAGATAATAAAAGTAGTGCTTGTACATTCAGCAAAAGGTTCAGTAACAAGCATTATTAAAGTTGCGTTCCCCGTGCTTTTTCCGGGTTTCATTCCAAGAAAAACAGATTCCTTTTGTAAATTGCTAATTGTCAATTATTCAGTTTTGAATGAGACATTGACCCAAAAATAGGACATGTTTTTTAGTTGTTTGAATTTCTCATTATTGGCTGCCAGACAATAATTCTGTTCTTGCGGGGTAGGCTGGTTCCCGCCCCACAATCGGTATCGATAATGTGAGCCAGTCTGCTCGCAGCGAGGATCTGTTTGTGCCCAAAACAAAAACCTTTTATTCAGAGGGATGCAAACGTCCAAAAAAGGCAAAACTTAATTTGTTGAAGAGCACGTGGAAATTTAAGCTTCACATAAAGTTCCCTTATCTACAACCCCTTCAGCAACTGACTTCTTGCCACAGGGAACCAGACCGCTCACCATGCTGAATCGCTCCTCCTTGCACACCATACAGTGTGTCACCTTCAGGTCTGGCACCCAGTCCTCTCTCTTTGGAGGAGCAGCAGGCAGGCCCACATCTTCCTTGATGCTGGGAGGTGGAAAAGAGGCACCAGTCCGAGGCTCCGCACTGCCCCCCATGGACATGACACTTGACGAGACAGATACTCTTCGAGGGGTTGTTCCCACGAGGGTTGACTGACCGCGTGGCGACAGACCCCTAGATACACTATGTGTCGAAGGTGTGGGGCTGGGTGCTGTACCAAAAGATATCAAATTTAAAACAGTTAAATCAAACCAAGTTGAGCAAAATGTGTGCCTTACTTTCATGGACGTTTATGGGTTTATTTACAGAAGACATATAACGGTGAGAGTTGCTTGGCTAAAAACAGAACCAGAAACAGCGACAGTAACAAAAACAGTAACAGCATTAACATCAGCAAAACTTGCCGAAAAAACAGCAGCGGTAACATAAGCAAAAATTGCAGCAATATAAAAAAAAACAGGCTTAAGAAACATCAAAATTGACATCAGCAATTTTCCGCATTCGCAGCCAGCAGTAACATCAGCAACAACAGCAAGATTAGTAGCAACAACAGCAGGACCTTATCGAAGCAACATCATGATCAGTAGCAGCAACACCAGCAATATCTGGAGCATCTGCAGCAGCAACATTGGCAAAGCAGCAGTAAAACAGTAACAGAGTAAACAAATTGTGTGATGCCCCGTGTCAAACCCAGGCTGTTCCTGATTTTTTTTCTAAAACTCAATCACAATGTCAAAATGTCAGATTTGCTGTTTTTTCCCTCGCTGTTTGATTTCACACTCAAACCTGCACCGTAACTATATATAACGACAAATGAGTGAAACATAAACATAACACTTTAGTCACTGTACCGCCCCAAACCGCCCTGCATATTACTCACTGTAGTGCCAAAAACTGCCCGAGCACTTTTATGGATTTATTAGTGAGTAAACACAATGTAACATAACATAGCATAGTTGCTGACGGGTTAATATATTTTCTATTTCACCCAAAAAGAGCCTGGTTTTAACATGGGCTGTCACATATATGTTGGCAAAAACAGTGAGAGTAATATGAAAAACTTCAGCAACAAAACAACCCTCCCAAAAAAACAAACAAACAAAAAACAAAAACAGGTAGTTTCTGCATGAGCCTGACCACCTACCCCTGTCCCTGGCTACAGGGACGGATTGTGATGACAATGACGAGGCAGGTGATGGACTGAGAGAGGCCATCAAGGACGTTACGCTCATGCGACTTCTGCTCCTCCTCTGCCCAGTGGGTGAGGTCACGCTTTGAGCCGACACGCTCCGTAACGTGGACTCAAAATCTGTTCCATGCAGGAGGAGATATGGGGTTCTAATTAATAGCAATGGACTCTGTGCACATATGTAGAGGGTGCTTTGTGACTTTTCAAGAGCCCAAGTGGGAGGGACGCACTGTGCGTGCGAATTTTTCACAAAAGTATGGCACGAAGTACGAAAGACTCATTTTGTGCTGAATTTGCACAAAACTGTGGCGTCTTCGTGTGAGCTTCAGGTGCCTTCTGCACTGCCTTCTCATGTCCCTCCCAGGGGCCCCCCAATTCTTGCTCTGAAACCGTTGAGGAGATCCTTATGCAGGGAGTCCATAAGAACGACAGAGAAATTGTGTGAATGTTCCTCCTCGTATAAACTGAAGTTTTGTAAAGCCAAGTCTACATAAGAGCTTTCTTTAATAATAAAGTTGTAATCAAGTTCTCAAAAGTCTTCAAGTCAACCACAATTTATCCAGCATCAAAGAATATTGCAAAATATGGGCCAAGTAAAAAAATAAACAACTTTTTCGTCCCCCACCGCTTCCTTTATTCCGCCCATCTCATTTTCCCTTTAAATTTTTAATTGGTACATTTGCAATACCTTTTCAATTTTGTCAATAAGATATCTTTTTATTTGTTTCAAACAAACTTGTAGAAATGGTGACGGCTCCTTTGGACACACTTTTGTATCAGCAAAGGATTCAATTGACGATTTAAAATTGATGAATCCATCTGCCATCTTGGAAAAAAAAAAGGGGGCCGCCTCCTTCATTTAAAAAGAAAATCCGGATGAATAACAATTTTTTTAATTGGCCTAAGAAACTGTGAGAAAGGATTCCTTTGTCAAGGTTTACCACCTGATTTGTGATTGATGGTCAATAAACAACTCTGTTTCTTCAAGCTATGGCCTATGCCCAAACTTAGCTAGATGAAGTGAAAGGGAAGAAACGTTGCTTATGTTATAAAATAATCTCTCATTTCAGAGCACAAGATGGCAACTAAAGTTTTTGGAAACAAAACATTGCACTCATGATGGCTTTCTGTTAATATCGTGGTAACTACGGGCAAATATAGTTTCTGCTTTCTCCCTGCAAACACAAAAATATAAACAAACACCAATTAAATAACATATGAAAAGTAAGTTTGTTCTGCTGCACACTGGCAACTTTGATTAAAATTTGCATTAAAAAAGTTGTTAATTTTTTTTTCAGCAGCAGGAATGCTCAGTTAGTGAGAAAAACAATCTCAAACAGAATACTCTTTTCAGTTTAAAAAAAAAGGTGCAGCAACTGTTATTTAAGAGATATTTGAATGAAGCAGGTGCATATATTCTGACCTGTCTGCTGGCTCTGTACAGCCGCTACCAACAAGATGGCATTCTTGGCGTATTTGGTGACCAAGGCATCACAGGACGCCAAGGAGAGATCACTAGGGCGGAAGTGTGTGGACAAAAGCTCGCGTCTCAAGCAATCCACTACCATGGAGGCATGCTCAATCTATCACAAGGGTAAAAAAGACAAAAGGATGTATAGTTCCCAGCGGCGACAAGGGCGTTGGGCAGAGTCTCGACCACCATACGACTGGTTCTCAAGCAGATGTTACAGGTTTGAGCACACTCAGGATACAATTAATTGTGTGCACCTTGCACCATTCGCATGCAAACCAATGCACACACACACACTTGGCGTATTCAAACCCCGTTCTTATGTAACCCGCCAACAGTGTTCTCAGGTTGCCGATTACGCATGCCCAAGTGCGTGTGGAGTGCAGCTGGATGCTCATTCAAGATGGCCGCCGCCGTATTAAAACGTTGAATGAAAGGAAAGGACTTGATCTTACGAGAATAATTTACATCCCAGAAAAGCTGTAAAAATTGGCAAAGACAAATCCACTTTATGCTCATGTACAATTATATTTTGTTTATCATTACTGCTCCTGCACTGAATAAACATTTTCGATTTTATGCACTTAAAACATAACGCAAGTTGTGGTACCCACTATCTTTGTTCATGACGTTCTTCATCCACTCCCCAATAAGTGGATATAATAACCCAATAAGTGGATAATAAATCCCCAAATAAAATCCCGATTGCAAATGCCGTTCGCGTGTTGGTTTTCGTCATTCAAAACCCTGTTTTGGTGTTCATTCAACATGAATACGGGGTTTTGAATACCCCCAGTGTAACCTACCTAGAGCTCACATGGAGGGTCAGATCTACTGATGCGAGGAGTCCATACACAGCAAATGGGCAAAAATGAAAGGTTGAATGTTACTGTAACAGGACTGATTAGTACATACCTTGGTGTTCATGAGCAACTGTTCCAATATCAGCATTGGTTTGGACACAAGATGCTCACAGTCTGATCTCTCAGGCTCAGGTAGACACAGTAATGCCTATAAGATATTAAACAAAAATCACGGCGTGTATATATACCAAAGTTTTGTCATTTGTAATAAATTTTAAAGCCCCTTGGTAAGGGCGTTGCCTCCAAAGATGTCGAGTCGTAAATACGTCAATCACAAGACACATTTTAATTCCAGTCTCAAGTTGAGCTATGCAAACAAACTGTAAGAAAGGTATCATAAGTTATCGCTATTTATCACATAGAACTAATGACCAGCTGGGGCCAATTTTGAGGAGCTGCTAAGCACAAAAATTTGCTTAATAGCACAAAAAAAGTTTGGCTTATAAAAGCAGGTTACCAGCCCCAAAACTCCATGTGATGTATATTGCTCGTGATTGGTACTCAGCTGTTGTTTGCTTTATAGCATGAATATCACATGGAGTTTTAGCTGGTAACCTGCTTTTATAAGCCAGAAATTGTTGTGCTAAGCAAATATTTGTGCTTAGCAGCTCGGTGAAATTGGCCCCTGATGTATAATTGATTTTGACTAAATCTTAACTTGCCTGCCCCAACCTAGAAGTGTCGTGGGAACCCAAAAGGGGCAGACTGCATGATTACTGTTAACAGGAATAGGGCTAGGATGGATACCTGTGTATCCGCAAATGGCAGACATTTGGTTCTTGTCTTTTGTTTAAAAACCTCATACCTTCTCCGCAGATAAAACCTTTCTGAAAGGGCATCACAACTTTTTATTTATATTCTGCCAGTAAAACTTAACAAAAAATGTTATGTTCAAGGAATGGTGTTTTGGGTCCATTTCCCTGGCAGAATGAACTTGTGCAGTATTGGATTTTTGAGAGTCACAAAAATAGTACAGGATTTGGTTTATCAGGTACTTTTCTGAGCAGACTATTATGTCATCAAAGCACAATAAGACACGTGGTGTTAGGGAAACTGCTAACAGGCAGCATGGGCAGCGCAATGTTCACCTTATCTAGATAACGTGACCACAAGGAATTTAAACAACCATTCATATAGCGATGATCTGGCCAAGTTGTTTCTGCCAACTTTTTTCAAAAGGGCTTCTGTAAACTTCTGGCCACATTTAAGAGGGAAAATCACACTAAAGAAATCCCATACCGAGGTCGTCGGTATTTCGACAACATCATTCGGTATTTTTCGGTATCAAAAAGTACCGTTACTATTATTGAAATATAGTCTAAGCCTTCGGCAGAACTGACCTTGGCTCCCAGACTGAGTGCCTGAAGCTCTTCTACCTGCTCCATGGCCATCAGGTCCAGGAAGTGATCCATCATAAACTGGACCAGGAAGACCGTGCTAGCCAGGCTGATCCTCTCCCCCTGGGCCTCCAGGAGGCTCCGACAGATCCTCAGACACAAAAGCTGATCACCGATCTGCTCTAGGATCTACAAATCGGGTTATGATAAGATAGAATAAGACTCAGATGTATCAATTTAATGGCTAAGATAATCTCGTGCAGGGATCTGTTAATCTGAAGCAAAAATGGATGATCTCAAGTATAGTATAGGAGGCGAGGATTTTGCAGATCTGAAGGCACATTGGATGATCTTGGATCTGCACAAGAATCTGCCAGCCAGGAACACAAGAAATAAATGGGTGAGATGATCTGCTGTGAGCATCTTTCAGATCTATCATCACAATGGAGGATGTTGGATCTGCTCTAAGGGCTGCCAGTCAGGTATTAGTACAGGATTAAGCTGATGTGCAAGACTGACAAGGCGAGGATCTTGCAGATCTGAAGGCACATTGGATGATCTTGGATCTGCTAAAGCATCTGCAAGCCAGGAAAACAAGAATGAAATGGGCAAGATGATCTGCTGTGAGGATCTTTCAGATCTATCGTCACAATGAATGATGTCGGATCAGCTCTAGGGCCTGCCAGTCAGGTAGTGACAAGTGCAAATCGTGCCTGGTATCTGATTCCCCAAAGACTTGTGTCATTCTGGGGTGTAACTGTCTGGTAACCTGTAGGCAGGACAGACAAAGTGACGAGTCCTGTAAATGAAGTACAAGCTACCAGCCTATTTCCTTTCCCTTCTCGCAGATTTGTGCAGAAGAAACTTATATGGAGTCGGTACGGCACAGGCTCGTTGTCAGTGAAGATGATTGCGACCCTTGCATTCAGTCTTTGATTTCTATGTAAACCCACAAATGACATTGTTTATTTCCGAGCTGAAGACCGAAACACAGCCCTTCTCTCTGATGAACATGGAGAACTGTGCTTGTGTTGGGATGAAGTCCACCAGTTTATCAATTTCTTATCAATATTGTTTTATTCATACCAGCATATTTTAACAGTGACAGATTTGCCCAACAATTATATCAATTATTTTATTTCCATCGCACTGACCTTACAACGTGATACAAGACACAGTTAATCATTTATGTCAGATATATTCATAAGGGGCCAAATTATTGGCAGGGGTAAAAAAATTGAGAATACAAGTTCATCCGTATCAACTTATATCGACAATCACATTTGCTAATATATTGTCTTTCCTTGAGTAGTTTGGACTAAATGGATATGGTAGCTTAATTTAAAGTATTATTTTTTCAACAGCATATACAATAACATAATTATGTAATTAGTACATTTCAGTTTAAACAATACCCATAATAATATCGCGTCATCTGATTGGTCGGTCGTTAATCACATGTCATGGATTCTTTGTCCCAATCCACAGTTTTTTGGATGAATTATTCAATGTTGCATTGGCTTTGCTGATGGAAAATTCCATCTGTCACCTCATGAAAAGATTATTACCATTGCACTCATAAACATTCATTATCCCTAACCGCCCTGAATCCCTCAAAATCCTTCAGGTTACATGGCAAAAGTGCGTTACTGATTTCGTAAGATGCACTTTGTCAAGGTCTTGGGCTGGACATTGTGTTGTTTTTGCTCAGCCACGCATAAATATAGGCCTAGATTATGCTTGAAATCCTCCGTACTGATCCAGGATGTCACTGGCCAAGCCTCAACATATTGACAGTCACTGTCGCAGGATTTTGCAGGATCAGGCAGTGGTCACCCCTTCACGGACCATATTCAAGAAATAATGGAGGAATTTGCAGGATTGAGGCTATATGCTATTTTTCCATGAGGCCAATTGGAGGATTTTGCAGGATTGAGGCTATATCCTAGCAAAAAGGCCTAGGGAGTTAGGGTTATATGTAATACTGCATCACTAATTTGATTGCTATTTAGCCCAAACCTTCTAAGATCCTTCAAACTATCCTGGGAGGTTTTGGAGGAATTTGTAAGGATTGCAAAAAGTACAGCTTGGTCACTCATACATTACATAGAGATGATTAATTAATGCCCTTTGGCATGTATCCCAAAAGTAACCTTCCAAATTATAATCAAAATGCTTTCTTGGATTGACGATTCCCATCCAGTCAAACTCCAACATCAGGGTTTGTTGGAATCTGTTAGGATGAGTACTGCACTAATAAACTGATTATGCTTTACATGGGGTTAGGCATACCACCAATAAACAGAGACCAACAGTTTTTGTGTACAGTTTACCATACGGTGTTGGAATTTGCAAGGATGAGGAAGGTTCCTAGCAAATCACTCTAGGGGGTTAGGGTTAAAGATCGTACTGGTACTAAACACCCCGTTACATTATTCTGTTTGGCTTGTTGTCATTTAGGAGAAATCAAGAAATTGACTGATTTTTGGAGCTAAAGAATTCTATAGATGAAATCGCCTTTCGTGATCAAAAGGTTGTGCATGGGTTTTCACTGTGTAATATTTACTGAGCTGAAAATTCGACAGGTTAGGTTTGCAACATTCTTGTTTGGATTTTGAGTGATTTTATTATTGGAAATGAACAAAATGCATGAAAAACAAATGATTCTATAGGTCTTCAGTGAGAAAAACCACAATTTATCATAAAACGTCTTCTAAACAGGAATCTCTCATAGATAGATTATTGGTCTCACCTGATACGCCATCAGAGTGTTGCTACTATCACTCAATAGGTGTAGTAGATGTTTCTCATGAATTGTCTGCCGATAAAAGAAAGGGAATATTAAAAGGAACATTCAAAGCGCAGATCAATTTATAAATTAATTACAACACTTTGACCGATCAAACCCCAGTCACAAGTCAGTTCCCTAATCAACTAATGAAAATTGTTTGATCAGTCACAGACAGTCAAAATTTTCTTCAACTTCTCCAGGCATGCATTTGTATGTACAGGCTAGTAAAAAAAATCATCAGATCACATTCGTGTTAACACTGTGACTAGTCAAATTACATCAACAGACAAAAGAGGTAACTTGTAAGTACAGCTGGCAAAACAGGCACAATTAACAAGGGAATTCTTAACTGTTAAAACAGTCACTTGATTGATTTTTGACTGCTGTGACGGCGTAGCTGAATTTATCAGTGAGAGAGAGGCTTACAATAAGCAGGCCCATAATGATTATTTTGATTAATTGTTGTGTCACTTATTCACTTATCTTTGCTAGTTATTAAGCAGAAGTCAGGGAGTGAAAATGAAGACTACCTTTTACGATGGTGCAAGGGCATGTGTCAAAAACATTTTTTAAAGCCAAAATCCTTATAAACTTCACACACGCAAATTTCTTACAAAAAAAACGTGGAGTTTGCTTAAACATTTTAGATATAATGATATTGTGATGGCTGACTGGGATTTTCAGGAAAAATACCCAATGTAAAAAGTAATTAAGTGCAAGGACGAATTGAGAGTGTTAATGAAAAATGACCTATTATCCCCTACCGCCCCAAACTGCCTGCCGGTTTCACCCTGTACCACCCAAAACCACCCCAGCACTCTATGTTTTATGGATTCATCAGGGAATAAATACAATGTAATACAATGTTGTAAAGATGCAAACAGGTTAATCCTTCCAAAACTAATTGTTTGCGTTCGGGCCTCGTAAGAACCATGATAAACTCTCTCCTTCATGCATTAAAAGTTACCTCTTTCAAATCTGGGTAGACGTCATGCAGGACTGCCCACTCCTTGGCCAGCTCAAAGTCCCTGGCAGCTAGCAGCACACCCAAGACAGCGTGGGGGTTGTCTAGGCTATCAGAGGCCACCTGCTGCCACTGGATGTAAGGGCTCGGAGAGGTCAGCATGGCGTCAGGGTGGCTCTCGTCCTGCGTGTCTAGGTCAAAGGTCGTGGACGAGTCGTTGGCCTGTGCATACTCAGTGATCTTTCATTATATCAGAAGAATATGAAAAAACAAGTCAGGTGTGTTTACAAACACAAATGCCCCGCAACGGTGACAGTTCCCATGACATAACACCACTCTTTTAACATCAACTTACATGTACCTTGGTCACATGGAACATTCATTGACAGCATTAGTGTCTTCTGTAGGTTTTATATGAATTAATCCCTAATCCCTATAATCTCAGAATAAATACATGATTTCTATTGTTTTGGCCACTGTGAACTTGACCCTTGACCTTTTGGCCCCAAATTCAATAGGCTTCTTAGGATTACCAAGAACAATCCACAAACCAAATTTGAAGTTCACATGTAAAGTATTTCTCAAGTTATCGCGCTGACAAGATTTCTATTGTTTTAGCCACTGTGAACTTGACCCTTGACCTTTTGGCCCCAAATGCAATAGGCTTCTTAGGATTGCCAAGAACAATCCACAAACCAAATTTGAAGTTCACATGTTAATTATTTCTCAAGTTATCCCGCTGACAAGATTTCTATTGTTTTAGCCACTGTGAACTTGACCTTAGGCCTTTTGGCCCCAAATGCAAAAGGCTTCTTAGGATTGCCAAAAACAATCCACAAACCAAATTTGAAGTTCATATGTTAAGTATTTCTCAAGTTATCGCGCTGACAAGATTTCTATTGTTTTAGCCTCTGTGAACTTGACCTTTGGCCTTTTGGCCCCAAATGCAAAAGGCTTCTTAGGATTACCAAGAACAATCCACAAACCAAATTTGAAGTTCATATGTTAAGTATTTCTCAAGTTATTGCGCTGACAAGATTTGTCCGGACACACACACCCACCCACCCACCCACCCACACACACACCCACCCACCCACGGAAGGACGAGGCGGAAACAGTATGCCCCTTCGGCTTCGCCGCGGGGCATAAAAATCATTTGCTGATGGAACACTGCTTATACTGTGTGTGAACACTTCTATATGGTATAAAAACAGTTAAATGGGCTAAAATGTTACAGTTAATTACTTTTCCCTATTTTTTTTTTAATTACTGTTTGTGTTTTTTTTTATGAATGGAGAGTGGTGTAATAGAGTGAAGTGTAGCAAATTACATTATCCCAGCAAGCAACTGGGAGATCACAAGAAAAGAGGAAATTCCAAGCTATACAAGACTCTCTGCAGTGTTTTTCAATTCTAATGACGCATGAGAGAAGCGAAAAATAGAAAATCGGCTAATCTGAGGAAAAGCTGCACGCCTGATTATACGTGTGTCTCTGAAATTGCTAATTTACAAGTAATGAAATCATTCAATAACACATGCAGACAAAGAACAATTAAAGTAACATTGAGTTTTCCTGATCGTTTTTTTTTTAAAAATAAGTACGCCGTTTTAATCAAGTGACACACTTAGATGTACCGGGGTTATTGAATAATAAATCAAAAACCCCTCAGCCAATGAAATGAATACATTTCCATTGTCAAACCCACTCTAAACACAATATTGTCCACACGCTCAGTTCTAATGATCAACAAACCACTCCTCAAATTTCCGGAAACAAATTTTGTCAAACCAGATATAGGTTCTCCAAGTCTATTAAAAAATATCTCTGAATGGGACAGAGCCATCATTTCCTTTATTGACTACCCACAGCAAAAGAGTGAACAAAACCTCGTTTTTATTACCTTACTGTAGGTCTTCATTTGATCCAACTTAAAAGCAACAGCTTCCTTCAGACTGGCTTCTGAGGCAGGATTTGCCACACAGTGCTCCAGTAACTGCAGACCCACAGCCACTGGCAGTCTGGGTAACAGACCAAGGGTCACCCGCGCACACAAGTCTTTGTCTCGGAGGCACATCAGCGCCCTCCAGGAATCAGACATCAGTAACTCATCCGTGTTACCAGGAAGATCAGCCTGAGCTGCACAGCAGAGCACAAAGTCCTGTATGACTGAAAGGTTCGGCAGCCAATCGCTCAAGGCATCCGAGTTCGGCAGCGAGTGAATGAGGTGCAAGGCGTCCGTCCACTTGGAGTAGGTGATGAGGTGATCCAAGCTGAAGTACACCATAGCCTGGTAGTGGTCACTATGCAGGTTGGCTAAGGTGCAGGCGTGGGCGTTGCGCATGGTCAAGGCTACGTTGTTAGCCGGATGGCCTTCTGGGATTTGGAGACTACTGGCTTTGTTCTGCAGCATCTCTGCAGTTTCGATGATATTCGACATGTAGGACTCCAGGTAGCGCTGCATGGCAGAGTAGCCAATCACATGCTGAGCCATCTTGGCCATCTCCTTCCGTGATGTTGTTATGTCCGGCAGGAACTCCCTGTCCTCACCAAATGCCCCTTCGTCAAAGACCAAGCTCATTGGGCTACCAAAAGAGCTGCTAAAGCTACCACTACTCTCAACTGACTTCTTGAGGGCAAATCTGTCCGGCCGGTCATCCACCGACATGCTGACGAGGCCAGCCAAGGAAGCCACCAGCTTGGACTTGGAGTGCAGGTAGGCCAGGGTGGACTCTGTCATGCTGAACGTCGGACGGGACAGGCACTCAAAGTTCCTGACAGGGACCTCACCCAGCAGGCCTTCTGGTTGGGAAGAGCTGCGTCGGTGTGTCAGAATCGGCTTCTTCATTTTGGATGCGGATCGATACTCAAACTTGTAGCCATAGGAGAAGTCGTATGGCTCGATTCTGACCGTGAAGTTGAAGGAGCGTCCACGGTGTAACTTGGGTCTCAATGGCAACCCTGGATAAAGTAAAGCATACCCGTAAGTGCTATTCTAAAGGAAAGGAACATAGAACTTTGTAGATTAAGCCAACTACATACACCAGGCATGCAACTGTACATTCTCAAAAAAGAGGAAATTCCAAAATTCAGAAGACTTTGTACAGTGTTTTTCTATTTTGAATGGCTGAAATGGGAATAAAAAAGAGGAAATCAGCTGATCCGAGGAAAAGTTGCATGCCTGATACATGTAGATATCAGTAAATGGTTAATGAAAACATTGAAACACCTTAATTTGAAAGGTTTTCAATCAAATCAAGTAGCTGTCCTTTTATTTTAGAAGCAAGCACACAATAACCATTTGTTTCTCTACTAACTGAATTCAAGTCTACTGTCCAAACTTTGCTTTCAAATGTATTCTTTCGGTTTCATTTCACTGTAATTGAGAAACAAAGTACAGAAAAAATACAGAGAGAGAATAAGGACTTTCTCTTATTGAAAAGGTAATATGTGAGATAACTAAAAGACAAATTGTGGCCTTGCTATTTCACTCTATGGAATGAAAAACAGGAGGAACCAAATGTGTTTGCCGCAGTTCATGTGAATATCCTGTCACATGAATTGAGACTAGCTGACTTGTAATTATTTGACTTGTGATGACTTTCCATTTACTTGTGATTGACTTGTGATAATTTGTTATGGCTTGTTATTGACTTTCAATGTCTTATGATAACTTGTGATGACGTGTGGTGCTTTGTGATGACTTGTGATAACTTAAGATTATTTGTGACGACTTACTATGGATCGTAATAACTTGTGACAACTTGTGATGACTTGCGACTGACTTATGTCTTATGAAAACTTGTGATGATTTGTGGTGCTTTGTGATGACTTGTGATAACTTAAGATTATTTGTGACGACTTGCAATGGATCATAATGACTTGTGACAACTTGTGATAACTTGCGATTGACTTGTAATGTCTTGGGATAACTTGTGCTGGCTCATAATGACTTGTGATAACTTGTGGTGATTTGTGATTACTCACCATGACTTGTGATGACTAATGATTGCTCACAATGACTTATGAAAACTGATGATGACTTGTGATGGCTCACAATGTCTTGTGATAACTTGCGATGACTTGTGATGGCTCATAATGACTTGTGATAACTTGTGATGATTTGTGATTGCTAACATTGCGCGTGATTACTTATGATTGCTCACAATGACTTGTGATAACTTGTGATGACTTGTGATAACTTGTGATGGCTCATAATGACTTGTCACAACTTGTGGTGATTTGTGATTGCTCACAATGACGCGTGATTACTTATGATTGCTCACAATGACTTGTGATACCTTGGGATGACTTGTGATGGCTCATAATGACTTGTGATAACTTGTGGTGATTTGTGATTGCTCACAATGACGTATGATTACTTATGATTGCTTACAATGGCTTGTGATACATTGTGATGGCTTGCGATTGCTCACAATGACCTGTCATAACTTGTGATGACTTGTGATGGTCTTGTAATGACTTGTGATGGTCTTGTAGTGACTTGTGAACCACTGACCTGGTGAGCTAGGCTTCTCCTCCAGCTGTATCTTGCCTGGCTGGCAGCTCAAGACAAAACTCTCCAGTTTCTCCCCCAGCTGTTTGGACATGTGGGGCGCCACCACGTTGAGCAGGCCCCCGTAGATATGACCCTGCTCTATATCTGTGCCCAGACTCTTTCCAGTGAAGTCCTTCCGGAACCAGTCTAGCTGCTTGGGTATGGTGACCTAGCAAACAGCCAGTGGAAGGATTGTTTTCATACAAATGAGGGCCAACTCATACTTCGTGCATATGGGAATGAAGCAATTGCCGTGGAATTCACAGCAGTTGAAACGTGTTCATCTTTGGCAAAACTTTCCATTATAAATCAAGATGGGATATTCCATGAGAAAGGCTGAAAAATTGACACTTTCTGGAATCTTCAAAACTACAAGCATTACAATCTCAAATGTGGTATCAAATTAAAGGGGACAGCAAGACCTTTCATTTGAGTGATGTGGCAGTGAGACAAAATACGGTCAAGTTTCTTTAAAAAAAACTAGGGTATTTTGTTGAAATTTATTTTTTACTTATGGATTGGAGGTAGTCATTTTAGCACCTTATGTTTAGATACAGATTTTATAAGGGCACTAAAAAGATTTTTTCATCACTGCACAGTATGAGGAAATTTTTCAACAGGAAGAGTATTTAGGCCTATATGTTTTCCATGTCCTTTTCTTCTAACGCTAGATACCAATAAAGAATGTATTGCCAAACCAACAGAAATTTATTTTGTTGGCCTTTTTTTATGGTTCAGTCACTTAATTTAAAGGAAACTCCACCCTAAATACTTTGGCTTTATAGAATAAAAGTATTAAATACAAATTGAAGGAAGACCCCTGGTAAATGTAAAGCGAGTTACCATGGAATTGGCGAGATACATTCAGTTATCACGTTGCAAGAACGATCTCCCAAAGAATGTTCCACAAAAACTTACACGCAATTTTTCGTCGTTGACAATGACGTAATTCTCCAGAAATTGCTGCATTGCCAATTCCAGTTGCTCTTCCACATTGTTGACTTTCAGCACCTGTGAATGGCAACCCACGTATACATTAACACCACTTCAGTAAAAATGGATGGATTGGCTCTACACTGGTATCCGGCGACAAGAATTAGAAGCTTTTACTGCGGTGGTGTCATGCTAACAAGCATGCTGCATGCGTTCTTAATGATGAGGCGCGCACACATTTTAGTAACTCTATTGGTCCAAGGAGCCCAGAGTGCATGCGTACTGCCTGAGCGCGACTCACGCGTTTGTGCGCCACCGCAGAAAATGGCTGCCGCCGGATTTGTCTATAGACCATTTGCATCACTTCATATGACAGAAATTACAACTAAAAGAAAAGGGGAACATATAAGTAAGTGTTTTTCTCCACAAAACATGATTTTTTTGGGAATCGTTTATTATTAAACATTGAGAAATCTTGAAAAAGAAAAGTTTGATAATCTTTTCAACAGTTCATATTTGAATCCTGACGGCCCATTGACAGAGATTTCCCAAATTTGTTTCCTCAAAATAGCAACAAAATCTGATGCTGTGACACACAAGCACCTCAAAACTGGCATAGTTATTACCAACAACCCTTTTCCATAGGATAGCACATTACTAAATGCACAATTTAGACTACCCAATAGTTTTATTTTGTACAGTATTGTTTTGCAACCTCGCAATTTAAACATTAAAAGTTTATTCCCCGTACTATTTTCAAGTTTCATCCTGAAAAATAGTTTCCTCTTCTAAATCGCTATTTTTCTAGAGATACAAAAGTTCAAATTAGGTTTTGCCCTTCTACAACGTATAAACACTGTATACTCAGTGTGTTACCTCCCGAGTGCAAGTTGGAAAAATCACTCAGGTGGGACTCGAACCCACAACCTCCTGCTTTCTAGTGCAGACGTCTTACCACTCGACCATCGAGCTTAAACGGGATCGGTTGGCTGGTTCGAATCTGATGTACATAGCTGCGGGTACCGCATAAACTATTCATAAGGTGGAATATTTGCGTCGGGGTAATGTAAGTCAAATTAGGTTTTGCCCTTCACTGACGTATAAACACTGTATATTCAGTGTGTTACCTCCCGAGTGCAAGTTGGATAAATACAAAAGTTATACAGTTTTTGAATGAGACATGTTTAGTTATAAAATTAGTCCTTGACAAATTTCGAAATGTTGGCTGCCAGACAATATTTCCCCACAAGTTTGGATATGGGTAACCCTAACCCCCTAGTACTTCCTCAGGACTACCCTGCCAAATCCAACAGAGTCCAACCAGACTATCCTGTTCAATCCACTGTGCCTCATTTTCAGTTGTCTGCTGAATCCAACGGAGTCCAACAATGCGTTATAATGCGGTTCAGTTGCCTGCTGAATCCAACATTTTGCATGAGGAATGTACACCAGGGGTTAACTGCTCAATCCAACAGGCTCCATCGGGTATGTGACATAGTTGGATCCTGTTGGATTCAGCAGGGTTAGGGTTCATTTAGAAAATCCAATGTAGAATCACTCATCATCCCTGCCTGACAACTGAGCTCCTTACCTGTAAAGCAGGAGAGACTCGGCATCCATTGGAGATAACAAACAGCAAACGCGTCTCTGCAGGAGGCAAATACCTGTGCCACGGGTCCTCCACATTTAGTGCTGATAAACCAACAAATAAAAATCAACAACTGTAATGTTTATAAATTTGGGTGGGGTCGTGACACATAATTGCTCAATTTAACACTTGGACAAAAATATCCCTGACTTATTGGCACAGGCATTGTGTTTCCCTTTGTTCCTGTAATATAAAACTCTCCCATAGACTAAGCACACAGACTTATGTTCGAGGACTGTTCTCGACAAAAAATGTACGTTAGAGGACAACAAAGAATCTGTTGTTCTCTATTTGTCTTGCTGTCCTCAGAATGTATGGTATGTAATACACGTACATACTGGTTCATGAGACTGCAGACTAATTTTGGGTCTGAAAGTGCACACCTTTCTGATTTTACTGGTTTACTGAGACCACAATATTAACCCGCACATGCCCAATTCCGTTCTCTAATCACATGACGACAAAATGGGACCTGTTAATTTTTAATCATGTGACTCCCTTTGTGAATCTGATTGGTTAACATAAATATTGCGTCCGTTGAAATCGGAGTGCTGCCCGCACACCTTTCCGGTGACATCGATCAGTAGCCACCCTCAGTCTGTTCTACAGATAATTCCATGGAAATTGTTTCAGCAGTTTGTTTGACTTGGTTGCTCCTGTCTGGGTGTTTGAGCGTGCAACCAGGCTCTCTGCTTCCTCTGACACATACACTCTAGCTGTGCCGAGATGTAGAACCAAGAGCTACTATAATCAGGCATGCAAGTTGTTCCACCAGTTTGTTTGACTTGGTTCCTCCTGTCAGGGTGTGTGAGCGTGCAACCAGGCTCTCTGCTTCCTCCCACCCATACACTCTAGCTGTGCCGAGATGTAGAACCAAGAGTTACTATAATCAGGCATGCAAGTTGTTCCATCAGTTTGTTTGACTTGGTTCATCCTGTCAGGGTGTTTGAGCGTGCAACCAGGCCCTTTGCTTCCTCTCACCCATACACTATAGCTGTGCTGAGATGTAGAACAAAGAACTACTATAATCAGGCATGCAAGTTGTTCCATCAGTTTGTTCAACTTGGTTGCTCCTGTCAGGGTGTTTGAGCGTGCAACCAGGCTCTCTGCTTCCTCTCACCCATACACTCTAGCTGTGCCGAGATGTAAAACAAAGAACTACTATAATCAGGCATGCAAGTTGTTCCATCAGTTTGTTTGACTTGGTTGCTCCTGTCAGGGTGTTTGAGCGTGCAACCAGGCTCTCTGCTTCCTCTCACCCATACACTCTAGCTGTGCCGAGATGTAAAACAAAGGACTACTATAATCAGGCATGCAAGTTGTTCCATCAGTTTGTTTGACTTGGTTCCTCCTGTCAGGGTGTTTGAGCGTGCAACCAGGCTCTCTGCTTCCTCTCACCCATACACTCTAGCTGTGCCGAGATGTAGAACCAAGAACTACTATAATCAGGCATGCAAGTTGTTCCATCAGTTTGTTTGACTTGGTTCCTCCTGTCAGGGTGTTTGAGCGTGCAACCAGGCTCTCTGCTTCCTCTCACCCATACACTCTAGCTGTGCCGAGATGTAGAACCAAGAGCTACTATAATCAGGCATGCAAGTTGTTCCATCAGTTTGTTTGACTTGGTTGCTCCTGTCAGGGTGTTTGAGCGTGCAACCAGGCTCTCTGCTTCCTCTCACCCATACACTCTAGCTGTGCTGAGATGTAGAACAAAGGGCTATTCTAGTAGCTTTTTCCCAGGTTCTGTATCTCTTTGGAACTCCTTGCCTAGTGGCTGTTTCCCTCCATTCTATGATCTAGCCTCGTTTAAGAGGAATATTAATTCCTTCCTCCAGCTTTCCTGATTATTATATTTCATTTCATCATATTTTTCTCTTTTCTAGCCCTTTGATAAGAGTGGCTTTTACAGCCTTGCTTGGGGAGATTTTCCAAAAAAAAAAAAACCTCAAGAAAAGTAGTGTTCAAAAACACAAATGCCTCGCAACCGTGACTGTTCCCATGACATGACACCACCCTTTTAACATCAAGTTATCTGGGTCACATGGAACGTTCGTTTACATCGTTATTGTTTTCTTTAGGTAATATATGTATATATTGATGCCTATGATCCCAGAATACATTTTTTGGGTTTTTTTTTCTGTTTGTAATGAGTAAAAAGAGAAAAGACCAGTGGGCACATATAACAGTGCAAAATGTTGGGTACAATTAGTCTGAGTGTCACCCATTATCCATGGAGCCAAATCTCCTGTATAACGTCTGATATGTCTAGACATGCAGATATATGCAAGCAGCGCGCCAGCCAATCGGGGTTGACTTTACTAAATCGTGACATCAATTAATTCCCAAATCAGGACTAAATGGTTTGATTGGTTAATTTGAATGCAGTGTTTTGTAATACAACAACAGCTGGGTGCACTATCGCATAACATGATACAGAGCGCGTGACACAGTTCTTTTATTCATTGTCTATGACGCGCAACGGGTGAATGACTGAAGACCCGACATAGAAAGCGCCCGCTGATTGGTCAAAATCTAGGTCAAGAGGCGGTTGTCTTGCCTAATTAATCTGCGAATCTGCTCATATATCAAAGACCACGGACTGGGGTACAATAAGTATCACATAAAAATAGTATATAGAATTAAGCTGCTGCAAACTGCTTACTGACTGGATTGGCCTTTAATGTACAAATCAACAAAATTAGCTGGCCGAACATTTTCAGTCTTAAGCAAGACATTTCTCGAAGGCGAATCCTTTGTGCATAACGCCTTGAAGAAGGCCCACATGAAAATAAGAATTTATGAATAATCAAAACCTGGAAAGCAAATATGGTTATTTGAATTAACTTGAGTTATCATGATGACATTATTTCTTTTGTTTTTAACAATTAGCATATTGACATTTGGCCTATTGGGTCCGAAAGGGACTGGCAATAAAGGACAACCCATGTAGCTGCGCATACATATACTCTGTCTCAATTTGATATGCCAAGTTTTTCTTGAGTGTGACCGACCACTAAGAGTAACTTCTAAAATATTTACAAATTGATTGCGTAAAGCAAACTACCAATCCAACAAATAAAAAAAACAGTTTGAAGTCTTTTTTTAATACTTGAACGGCAAATTACAAAGTTCAGAGTTAACAGGGAAAGAAAAAAAGTCACACTTCGGATCCTAAATTTATAGATTGACCTTTGTGACACCATTTGGTCACCATTTGGTCAATAGTCATTCATACATGTAAAAGCAAATGAAGGGACATATCTCAATACCTCTAAAAGGATTTTCTTTTGACCACATCGTCTGCAATGTAATGACTGTCACTTGCCGACAAGCAACCTTTTTCTCATATTGCAGTGTGCTTTAAAGTCAACAATTTCAAGCCCACGCATATTTCAAGTGAGACACACGCAGTGACAGGTAGTGTGCTTGCATCCTCTAAATGAAAGTTAGCATCGAGTGATGACAGCGTGTAACTGGGTTAAAAATATCCCGTGGTATACCCATTACTTTTTAATCTACACTTCATTAGTTGACGGACGTCATTTTGGCTTGAATCTTACTCTCGTCACCATCAGCTGACAGGTTAGAGTCTACAGGATCCAATAAGAGACCCTAGCAATACAATTATTGATTAATCCTCAGATTCAGCAGTAATTGCACACACAGTTATGAGACAGAAGCCGCGCCCCTTTTTTGGTCACAAAATCACAGTGTATAGCATGATACATGCACTGCTAACGCTGAACTTGAGATGTTCACCACTGCCATTGTAGAGCGGTCGTCAATTCTCGATGTAAACCAAATTGTATCTTGAATTTGGCATCAAGTCCGATGAGACTTGTTCACATCTCCAATTTTTGTTGTACTTATTTTGTTGTCTCAGCACACTCTGACATTCATCTGTACAAAAGAAAATCCTAGCTTTGAAATTCAGACTTTAAACAATTTGCATCTCTGCTTGGAGACAACTTCGGAGTCATTGTGATTTCTTGCTGTAGTCTGTATCCATGATGACTGCAGTAACTTCAACCCAAACGACGATGGAATTGGGTTTTTACAATGCCTCTCCATTCAATGTATCCATGGAGCCGGAAACTGATGGGACCAGCATTAACCAGTACCTTACTAATGTTATTATCCTCAGCCTTGTCATCACAGAAACTGCTCTACTCCTAACACTGAACCCACTTTGTCTCCTGGCTCTGAGTCATGTCCACGACACGGTCCAAGACACCACCAAAGTGTTTCTCCGCTCCATGACAGCCGCCGATTTGGGGGTGGGGATTTTTGGGGCCATCCCAATGATACCTTCGGTAATTAATGGGGCAGGGGGATGGCAGTTTGGGGATGCACTGTGTGGAATGCAGTACTTTCTGTATTTATCATGTACTCTAGGATCCCTTGTTTCGCTGCTCTTGCTATCTGCAGACAGGTACATTTCTGTGGAATACGCACTCCGTTATCATTCCTTAGTGACGGTAAAGCGAGCCCGAATCACGGCCTGTGCTGCATGGGCAGTTGTCTTGTGCATAGTGACAGGGCATGGTTTTGTCAGCGGTTGGCAAACCTTGTACAGTTACTCTGCACTGGGGTGCATTTTCCACTCTGATGATGAGGGTTCCTTCATCTACTTGCAAGTTATCTACACGATCATTTTACTGAGCTGTATGCTGACAATTGCGGTCGTTTACACCAGACTTTTCCTGATTTCTCGCCAGCATGCACGCCGCATTCACGTCGACAACCAGCCTGCTGGACAGGGAAACCGACTCGCGAGGCCTGCTACCAAGACTGTACACACCATGCTGCTCATTTTATTGAGTGCACTTTTTTTCAATCTTCTGCCCATCATATTCCTCATATCAAAACCTTATTACAGTGAAATGGCGACCCTCTTTCTGTTTGTGCTACCCGTGCTGACAAATAGTTGGGTAAACGTCGTCATCTATTACCTCAGGAATAGGGAAATTCGCCAAGTGACATTCAATCTTCTGGTATCGTGCTACAAATGTTGCAAGCAGTGTACACACTTCAACACAACTTAAGAAACTCAAATGCCGGACAAAAAACAAAATGCATCTTTTTCCCTTCAGAAGCAAATTAAATAATTTGCTGTGAAAAATTGTGATGGTGAATTACTTGTAAGAGTTAATGTGGCTCAAACTGTGGGCCAAAGCCAGTAATCCGTGCAATCTCGTCTTAACTTTTTAGTGGCAACTTCATTTCTCAGTAATAAGCAGTTTGGAACACATATATTGATATTTTACAATGTGCATACCACATCGTTTGCACAAATTAGAAATAAAGGGGACTGTTTCCCCATTGTAACTTTACCACAAGAGGGCGATCACATTGCATCGCTGTCATTGCGTTCCAGACTCGCTTCAATGGCACGTGGGCATTTTTCCATTAACCATGTTAACCCCTGGCTGTCTGGCTATGGGGCATGCTTAAATGGCGATTCTGACTGGCTATTCAGAGCGTTCTGCGCACGTAGACTGCGCGCCCTATATGCGCTCGCGCGTTATCTCCTTCACGTTACGTCATATACACATTTTTTTCCAAGACTGCAGGATGCTTTTTCGAAGCATTGTGATTGTTTTGTGTCGTAAAGCGATGACAGAAGTACGTTCACTTAATATAAATCCTTACTAAAAACACCATGTCAAAATTTCATCATGCTCATGTTTGAAAGGATTGATTCTACCAAAAACAACACTTTAAAAAATGTCAGCACTGTGTCACACCTTTATTAATGACTTACATTACTCATGCCCACTTCCTATTTATTTAGTGTCAAGTTTGAAAGCAGATGAACTTAAAACATAGAAGTTATGGCCAAAATACTATTTTTGACCATAATGTTAATGTGCAATTTGGGCCAATGTGAATAACTAGATTCAGATTCAGCACTATGGAATTAGTAAAGTTGACCATATTGCAAGTTGACACCAGAAAGTTAAGACGAACCTCAACTTCTAGACCTGA